TTATTCGCTGCCGTCGATCTGCTAAAATCTAGCCACACACGTATTTAAGATTTTACTGGCACTTCAACCATTTGCAACCATTGCGTACGTGAGTGAATGAGTGTGGTTTTACGCCGCTTTTGGCAATATTCAGCAATATCACGGGGGACACCAGAAATGGATTTCACACATTACACCAAAGTGCACACTCTGTTCGGACAACATGGCATACAGTGACGATATTGAATTGTATATTTTGAGAGAGTATTCTTGTTCAATACAACTAATTTGAGCAACACTGATCGTCTGTGTTTATTGTACATTATTTTTAAACAGTCTGCATAATATAAACGTACTAAAGTTATGTGGTTGGCAGAGTGGTTAAAAACCATAAACATTAACATATAAGGTGTATTTTTTTCAGAACAACACATCTGGTAAGGCCGGTGCCCCACACGTGAGTCGAAAGCGAGTTTAAAAGATTGTAAAGATGAAAAAGGTTAACTTGATCAAATTGTTAACTTTCTACCAAAGTACTTCCTACTGATACTGGAGGTGAGACTGGTCTATAGGCGATGACGTCATAAAACAGTGATCTGCATGCCCATTCGGCTTTAGTATAGAGTAATATAAACAGTACGTACTGGACACTTCATCATCAATGTAATACTTAATCAATATGTTTTGAGAAAACTATTTCATCACTTTGAAACATTTGTTGAAATAACCCTTTGGCGCAATGGGAAAATAATATTATGAAATATGTTATGACCATATAAAATTATCACTGCCTCAGTGAATTACAAAAATGCAAGAGCTGAGGTGAGGTGGGGTGAAATTTGGTTTAACGTCGCGTCCAAGATTATTGCACTATATATATATGTATATAAATGTGTGTGTGTGTGTGTTTGTGTGTGTGTGTGTGTTGTGTGTGTGTGTGTGTGTGTGTGTGTGTGTGTGTGTGTGTGTGTGTGTGTGTGTGTGTGTGTGTGTGTGTGTGTGTGTGTGTGTGTGTGTCTGTTGTAGCGGTATATCTAGAGCGCACAGAGTTGCCTCCCCTGTATTGTTGAGTGAACAGCGTCCAGTCGAGAAGCGTGTTTCTCTTTACTCTAAATAATCTAACCAGCAGTTAATAAACGTAACATGTGTAGCTGCTTGTACTAGTTCGGACTGATGCCAATTTATAGTGCTAGCTCACTGAGATACCATGCCATAGTTTAACATGAATACCCCAATCAGACACAGTATACTGACTCCGAGCCGACCAGTCCTTGTTTTAGCCCCTTAATGCCGAGCGCCAGACAGGGTAACAACAAGTACCATCTTTAAACGTCTTTTGGTATGACGCGGACGGGGATTGAACCCCGGACCTTCCGATCACAATGAGATAAAAGTATATTTCGCTTGACGCTAAACTAATGCATGAACAACAAAAGTTCCTGTGACATTGAGTAAGATTTAATGCAAAGTTATGTTTTTTACCAAATATGAAACAATTTCGGTTTGCAGCAGATAAAAGACTCCTATAAGTGTTCAAATGGTTAAATTTGCCATACTGACTTCAGAAAATGCGTGATTTCATATAAAAAAAAGCATGAACATGCCAAAATGTCGATTTACAAATCAATAGCGTGTGTGTCCACCTCTGGTTGCGATGCAAGCAACACATCTTCGTCTCATGGAATGGACCAGGCGTCGCACAAAGACCTGTGGGATATCTGTCCATATATGCTGGAGCATGTTTCGAAGTTCCTGGAGTGTCTGTGGAGCACGTGGATGACGTCGAAGGCGCCGATCCATCTCATCCCACACATGCTTGATTGGTGAGAGATCAGGGGAGCGAGCCGGCCAGGGGATGGCATTCACGTTGTTTTGTTGAACGGAGTCCTGAACAAGTCGAGCAATATGAGGCCGGGCGTTGTTGAAAGGTTATGCCTGGGCCATGACGACGCAAAACCGTAGAACAACAGGGCCGATGATCTCGTCGCGGTAGCGCTGTCCATTGAGATTTCCCTCTACCACTGTCAAACGGGTCCTCTGTCTTGCTGTAATCCCACCCCATATCATTACGCTGCCACCCCCGAACCGATCTTCTTCCATGACACAATGATTGACGCAGCGTTCACCTCGACGTCGGTACACTCGAATCCGTCCATCGCTGTGGCTGAGGTGAAAACGAGACTCGTCAGTGAGTAGGACTTGTCCCCACTGCATGGCCGTCCAGGTAGACGCTGTCTGCACCACTGTAGACGTGCTTGACGGTAGTTTCCTGTCAAAATGGGACGTCTGGCGGGTCTTCTGGCGACAATCCCTGCACATCTGAGGCGACTTGTTGTCAGCACGATGCTAAACAATGCATATGGAATCCCGTTAACGCACATGTTTTTATACCCATTCTTGGGGAGTGAAATGCATGGGGTTTGCATAAAAGTAAACTTTTGCATGGAATGCATGATTTTCTGTAGCAGTTGCGTTTTTGTGACTAGATTCCATACATGTACTACAATATTGAAAAACCAAACTTTACTCGTTTGAAAAATACACTAAAATATTGGTGTCACAGGAACTTTTGTTGTTGAGTAGTTTGTTTCAAGGGACTGCAGCCTCCTTGGAGGTGTCAGTGTCAGTGTTGGCTACTGCTCGTGTCTTCCTTCACCTTACCCGCCAACGGTGGTCTTGCCAGATTATTGTGACACAAACCCGCAGAGAATGAGGCTTTTTATATAGAAATCTGCGAAAAAAATGTATTTATGCTTGATGTATGAAACTTGTATTTTTCTTGTTTGTCCAATACACCGATGTGACCTTCTGTCACGATTTCTTTTTTGAGTTTTGGGGTGATATAATAATATGTGTGGATTTCTCAATCAGTTTAAAATAATTATGTAGCTTGCCATGACTGTTTACAATTTTGGATTTGACCCACAAAATTACAAACCGTATCAAAGTCAAAGTCTTAGTCAAGTCAAAGGTATTTATTGCACGTAAGGCCTCGGGCGCTTATACAAAGGAGTTACATATAAGTAGTTTTCCATATTTGGATACATCTTTATGCTTAACAATTCGTTGCTAAGCAAAATTGCATTTTAGCATAAATAGGCAGTTAAATTTCACAGCAGCATCTATTAAAGAGAGAAGAGAAATAATAGCAGGAAGAGGATATTTTGACAGAGTTCTTGTAATAAACTTGTTTCTGAGAAATGGGTATCTGGCGCTCTCGTCATGACCATACAATTAGGTATTGATGGACAAACGGATGAGTATGTTTTTCCAGGCTAAAACATGTAGCTTTTCAAGACAATCGTATCGCTGAAATCACCAAACTTTTGATCCATTTAATAATTTATATAGTATGTTCGGTGTAAAAGTTCCGACATTCTGCGCGACAAACATTACCATAGTTAAGTACTTCTTTGCACTTGATGTTAAATCCGAACCACTTTTCACAAAACCACAAGTTCATTAAATGGGTAAACATAACATCAAGATATGAACTATTATGATTCAGAACATTTACACACTTACATCGAAAAAACATCTTTCATTCGATGCCAGCTCTTCTAAAAATGTCAATATTTGTTTTATTGTAATAAGCTGATAATTTCCACTCTTTGGTGGAACATTAAAAAATGATATGTTGTTTTTGTAGTCCAACAACAGAATCTGATACCAAAATGCCATCATCGACAAAAAGAAGCCTCATAATTTCTATTAAACGTTTACCTGGGAACATCTGAATGCCATGTTAAACGTTGGTCATAATTTCATAATACAATTCACTGATAAGAAATGAGAACAATATCGGGCTCAAGATACATCCTCGTTGTAAGCCAACAGGACAGTCAAACGAAATCGGTTGCATCGTCACCATATTGTACACATAATTTGATATTTGAAGATAAAGCTTTTATTTTAGAGTACATTTTCCCATGTATACCAACAGCTTTTAAACAGTGCCATTCGAAGTACTTTCTAAGTGTTCGAGCTGCATTCTGTTTGAATTCTTGGACGTTCGAACCATATTCGGCGGCCATTCGGGGAGCGTTCTGACTGCATTCGAGTTGAATTCGTACAGCATTCGAGGCACCTTCCAACCAGACTTCGGGCGGTATTCGGGCAGCAATCGAACCGCACTTATATGGCATTCGAAGTGCATTCTAAATATTCTGACTGCAATCTGACAGCATTCTAAATATTCCTACTGTGTTCCAACTACATTCGAGCTGCATTCGAGAGCTAATGCATCGGAATGTGCAAGAATCATTCGAAGCGGGTTCGAAGCGCATTCTAAGTATTCGAACGACATTCTTACGGCTTGGTTAATTTGAAATTCCCTCCCGAATGTGGCACGAATTTTGAAAATTCTTCATTCCGGCTGGTTCTGCTTGATTCCTGTTGATTCCTAATAAGTGTGACAGGGGCTTTATTAATGTAACGGGAGACGCAGCACGATCCTTGCGTGACACTGCAACCAGCAAAAGGTAACAAACAGCTCTTGACTTTTACATAAAACAGCTCTTGACTGTTACATAAAACAGCTCTTGACTGTTACATAAAACAGCTCTTGATTGTTACATAAACAGCTCTTGACTGTTACATAAAACAGCTCTTGATTGTTACATAAAACAGCTCTTTACTGTTACATAAAACAGCTCTTGACTGTCACATAAAACAGCTCTTGACTAGTACATAAAACAGCTCTTGACTGTTACATAAAACAGCTCTTGATTGTTACATGAAACAGCTCTTGACTGTTCCATAAAACAGCTCTTGACTAGTACATAAAACAGCTCTTGGCTGTTACATAAAACAGCTCTTGATTGTTACATGAAACAGCTCTTGACTGTTACATAAAACAGCTCTTGACTGTCACATAAAACAGCTCTTGACTGTTACATAAAACAGCTCTTGATTGTTACATAAAACAGCTCTTGAATGTCACATAAAACAGCTCTTGATTGTTACATACTCTTGGCTGTTACATATATTCAAACAGAAAATAGTTGAAGCAACAACAAATCGAACAGGTCAAATGAATCAAGCGATCTTTATTTCTCTTATGAGACTATGAAAAAACCTTCCGTACTTTCAATATGAAACAAATTACAATACATACATATGTTGAACATTGTTTTATATAAAATTCAACATGTCAATAGTTAGAAAAAGCAAATTTATTTTATTTTTTATTCCTATGAGGGGATAAAAACAGTATATCCCGACGCTAACGTTCCTACTGAATTCGTCCGGATTAAATGCCCGGATGAGAACGTGTGGTACTGTACCGACAAATCTAGAAACATAATCAGGGCGAATCTGCGACTCGAACCCACGATCAGAGGTATTTTGGAACGACTAAGGGAAGCAACTCTGCACCTCAAGTTGTGACGCCTTAGACGACTTGGCCCTAAAATAATAACAGCATGAAATGTGGGCATCAATGACATGTAAATGCAGAATGCTGAGATCGATAAACATGCATCAGTAGAGACCCCAGAATCCTGCGGGCTAGTTTACTATCGCATCTTGACGGAGGGACTACTTGATTACTTACAGACCGCCTTGATTACAGGCACATTGATGACTTGTGATGTAAAACAGATCTTGACGGAGCGGATTACTTGATTACTTACAGACCGCCTTGATTACTGGCACATTGATGTGACGTAAAACAGATCTTGACGGAGCGGATTACTTGATAACTTACAGACCGCCTTGATTACTGGCACATTGATAAGACGTAAAACAGATCTTGACGGAGCGGATTACTTGATTACTTACAGACCGCCTTGATTACTGGCACATTGATGTGACGTAAAACAGATCTTGACGGAGCGGATTACTTGATTACTTACAGACCGCCTTGATTACTGGCACATTGATGTGACGTAAAACAGATCTTGACGGAGCGGATTACTTGATAACTTACAGACCGCCTTGATTACAGGCACATTGATAAGACGTAAAACAGATCTTGACGGAGCGGATTACTTGATTACTTACAGACCGCCTTGATTACAGGCACATTGATAAGACGTAAAACAGATCTTGACGGAGCGGATTACTTGATTACTTACAGACCGCCTTGATTACTGGCACATTGATGTAACATAAAACAGATCTTGACGGAGCAGATTAATTACAGATCACCTTGATTACAGGCACATTGATAAGACGTAAAACAGATCTTGACGGAGCGGATTACTTGATTACTTACAGACCGCTTTGAATACTGGCACATTGGTGAAACGTAAAACAGATTTTGCCAGAGCGGATTACTTACAGACCGCCTTGATTACTGGCACATTGATAAGACGTAAAACAGATCTTGACGGAGCGGATAACTTGATTACTTACAGACCGCTTTGATTACTGGCACATTGGTGTGACGTAAAACAGATCTTGACGGAGCGGATTACTTGATTACTTACAGACCGCTTTGATTACTGGCACATTGGTGAAACGTAAAACAGATCTTGACGGAGCGGATTACTTGATTACTTACAGACCGCTTTGATTACTGGCACATTGGTGTGACGTAAAACAGATCTTGACGGAGCGGATTACTTGATTACTTACAGACCGCTTTGATTACTGGCACATTGGTGAAACGTAAAACAGATCTTGACGGAGTGGATTACTTGATTACTTCCAGACCGCCTTGATTACTGGCACATTGATGAAATGTAAAACAGAAGCAAATTTCGTGGATCGATGCTCATGATATTAATCACTGTCCAGACTCGATTATTTACAGACCGCCTTCATATAGCTCGAATATTATTGCCGAGTGCAAACAACAAACCAACCAACCAACTTGAGGGAGCGGATTACTTGATTACTTACAGACCGCCATGATTACTGGCACATTGATGTGACGTTTAACAGTGTACTGAACAACTGAATTTGCAACGTAGGACTCAAAGTGCTGAGCGACGGCATTTGCAGCACAGGATTCAACGTGTTGTGTGTATATTTACATTATATATTATTTATTAAGCCACTCAAGTTGCAGTGGCGGTCTCAACATTTGTGTAGTTCTAACTATGTAATATCGTATTGAGCTACTGAACTAGTACCATTAGACAAAATATGTTCCTTAAGACTTGATGATAGTGATGATATAGATAGGGGCTGTTCAAAGTCGACTGCGTTCGACGAACGCATTTGCAATACATAAAAATACAAAGAAGAGTACTTCAGTTATAAAGGCAAAGGCCTTTTACAATGAAAACTTTGCCGATTCTGAACACGGTTACATAATAACTACAATTAAAATGAATTTATGTGTAATATATAATACATGTAGTTATAAAAAAACTTATGTAGAATTGTCGCAAGACTTATATTCCTATATGGAATCGTGTTTGTTCATACAGACGGTGCCTTCGGGATAATAGAAGGCTCCGAACAACATGTCAAAATTAAAAGCAATGTGATCGAAAGTTGAAAAACTCTATTGGTACCGTAGATAACATCTATGAGCTCCCCTCTTGCTGATCACGTGCTTGTCTAAAAGACGGGCTCAAATGTTTGTCTATATCGACAAGGTATTACGTGTTTCTCTTTGAAAACATGCTAATATGTGGCTGTCTTTGTAGACATGGCCTAGCGTTGTTTCAGTAGACTGCTGATCAGTTTTACAATAACATCCGCGTCAAGGATTAAGATCAAAACACCAGTGACTGCAAGTAATATTATCCCCACATTACCAAGAACTTGGGCAGATGGACGATCGTCTTTCGCTGACGTCTTCTTCCTCCTGAAGCTAGACAATGTCGTCTTCTCCACCATCAATTCCTTTACCAGTTTGGCATGGGAAACCTTGAGGTCTCCTCGGCAAGGGCATACGCAGCTACCTGGTGTTCACAATGCAGTGAGTGAGTGAGGCATTTGGGTTTTACACGGCTTTGAGATGAAATGGGGTTTCGGGTCGCGTTCAAGATTATTGCACTTTAACAGCGTGCGTGTGCGTGTGCGTGTGCGTGTGCGTGTGCGTGTTCGTGTGCGTGTGTGTGCTTGTACTAGTCCGGATTAACGCCGATCTTACATTGCTTACCCACTGAGACAGCGTGCCACAGTTTAACCGAGCACCAGGCAGGGTTACAAAAAGTACCATCTTTTAACGTATTTTGGTATAACGCGGAGGGGGATCGTCGCTTGGAACAGTATTTCAGTTACATCACGGCGTGTCCCAGACATGGCATGACATAAACACTGGCTGTAGACCTTTACACCTCTTTTGTGAAGCTGCCGCAAGGTAAAGACACATATATAAAACTTGCTTTACGGGTCACGGCGTGTCCCAGACATGGCATGACACTAACACAGGCTGTAGACCTTTACACCTCTTCTGTGAAGCTGCCGCAAGGTAAAGACACATATATAAAACTTGCTTTACGGGTCACGGCGTGTCCCAGACATGGCATGACATAAACACAGGCTGTAGACCTTTACACCTCTTCTGTGAAGCTGCCGCAAGGTAAAGACACATATGTAAAACTTGCTTTACGGGTCACGGCGTGTCCCAGACATGGCATGACATAAACACAGGCTGTAGACCTTTACACCTCTTCTGTGAAGCTGCCGCAAGGTAAAGACACATATATAAAACTTGCTTTACGGGTCACGGCGTGTCCCAGACATGGCATGACACTAACACAGGCTGTAGACCTTTACACCTCTTCTGTGAAGCTGCCGCAAGGTAAAGACACATATATAAAACTTGCTTTACGGGTCACGGCGTGTCCCAGACATGGCATGACATAAACACAGGCTGTACACCTTTACACCTCTTCTGTGAAGCTGCCGCAAGGTAAAGACACATATGTAAAACTTGCTTTACGGGTCACGGCGTGTCCCAGACATGGCATGACATTAACACAGGCTGTAGACCTTTACACCTCTTCTGTGAAGCTGCCGCAAGGTAAAGACACATATATAAAAACTTGCTTTACGGGTCACGGCGTGTCCCAGACATGATATGACATTAACACAGGCTGTAGACGTTTACATCTTTTCTGTGAAGCTGCCGCAAGGTAAAGACACATATATAAAAACTTGCTTTACGGGTCAGCCGACTGAAAATTTTGTGGAATTGGATTCTTTTCCTGTTCAGAATTTGCTCTTTTTTTTATCCCGCCGATAGACTGATAGCATAAAAAATATTTTGTAAACAAAGAGTCAAAACAAAGTTTATTGTTGTTCCTGAATTGAAAGGGGTGAGAAGATGCACAACAGTATTCCCGCTTCGCCAGGCTTGCATTGCGTAAACATATCTAGCCGCCTCTCCTCCCACATTAAACCTTTTATATTTTTATATTCCAGCCGATATGTAGTGGAGGTATAAATTAAGAACATTGAATTTTCTCCCCCCCCCCCCCCCCCCCAACACACACACACACACACAACTACACGTACCCAGCAAGTAAAAGTGGGACCCAACGTGAGGACGAGTGATAGCTACGAAGCATCATCACACCTATCGTTGGACGCTTTACTACCAAATCATCTATAAATCATCCTTCTTTCATATAGAATTAACGTTACATTGTGTTTGTCTCATCATTTTCGCAGAATATGTATTCTGGCAACAATAACACGATAGTCTGTTGTAAATAATAAAAGTGAAATATGTATCAAAGTTTCTCTTTTGAAGAACTATTGCTATTTGTTCATGATTATATGAATGTAAATACTCACTGCTAACCATCCTAGTCGCTGTTCCATACACAGTGGTAGTAGGAGATGCATGCAGTGTATATGTTGAATACGATCCTGATGATGATGTAACTTCCGTTGGCCCAGTCGCTGTTCCATACATATGCCCAGTCAAAGTAGTAGGTGTTACATGCAGCTGCTGATGGCGTAACACTGATGATGATGTAACTTCCGTTGGCCCAGTAGCTGTTCCATACATATGCCCAGTCACGGTGGTAGGAGTTACATGCAGCTGCTGATGGCGTAACACTGATGATGATGCAACTTCCGTTGGCCCAGTCGCTGTTCCATACGCATTCCCAGTCAAAGTAGGAGGGGTGACATGCTGCTGCTGATGGTGTAACACTGATGATGATGTAACTTCCCTTGGCCCAGTCGCTGTTCCATACACATGCCCAGTCAAAGTAGTATGTGTTACATGCAGCTGCTGATGGCGTAACACTGATGATGATGTAACTTCCCTTGGCCCAGTCGCAATGGTCGACGTTTGCATGTGACCAGTGAAGGGGAAAGCGTCCTCACTGCTGTCGGTGGCTGCCCCATTCATTGTAGGAGTTGGAAAAGGCAGCACAGCGGTTGGGGTCATTGTACTGTCGACAATTGAGTCTTGGACTTTGTTGGATGATAGTTGATAAGCAGTCGGAGGAATTCCAGGTGTGGTATCCATGGTGGCAGATAATCTCGGGAAGGAGGAGCTGGAGGAGGAGGCAAAACTGTCCGCAGTTACAGAGAAAACTGTCTCCGGGATGACATCATTGACTTCATCAGAAATGGGTTCTTCAGATTGTGTTTCGTCACACGTGTAGGTAAAAGGTTCGTTCCATGTGCGCATTGCAGAATCGACAATGGGTTCGTCTTGCAAACAAATAGAAAACATGGATTGATGAACACTTGACTTGCCTTTGCATGTGTTGCGGATGCCACCTGTTAGGCATGAGTGAGTGATGTTGGTTTAACGCCGCTTTCAACAGTATTCCAGTTACATCACGGCGCGCCAGTTTGTATGGAAGGACAGCCCGAGATACACACGAGTGAGTGAGTGAGTAAGTTGGGTTTAACTCTGTTTTGAACAGTTTTTCAGTTATATCAAAGCGCGCCAGTTTATTGTGGGAGGACAGCCCGAGTAATACATGAGTGAGTGAGTGAGTTGGGTTAAACGCCGCTTTGAGCAGTATTTCAGTTATATCACGGCGCTTCAGTATACTGTGGGAAGACAGACATTGTGTAGCTGCAAGTGGTTATTATATATTAGCACAGATAAAATTAACATAAGTTCAATGGAACACGTACCTATATTGTATACTGGTATGTAAGCATATTGTGACTACTAAAAAGGTGAAATGGAATTAAGGTTGTTCCCCAAATATTGCCATAGCAATACGAAGTTTCATCTTTGAGAACGTGCGTGGTGATTGATACCTACACCGCGATGGCCTCAAATACATAATGAAAACGAAGATGACAAGGGGTACGGGATTTGTCATGTGCAGAGTTAAGTCATTCTTCCCGAGGCAAAGGAGTTAACTGACTGTAAAAGTCCAGTTTCCACCCTTGCAGAACTAGGCTGGAATTACGGAGTTATATTTTGGCTGGACTAACGAGTCTATGCATAGTCCAATCAAAATCGCGTAACGAAATCAACATCCGGTTCGTCAACTGTCGTGCAGATTTCGGTCGATTACAGGATTTGCAAAGCAAGTGAACCGTCAACTTAGCGAGAACAGATATTTTCCTAATCGTTTCATGTTTTAAATCAAGTTACTCGCGTGATGTGATGCACTTTTCGATGTAAGACCCGTTTTGTTACAATATAGATCTCGATCAGATCGTTTTCACTGGGCGCCGCCATTTGTTGAAGCAAATGCAAGTAATATCAGGGAGGAATCTGATTGGACAATAGGAAGATAATAGAAGGGACATAACTCGTAATAAACATGGGTGGCGCTACGATCGAGCCCAGGAATTCCAGCCTGGTTCGGCCTGGGTTGAAACTGGACATTCACAGTCAGTTAACACCCTTGCTTCGGGAAGATGAGTCAAGTCGAGCTCGTGGCTGCAGTTGCCATGCTTCGCAGTGTAGAGTGAGTGAGTGAATCGTGATCATCGCTTTGGACAGTATCACGGCATGTAAACTAAACGTGAGAGAAGGATCCAATCATTATTTACATCATAAGAAAAATACTTACAAGAATGGCAGGTCTTTCTTCCGACAGCTAGCTTATTGTCGATATAGGTTAAAGTTGGAAATATGAGAAATTCTCCAAGATACCGAATACAGGTCGTGCGTCCGTCATAGGAGTAGCCAATACATTCCTTTTCATCATAATAATACTTTAGGCAGGACTGTTCACAGTCATTCTTGTCAAACACATTTCCTTCAATCTCTTCTGGCGTGGTTCCAAAGATCCCAGTGTTTGATGGTTCAAACGAACATGCCCCTGTATCTAACAGTTAAAAGTGAAACATTATTTAGTGAAAGGAGGATCATCACAGCTTACAATGTACTTCATAACAACCAAATTAATGCCTCTTGGCCTCTTGGAATATTGGTGGCCCCGTGGACAAAGGCGGGTCATCTCGTTGTGCTTAGTTATGTCCCATGCATGCCAGGATCAATAGATCTCGGGTTTTATTCTAATTCCAGATCCTTCCCTATTATGAACCTTGGTTTGCAAGCACTAAAGCGGTAAACATGTAATAGTTCCTCTGGTTATGGGACAAACTGACAAATTGTGACTCCGTTGTGTTTTTCTCTTTTCTGGATCATTAATGCAAATTTACCATCTAAAACTGGCTTCCACAGGAGATATGACTGTAATGAAATGGTGTCACAATGCTTGGCAGACTTTTAGGACGTCATCGGTTATTCCCCCACCACACCCCCACCAAAAAAAGAAAAGAAAAAAAGAAAAGAAAAATCAAGGAAAATATAATTTAAAAAAGCAGCAGCAAGAGTGGACACATATTCGAATTTTGAACCATTTCTCGTGGCCAAAGAGCATGTTTCATTTATAGTTTAGAATATGCTACTATACGTTCATCTCTCGATTTGTTCATGAAAACTTTCAAGTTGATTAATAAACACATTGTGAAGTGTCGCTACTGGTCAACTGAGGTTCAACAACATTTCCTTGGATGCTGTGCAAACTCCTTGCGGAATTGCCCAGCGAAATTGACAACAGCATCATGTTTCATAAAATGACATTTTCGAATGTAAATAATATATCTTTTTGCCTCAAATTATTCCACCATTTCATATCTTTTCACTTCGAAAATATTTAATTATGATCTAAACACAAACTGTCGAACACCTAGAAGTCTGATAAGGTGCCCCTCGTGCCAACGACGTGAACAGCTGATCCTGTTAAACTCGATAGAATGATCTTATTTCATTACATCATGTTTCCCAGTGTATTCAGTGAGATCTGCCGAAACTTTTTATTCGATTTTGGTATTTTTGATCATCTTTAAAAATCATATCATCGACATTTTATTTACATTTTGCAACCAACTCGAAGTTCTCAAAATCGTTTCCTGTTGGGACTATCCTCGTAGTTATTAATAATACAAATCGCAACCAAATATAGACTATGATCTATAAATCAATTCTGAAGAAACCAGTGTACGTTTTATTTCTATTTAAACAATTTTGCATCAGTATTTCTAAAAATTGAAAGTTGGAATCATATATCGTTTAACAGTTGGAGCGAAAACAAATCTTTGAATGCGATTTCCCACGCAAAATATACGGTGAAGCTTAAATATAAAATCTCTCCCAAACCAGGTTTCGGATCGATATATGCAAACCTCAGCATACTGTGTTAGTTGATTTTATTTCAATATATTTTGCATGAACACAGCGACCGTCTGTATGGTGTTGAATGTTATACGTTTTTACGTAGGTGTATAATAAACTCTTTGTAAACATAATATTTTAAAACAAAGCATTCTTTCTTAATTAACGGTAATTTCCAATCTACGATACCTCGGTGGAACATCCATCAAATTTATATTATTTTATATCATTGTAAAACATATGATTTTGTCAATCGGATTATATAAATACACAAATCCATTGATAGGCCCTTGCCGAAGTTGGGCACCTGCCTCCTGTGGTGTGACAATTCACGCAGTCTAGGGATTAACGAAGATAAGTGATAGAGTATGGGTTTACGCCGCTTTTAGTAATATTCCAGCAATTTCACGGCGGGGGACACCAGAAATGGGCTTCACACATTGTATTGTCTTGAACTCGGCGTGACGAGCGAACGCTTTAACCAGTAAACTACCCCACCGCCCGATTAACCAAATATAATCTCTAAATGTTCCAAACATTAATTGTCCGGAAGGCTAGAACTCTGACTAAGTGGCTCCTGACCACAGACCTTCAGACTGACGAGGGTACACGTCGGCCAAGTAACACCCGACCTATGCAAGTGAGGGGTCAGTCATCAGAAACATCTGACCAGGCTCATGAGTGAGTGAGTGAGTTTGATTTTACGCCGCTTTTAGCAATATTCCAGCAATATCACCAGAAAGTGGCTTCACACATTGTACCCATGTCGGGAATCGTACCCGGGTCATCGGATTGAAGAGCGAACGATTTAACCACAAGGCTACCCGACCACAGACCCACCTACGTTTGAATTGCGGGCATTCTTGTAAGGAGTAAATGACCCAAGTGCCCGTCAGTCTGAAGCTCTGGGACACAAGATGTATCTTGATTTGTGTAAGTACCTTTTATTTCTTCACATATGATACTAAAACCTTTCGAACAGTCATTAGTTTTAAATTCGAAGGTTTTCATCATGACGCAGAGCTGGGTGTCAAGACTATTGGGTTCGTCGAGAGCCCATGGAGCTCGTTTGTAATCTCCATACGGCCTGCAGTCGGTCCAGTGATAGGTAGGGCTTCCAACTTCAGTATTAGAAAGTCCAATCCACACAATGTCATCACCACTGTATCTGAAATGGCACATATAAAACATGCTAGAAATAACAGTGCGAAAAAGGAGCATCAACGACCTTTTACAATACTGTTTTCACAGTGGAGAATAATGGAATGATTTTTGTGCCGCAGCCATCACTAGCTAAGCCAAATCACAGAAAGTTATCGAGTCTGGGTCATATAATTACGTGAAGACAATTATGGGGAAATGCCCGTGGACCCTGGTACAAGAATCTCCGTGCGGAGAAATCCGGGCTTAAAGGACGCATCATACCAACAGGTAGCAAGCACTTGGGAAGTGTGTTGCCTGGGATCCCAGTATGCCCATGAGTGATTAGATATATTTCCCATATGTCCATGGGAAAGCCAATCTCTTTAAAATCAGATCTTAGTTCTCGCTACCGTTAAACAAAGATCTGAGGACATCCCATTTGGGGTCACGTCAAAACGACCTTTCGTACGACCAATCAGAGCGTCGCTTACCAGATCATGAAAGTGACAGTCGGAATGTGATTTCTCATCATGCAGCCTCGAAAGATAGTTATGGGCTTAAAGACTGAATCTATACAATCTAGACCATATATCAGCCATTCGAGAATGTTCTTTTGTTCAGGTTTCAAATTTTTAAGCGAGAATTTGTCAAATATGTTTCGAAGCGTAGTCGCCAATGTGAAATTAGTGCCGTAAAGCACGAGAAAGCTGCCTTCTGATTGGCTAATGTCGACTTCTTGTCAGTCATTTCATTGGTCGGTCAGAGTTTGCGAAAGGTCGGTCTGACGTGACCCGTAAAGTGATGTCCTCAGATCTTTGTTCAGCGGCAGCGAGAACTAAGATCTGATTTTAATGAGATTGTGGGAAAGCATGCGTGACGACTTTGGACCTCACCCAAGGGAGTCCTGTATCATTCGAAACTTTTGAGTTGCACCTACAGCAACACACTTGTGTACCTTGACTTCAGCGATATGCTTGTGCACCTTGTTACGAGTTGATTCAAACGTTGAAGCGCGAAGATTAACCCAGAAATCAGTACCTACATTGTGAAATCAGTCAATACCACACAAGATCAATGACAAATTAACAAATTATTTCAAAACACACAGGGTCAGATTTACAATTCTAAAAGGCAAAACAATAGATCTATTACAAAAGACAGTAAATAGCATTCCGCATTACGTAAGTCAGTGCACTTACGAATATCCAGAAGTTGGTTGTCCAGATTGAGACACATGCACTGTTCTTCAATCCAGGAAACACTGTTTGAAGCAGTCAGAAAAACCATTCTACTCTAATGTGGTAGTATTTCCCGGAAGTGTATATACAAGGGATAGTGCTTGGAATGTAATCAACAAAGAGAGGTCACTCGTGGGAGCATCAACGACCTTTTACAATACTGTTTTCACAGTGGAGAATAAAGGAATGATTTTTGTGCCGCAGCCATCACTAGCTAAGCCAAATCACAGAAAGTTATCGAGTCTGGGTCATATAATTACGTGAAGACAATTATGGGGAAATGCCCGTGGACCCTGGTACAAGAATCTCCGTGCGGAGAAATCCGGGCTTAAAGGACGCATCATACCAACAGGTAGCAAGCACTTGGGAAGTGTGTTGCCTGGGATCCCAGTATGCCCATGAGTGATTAGATATATTTCCCATATGTCCATGGGAAAGCCAATCTCTTTAAAATCAGATCTTAGTTCTCGCTACCGTTAAACAAAGATCTGAGGACATCCCATTTGGGGTCACGTCAAAACGACCTTTCATACGACCAATCAGAGCGTCGCTTACCAGATCATGAAAGTGACAGTCGGAATGTGATTTCTCATCATGCAGCCTCGAAAGATAGTTATGGGCTTAACGACTGAATCTATACAATCTAGACCATATATCAGCCATTCGAGAATGTTCTTTTGTTCAGGTTTCAAATTTTTAAGCGAGAATTTGTCAAATATGTTTCGAAGCGTAGTCGCCAATGTGAAATTAGTGCCGTAAAGCACGAGAAAGCTGCCTTCTGATTGGCTAATGTCGACTTCTTGTCAGTCATTTCATTGGTCGGTCAGAGTTTGCGAAAGGTCGGTCTGACGTGACCCGTAAAGTGATGTCCTCAGATCTTTGTTCAGCGGCAGCGAGAACTAAGATCTGATTTTAATGAGATTGTGGGAAAGCATGCGTGACGACTTTGGACCTCACCCAAGGGAGTCCTGTATCATTCGAAACTTTTGAGTTGCACCTACAGCAACACACTTGTGTACCTTGACTTCAGCGATATGCTTGTGCACCTTGTTACGAGTTGATTCAAACGTTGAAGCGCGAAGATTAACCCAGAAATCAGTACCTACATTGTGAAATCAGTCAATACCACACAAGATCAATGACAAATTAACAAATTATTTCAAAACACACAGGGTCAGATTTACAATTCTAAAAGGCAAAACAATAGATCTATTACAAAAGACAGTAAATAGCATTCCGCATTACGTAAGTCAGTGCACTTACGAATATCCAGAAGTTGGTTGTCCAGATTGAGACACATGCACTGTTCTTCAATCCAGGAAACACTGTTTGAAGCAGTCAGAAAAACCATTCTACTCTAATGTGGTAGTATTTCCCGGAAGTGTATATACAAGGGATAGAGCTTGGAATGTAATCAACAAAGAGAGGTCACTCGTGGGAATATCACCATAGGCCGCCTAAACACTTGATTTTTATGAGCGCTTCATTTGTTGCAACTAAGAATCATCAAAAATAACCTAAAATAACATAAACCACATAACACATTATCTGCAGCAAAACATCTTTGTATCTTTACTACAACGATATCCATTAAGACATAAACAACAGCAACATGCCTTTGAAGGTGTACCGCGACAACAGATATATATATATATATCTTCTTGCCTCTACTACAGCGATATACACGTGTACCTCTAGCTCTACTACAGAGATCTATCTTCTTGCCTCTACTACATGGAAATACATCTGTATCCCTACTACAGAGATCTATCTTCTTGCCTATACTACATGTAAATACATATGTATCCCTACTACAGAGATCTATCTTCTGGCCTCTAATACAGCTATATACACGTGTGCCTCTAGCTCTACTACAGAAATCTATCTTCTTGCCTCTGCTACAGCGATATACGTGTGAACCTCTAGCTCTACTACAGAGATATATCTTCTTGCCTCTACTACATGGACATACATGTGTACCTCTAGTTCTTCTACAGAGATATATCTTCTTGCCTCTACTACATGGACATACATGTGTACCTCTATATGATAGTGACGGCACGATTGCCTGTGTGGTGTTTCATTTCAACTCACTCACAACTAATTCTGATAAATACTTGATTTTGATTTGATTTTGAGGTTTGTTTTTACATGACCATTCACAATGACACAATTAAAGGTCGTATGAAATTAAAAAATGGAAAGTCCCTTAAGCTTGATCAAATATCATTAATTTGTTAAGAAGTAATAGTGGATGTGTCATTTCTTACAGGTGTTGCAAGGCAGAAAGGTCATAGTCGGTATCAATCTTGACGAGTCTCCAGCCTCTGTGAGCGCAGTAGCTGGCCGCATTACTCCAGCTCATGCGTGTCAATCCGAAATGATACACAACAGGTCTTGATGGCGCAGATCTTCCACTTGTTGCTGAAACGAAGCAGTCACAGTTGAAAAGGTTTGGGTTGGGTGCATCTTTAACAGTATTTTAGTTATTCGACGGAGCGCCAACAAACGCGTTTACCGCCAAATTTTTACATAATATATTTGCCATGAAGGATTATGTGTATCTTGATATGTTTTGTTATTAGAATTGGAATACAACACACATGATCAATCAGAGCCTACATGTGGATCTTCATGTCGATGGTCTACTCCATGTGTCGAGGCAAAGACATGGCACAACAATACAAATATACCTTAGGGAGTAAGGGTTTGCAGTTGTACAATGATCACTCTTATACGTATGAACCATCAACTTAACTGCAACAGTCTGCAATTCTCCAACCGTCCCTGCTAGAACTGACCAGACAATAAGTAAGCCATGTGGTTACAGATAACTGTCAAGCTAAACTGTGTTGAGAGTGTGTAGCCTTGCTGTGGCTCTAAAATGTTTTCACAATTCAGAAACGTTGATATGAAAACAGGAAATATAATTCTGTTTAATGTCATCATAATATATCAGTTAAATCCTACTTATTTTGGGGATACTAATTATTAGCAAGTCTATGCTCATAATTCCCCCTACTATCAGTTGCTATCTTCACAAACTTAACTTCAACTGTTGATCTCACTCCTATGAAATAAAAAGCAGGAATGCTTATCTTCTTCTGACATGGAAGAGCAACATGCACTGGATGGAAATTGTGTGTACGTGACTTTACTTGCTTGTGTATAGTGTCCCAGGAAGATATTATTGTGATGTACTTGATATACTTCACTGTTTCCTGAACTGGTTGCACAACACTGATAATGATATAAAAAGTGAATATGTTCATAGGTTTCTTCATAGAATGTAAGATGTACAGGACTACTTCAGTTTAGGATGAGTAATATAATTTCATTTATGATTTTACTTTCATTATCATACCTTCAGCATGTTCAGATTATTACAAATGAAAGTTTGATAATTATTTCATATTAAACATAGAGAGAGGTGTGGAGTTTATGGAGATTATTTCTAACATTGGCATTGTTGATACAATTCTTAATTCTGTAGGATATGACAACATGCACAAATTTACATTTAGTTGGTAGTTTTAACATTTGTATAATTAAATATGCATTATTATAAAATTGTTACATAGACTTGCCTATGCTTAGAAGTAAGCTTCCAAATGTTTTTTAATGCATCTTTGAATAATGTGTCGTCTGCTAGCCCGGCTAGTGTAATCTGTTAACAATTAATCACCAGCTGTCAAAAACCAACTGGCCTTTCTTGGCAGTGGAATGTCATATTGCTGAATTCAAAGAAAACAAACCTGCTGACTTTTGAGCAAATACTGCTGTAACACTGACCTGTGACTCCCCTAAACACTCGTCTATGTGCTGTAATACTGACCTGTGACCTCCCCCAAACCGTCGTGTATGATGCTGTAATACTGCCCTGTGACCTATCCTAAACACTCGTCTATGTGCTGTAATACTCACCTGTGACCTCCCCTAACTCGTCATGTGCTGTAATACTGACCTGTGACCTCCCCTAACACTCGTCATGTGCTGTAATACTGACCTGTGACCTCCCCCTAACACTCGTCTATCTGCTGTAATACTGACCTGTGACCTCCCCTAACACTCGTCATGTGCTGTAATACTGACCTGTGGCCTCCCCTAACACTCGTCTATGTGCTGTAATATTGACCTGTGACCTCCCCTAACACTCGTCATGTGCTGTAATACTGACCTGTGACCTTCCCTAACACTCGTCATGTGCTGTAATACTGACCTGTGACCTCCCCCTAACACTCGTCATGTGCTGTAATACTGACCTGTGACCTCCCCTAACACTCGTCATGTGCTGTAATACTGACCTGTGACCTTCCCTAAATACTCGTCTATGTGCTGTAATACTGACGTCTGGCCTCCCCTAACACTCGTGTATGTGCTGTAATACTGAGCTGTGACCTCCCCTAACACTCGTCATGTGCTGTAATACTGACCTATGACCTCCCCTAACACTCGTCATGTGCTGTAATATTGACCTGTGACCTCCCCTAAATACTCGTCTATGTGCTGTAATACTCACCTTTGACCTACGCTAAACACTCGTCAATGTGCTGTAATACTGACCTGTGACCTCCCCTAAACACTCGTCTATGTGCTGTAATACTCACCTGTGACCTACGCTAAACACTCGCCAATGTGCTGTAATACTCACCTGTGACCTACGCTAAACACTCGCCAATGTGCTGTAATACTAACGTCTGGCCTCCCCTAACACTCGTCAATGTGCTGTAATACTGACCTGTGACCTCCCCTAAACACTCGTCTATGTGCTGTAATACTGACCTGTGACCTCCCCTAAACACTCGTCTATGTGCTGTAATACTCACCTGTGACCTACGCTAAACACTCGTCAATGTGCTGTAATACTGACCTGTGGCCTCCCCTAAACACTCGTCTATGTGCTGTAAAACTGCCCTGTGGCCTTCCCTAACACTCGTCTATGTGCCATAATACTGACCTGTGGCCTCCCCTAACACTCGTCTATGTGCCATAATACTGACCTGTGGCCTCCCCTTACACTCGTCACATGTGCTGTAATACTGACCTGTGGCCTCCCCTAACACTCGTCTATGTCCTGTAATACTGACCTGTGACCTACCCTAAACACTCGTCTATGTGCTGTAATACTGAACTATGACCTCCCCAAAACCCTCGTTTATGTCCTGTAATACTGACCTGTGACCTCCCTGAACCCACATCTATGTGTTGCAATACTGACCTGTGACCTCCCCTAAACTCTCGTCGATGTGCTGTAATACTGACCTGTGACTCCCCTAAACCCTCGTCTATGTGCTGTAATACTGACCTGTGACCTAACCTAAACACTCGTCTATGTGCTGTAATACTGACCTGTGACCTCCCCTAAACACTCGTCAATGTGCTGTAATACTGACCTGTGGCCTCCCCTAACACTCGTCTATGTGCTGTAATACTGACCTGTGGCCTCCCCTAACACTCGTCTATGTCCTGTAATACTGACCTGTGACCTCCCCTAACACTCGTCTATGTGCTGTAATACTGCCCTGTGGCCTCCCCTAACACTCTTCTATGTCCTGTAATACTCACCTGTGACCTACCCTAAACACTCGTCTATGTGCTGTAAAACTGACCTGTGACCTCCCCTAAACACTCGTCAATGTGCTGTAATACTGACCTGTGGCTTCCCCTAACACTCGTCTATGTCCTGTAATACTGACCTGTGACCTCCCCTAACACTCGTCTATGTGCTGTAATACTGCCCTGCGGCCTCCCCTAAACACTCGTCTATCTGCTGTAATACTGACCTGTGACATCCCCTAACACTCGTCTATTTCATGTAATACTGACCTGTGACCTACCCTAAACACTCGTCTATGTGCTGTAATACTGAACTATGACCTCCCCAAAACCCTCGTTTATGTCCTGTAATACTCACCTGTGACCTCCCTGAACCCACATCTATGTGTTGCAATACTGACCTGTGACCTCCCCTAAACCCTCGTCGATGTGCTGTAATACTGACCTGTGACCTCCCTGAACCCACATCTATGTGTTGCAATACTGACCTGTGACCTCCCCTAAACACTTGTCTATGTACGGTAATACTGACCTGTGACCTCCCTGAACCCACGTCAATGTGCTGAAATACTGACCTTTGACCTCCCCTGAACCCTCTATTGTACTATTGACACGTGGCCATCGACGAACCCTTTCGTCATGTTGTAGTAAGTAGTTTTTATTTATTTTAATATTGACCTATTATCGTCGATGGCACTTTGTGCCTACATTTGACTTGCAGACCCGTGACCACCGACAGGCTTATGTTTCACGGTTGACAATGGAGCTGAAATGTATTATGGTCTTACCCCTAATTATGTCTTAGCAGCTCGCGAGTATCATGAATATAATATGCTTGTTTTTCACATTCAGTGAATGTTGTATTGATCATGATATATTGAGCGAAACGGTTTTTATTTTTAATAATTTATTAGCGATACGTACCAGTGGATAGCGCCAATCCAATTACAGCGATAACTACCTTGGCTGAAAACATGGTGGACTCTAACCTGGAAGGCAAGGAACAGATATTGTAATATACTGATAATACTGATGACATATACACATATAGGAAACATAAGGACGTAGCATACACACAGAAGTGAAATATGGGGATAAAACTCCCTCCCCCCTCCCCCTCCCCGGCCTACTTAGTTGCAAGACAAACATATTTTCTGGTCCATCGATCACTTCATTGTCTGGTTTATTTACAGCTCACCGTGGTGTGGCGTCAGACAACAAACGCTTTGTTTGAGTGGCGGGTGCTAACGGTAGGGAAGGACATGATGAACTTTTTAGCGAACTCCTGGTGGCATCAGTTTTCACCCAAATTTTGCCTTTTACGTCCAACGAAATCTTCGGGGGATGGTTATTCTCTTGTGTTGACGTTATATTATATACTAAGAGTAGATTTGTCATATGCATGAGAGAGAAAGATAGAGATAAGAGGAAATATACTTTTGTCAAAACGCACTGCCATCACTTTGGTTACGAGTGGTTGTATGCAATGCAAACCCATGTTAATAAATCAAACCACAATCAATAAACTCAAACGCTAGTTGATATTAAACACTTCAATATAGATGGACGTGCAATTGTCAGGGGGACAATACTTTTACACTACTAACCCCTGAGTAAAATCACACTATTTTAAAACAATTCAAAATTTATCAAAGAATGTTATTTCTTTTTAAAATACGAGAATTAAATGAGCATTGATATTATTAAAAAGATCCTTTAAAGAGGGTAAATGCGGTTGAATAAGTATTTCTTGTGGGATAAATATACTTCCAGGTAGTATCTCATAGGCTTTCTCAAGATGGAAAAAAAACCTGATACTACGTGTTGTTTGTTTACAATAGCATTTTTAACAAAGAATTCTTGTTGTGATAAATGGTCGATAGTACTTCGATTTTTGCGAAAACTACATTGAATATATGTATGGTGATTATTGGTTTCCAAACACCAAACTAATATATTATTTATCATTCGTTTCAAGGTCTTACAGACACAGTTATAGGGCGGTAATTAGATAGATCTGTATGATCCCGTCCAGGCTTTGGTATAGGGACTACAATGGCATGATGCCACGAAGGAGGAAAATCGCCGAAGTCCATATTTGATCAAATAATTCTAAAAGGGTTTCAAGATATGATTCAGACAAATGCTTCAGGTGCTGATAGTGAATATTATCAGCAACTGTCGCTGTGTCATGAGCTTGCCCGAGGACAGTATGTCGCTCATGTAAAGAAAACACTTCATTATAGTCTTGTTGTGAATTAAGGGACATCAACAGACGATGACGAATGTTTAGCCAAAGTTTTACCAAGTTTGTTGGCAATATCTGATTTATAAGTTAATAATGTTTTAAGTCACATGCTTTATTCCCTGGTGGAGAAAAGGAATGATGACAGTTGTACTGTCTTAAATCAAATACGTCGGTATGTTTATGATACGTCTCTTGGAGACATATACTGACTGGTTAAAATATTGTACCAACAAGTGTATTAACATTCCTCCTGAGTCCTCGGCAACTCCAGTGAATCAAATTTAGGACGCCACGCATGGAGGCTCAACTGAGGATCTAGAACGTGTGGAATGGCCACTCCCATGTACGGTGTGTGATGGAGTGACGTCCATATCAAGCGGATGAAACGGATAGTGAACCGTTACAGGGGTTTCTAAAGAAGTAGGAACCTCCAAATGCTGGAGTGCCATGGTCTTTCTCCTCAACTGTTTCCTTTTCTTTTTTTGTCTTGTAAACTGCCTCAGGTTCTTGCTCAGATGTTTTGGTCAGATGGTGGTTCAGGTGGATTCTCTGTCTGAGAGGCTGACGAACATGTCTGTGAATTTTGTGGCATAAATGTGTCATCAAGTGCGACCTGTGAGTCTGTCATCCAAGATATGACAAACTGACATGAAATTGATTGTTTTGTAACTCTGGTGGCAGTAGGAACAGGAGCATGAACAGAAGTAGAAACTGCAGCAGAATATGTGAAAGTAGGATTTGGAGATCGAATTGGAACTTTGTGTTTTTGCTTCAGAAAAAGAGATATTGTTTGTGTACCTAATTTTGAGGATTTTTTTACTGATGTTCAATTTTGGGGCAGGGGTTTGATGATGCCAAATGTTTCCCGTCTCAGTTGGCACACTTGATCTCATTTGTGCACTCAGGGCTCTCATGAGCCCCACTGCAACGAATGCGGATACTATTGTGAGTGCAAGTCCTGGCACCATGTCCAAACAGCTGGCATTTAAACATCGGAGTGGGTTGGGTATATATACTTCCACACCGATGTTAAAGTAGCCAGTTCTTATTGGTTGATTATTGCTGTCTTGTTTTCTAGTCAAACGTTTACAAGCGGTAACGCAAGAGAAAATTATAGAAATACTAATATACACAATACGTCAACACAAGAGAATAATAGAAATACTAATATACACAAAAAATGAACGCAAGAGAATTATAGAAATACTAATATACACAATACGTCAACGCAAGAGAATGATAGAAATACAATATTCACAAAACCTCAACCGCAGAGAATTATAGAAATACTAATATACTCAATACGTCAACACAAGAGAATTATAGAAATACTAATATACACAATACGTCAACACAAGAGAATTATAGAAATACTAACATACACAAAACTTCAACCCAAGAGATTTATAGAAATACTTATCAACACAAAACGTCAACGCAAGAGAATAATAGAAATACTAAATACTAATATACACAAAACCTCAACCCGAGAGAATTATAGAAATACAAATATACACAAAAATGAACGAAAGAGAATTATAGAAATACTAATATACACAAAAAATGAACGCAAGATATATATAGAAATACTTATATACACAATACATCAACACAAGATTAGTACAGAAATACTAATATACACAAAACCTAAACGCAAGAGATATATAGAAATACTAATATACACAATACGTCAACACAAGAGAATAATAGAAATACTAATATACACAATACGTCAACACAAGAGAATAATAGAAATACTAATATACAAAAAAATGAACGCAAGAGAATTACAGAAATACTAAGATACACAATACGTCAACGCAAGAGAATGATAGAAATACTAATACACACAAAACGTCAACACAAGAGAATAATAGAAATACTAATATATACAAAAAATGAACGCAAGAGAATTATAGAAATACTAATATACACAATACGTCAACGCAAGAGAATGATAGAAATACTAATACACACAAAAGGTCAACGCAAGAGAATAATAGAAATACTAATATACACAAAACTTCAACCCAAGAGAATTATAGAAATACTAATATACACAATACGTCAACGCAAGAGAATTAAAGAAAAACTAATATACACAAAACGTCAACGCAAGAGAATAATAGAAATACTAATATACACAAAAAATGAACGCAAGAGAATTATAGAAATACTAAGATACACAACACGTCAACGCAAGAGAATTATAGAAATACAATATACACAAAACCTAAACGCCAGAGATATATAGAAATACTTATATACACAATACATCAACACAAGATTATTATAGAAATACTAATATACACAATTCGTCAACACAAGAGAATTATAGAAATACTAATATACACAAAACCTCAACCCAAGAGAATTATAGAAATACTAATATACACAATACATCAACACAAGAGAATTATAGAAATACTAATATACACAATACGTCAACACAAGAGAATAATAGAAATACTAATATACACAATACATCACCACAAGCGAATTATAGAAATACTAATATACACAAAAAATGAACGCAAGATATATATAGAAATACTTATTTACACAATACATCAACACAAGATTAGTACAGAAATAGTAATATACACAAAACCTAAACGCAAGAGATATATAGAAATACTAATATACACAATACGTCAACACAAGAGAATAATAGAAATACTAATATACACAAAACCTCAACCCAAGAGAATTATAGAAATACTAATATACACAATACGTCAACACAAGAGAATTATAGAAATACTAATATACACAATACGTCAACACAAGAGAATTATAGAAATACTAATATACACAATACATCAACCCAAGAGAATTAAAGAAATACTAATACACACAAAACGTCAACGCAAGAGAATAATAGAAATACTAATATACACAATACGTCAACGCAAGAGAATGATAGAAATACTAATACACACAAAACGTCAACGCAAGAGAATAATAGAAATACTAATATACACAAAACCTCAACCCAAGAGAATTATAGAAATACTAATATACACAATACGTCAACGCAAGAGAATTATAGAAATACTAATATACACAATACATCAACACAAGAGAATTATAGAAATACTAATACACACAAAACCTCAAACCAAGAGAATTATAGAAATACAAATATACATAATACGTCAACGCAAGAAAATTATAGGAATACTAAGATACACAACACGTCAACGCAAGAGAATGATAGAAATACAATATACACAAAACCTAAACGCCAGAGATATATAGAAATACTTATATACACAATACATCAACACAAGATTATTATAGAAATACTAATATACACAATACGTCAACACAAGAGAATTATAGAAATACAATATACACAAAACCTCAACACAAGAGAATTATAGAAATACTAATATACACAATACGTCAACACAAGAGAATAATAGAAATACTAATATACACAATACATCAACACAAGAGAATTATAGAAATACTAATATACACAATACGTCAACACAAGAGAATAAAAGAAATACTAATATACAAAAAAAATTAACGCAAGAGAATTATAGAAATACTAAGATACACAATACGTCAACGCAAGAGAATGATAGAAATACTAATACACACAAAACGTCAACACAAGAGAATAATAGAAATACTAATATATACAAAAAATGAACGCAAGAGAATTATAGAAATACTAAGATACACAACACGTCAACGCAAGAGAATTATAGAAATACAATATACACAAAACCTAAACGCCAGAGATATATAGAAATACTTATATACACAATACGTCAACACAAGATTATTATAGAAATACTAATATACACAATACGTCAACACAAGAGAATAATAGAAATACTAATATACAAAAAAAATGAACGCAAGAGAATTATAGAAATACTAATACACACAATACATCAACGCAAGAGAATGATAGATACTAATACACACAAAACGTCAACGCAAGAGAATTATCGAAATACTAAGATACACAATACGTCAACGCAAGAGAATGATAGAAATACTAATACACACAAAACCTAAACGCAAGAGATATATAGAAATACTTATATACACAATACATCAACACAAGATTATTATAGAAATACTAATATACAGAAAACCTAAACGCAAGAGATTTATAGAAATACTTATATACACAATACATCAACACAAGAGATTTGTAGAAATACTAAAATACACAAAAGCTCAACACAAGAGGTTAATAGAAATACTAATATACACAATACGTCAACACATGAGAATAATAGAAATACTAATATACACAAAACCTCAACCGAAGAGATTTATAGAAATACTAATATACACAAAACCACAACACAAGAGAATTATAGAAATACTAATATACACAATACGTCAACACAAGAGAATAATAGAAATACTAATATATACAAAAAATGAACGCAAGAGAATTATAGAAATACTAATATACACAATACGTCAACGCAAGAGAATGATAGAAATACTAATACACACAAAACGTCAACGCAAGAGAAAAATAGAAATACTAATATACACAAAACCTCAACCCAAGAGAATTATAGAAATACTAATATACACAATACGTCAACGCAAGAGAATTAAAGAAAAACTAATATACACAAAACGTCAACGCAAGAGAATTATAGAAATACTAATATACACAAAAAATGAACGCAAGAGAATTATAGAAATACTAAGATACACAACACGTCAACGCAAGAGAATTATAGAAATACAATATACACAAAACCTAAACGCCAGAGATATATAGAAATACTTATATACACAATACATCAACACAAGATTATTATAGAAATACTAATATACACAATTCGTCAACACAAGAGAATTATAGAAATACTAATATACACAAAACCTCAACCCAAGAGAATTATAGAAATACTAATATACACAATACATCAACACAAGAGAATAATAGAAATACTAATATACACAATACATCAACACAAGAGAATTATAGAAATACTAATATACACAATACGTCAACACAAGAGAATAAAAGAAATACTAATATACAAAAAAAATTAACGCAAGAGAATTATAGAAATACTAATACACACAATACGTCAACGCAAGAGAATGATAGAAATACTAATACACACAAAACGTCAACGCAAGAGAATTATCGAAATACTAAGATACACAATACGTCAAAGCAAGAGAATGATAGAAATACTAATATACACAAAACCTAAACGCAAGAGATTTATAGAAATACTAATATACACAATACATCAACACAAGAGATTTGTAGAAATACTAAAATACACAAAAGCTCAACACAAGAGGTTAATAGAAATACTAATATACACAATACGTCAACACAAGAGAATAATAGAAATACTAATATACACAAAACCTCAACCGAAGAGATTTATAGAAATACTAATATACACAAAACCACAACACAAGAGAATTATAAAAATACTAATATACATAATACATCAACGCAAGAGAATTATAGAAATACTAATATACACAATACATCAACGCAAGAGAATTATAGAAATACCAATGTACACAATACGTCAACGCAAGAGAATTATACAAATACTAATACACCGAAAACCTCAAGACAAGGGAATTATAGAAATACTAATGTATACAATACGTCAACACAAGAGAATTATAGAATGCTAATATACACAATACGTCAACGCAAGAGAATTATAGAAATATCAATATACACAATACGTCAACGAAAGAGAATTATAGAAATACTAATATTCACAATACGTCAACGCAAGAAAATTATAGAAATAGTAATATACACAATACGTCAACGCAAGAGAATTATAGAAATAGTAATACACACAAATCCTCAAGACAAGGGAATTATAGAAATACTAATATACACAAAACCACAACACAAGAGAATTATAAAAATACTAATATATACAATACGTGAACGTAAGAGAATTATAGAAATACTAATATACACAATACGTCAACGCAAGAAAGTTAGAGATATACTAATATACACAATACGTCAACACAAGAGAATGATAGAAATACTAATACACAATACATCAACGCAAGAGAATTATAGAAATACTTATGCACACAATACGTCAACGCAAGAGAATGATTGAAACACTAACATACAAATTACGTCAACACAAGAGAATTATAGAAATACTAATATACACAATACATCAACACAAGAGAATTATAGAAATACTAATATACACAATACGTCAACGCAAGAGAATGATAGAAATACTAATACACACAAAACGTCAACGCAAGAGAATAATAGAAATACTAATATACACAATACATCAACACAAGAGAATTATAGAAATACTAATATACACAATACGTCAAAGCAAGAGAATAAAAGAAATACTAATATACACAATACGTCAACACAAGAGAATTATAGAAATACTAATACACAATACGTCAACGCAAGAGAATGATTGAAACACTTGTATACACAATACATCAACCCAAGAGATTTATAGAAATACTTATATACACAAAACGTCAACGCAAGAGAATAATAGAAATACTAATATACACAAAAAATGAACGCAAGAGAATTATAGAAATACTAATATACTAATATTGTTATTGAAAAGGATTTCATATATAATTTCTAAGTGATAAAAAAACACACCTGTTTTCAATGAATCAGGCAATGAATACTTAGAAGGGACATTATGCAGCTTACTAGAGATGGCCTCGGGGGCAATGCGGTTCGTTAAACAGTGAACCTCCAAATAAAATCAGAGAGAAATATATAGCTTAGGCGTGAGTTCAGCCCCCAGTGTGAGTGAAAGAGAAAGTAAATACGTTTTGGTTGCCGAGTTCAGACACATCCCAGCGGTCACCAGGTGCAGGTAAATAATCAAGTCTTGACTAGAAGAACTAGTGTTTGGTATCAAAAGTATCGAACTATACACGCCGTCACTACGCTCATTCACTGTAAGAACTTACCTTCCATCACAAGAGTCCCTGGAACTGAAGACCTACAGATAAACAGGTGAATGGTGCGCCGGCCAACTTAGCCTCACCATCAAGAACGTCATAATATAAATGCACATACCTATTAAAACCGTTATGTTTATTTCAGACAAATGTTGTAACGCTTGGGTGTTTACACCAATTTAATTGCATCCCCAACGAATATAAATTGGATCTGATGAGCTTAGTGTTCCGGAACGTTGGTGAAAGTCGGCCAAGATTCTGTGCGTCAGATTTATTTACACATCATGGAACTGTTCCTAAATTATCCAGTTCATTTATGCAAACGTGTGTTGACGTGCCTTTGCATTCGTTTGTGACGGGAGCCACCAGAATACGCTCACTAATTCGCAAACACCTGGTATCGTCACTATTCGATAGTAATTCATAAACACATGCTCACGATACAATCGACTTCTTGTGTAATTGTGTAATTGTTTTTTCGTTTCAACTTTCCAATAGTCAAATTTCCGTTTGTTGAAGGGGGCACGGGTGGCCCAGTCATCTAAGGCGCCGCGATACGCTGTGCAGAGTTGCGTCCCTTGGGCTCGCCAAAAACCTATGTTTGTGGGTTCGGATCACGGTTCGCCCCGATTATGTTTCTAGGTTTGTCAGCACCATACCCGTGCTCGTGGGTTTCACCGAAGTGGTAAACGTTTGAGACCTGCATCACTTCGGGCTTTCCTCCCACATTCAGCTGACACGCCGTGATATGACTGGAATGCTGTTAAAAACGGCGTTAAACACAACTCACCTCTCACTTTATGGTGAACATAATTCCAGAAGTTCTTTAGTGTCTCCTTTTTGAGGCACAATCGAGCATTCTCTTCCGACGATGGTTATAAAGAGGGACAAGAGGGATGACTTCAACTTTCTAATAGTCAAACTCCCCTTCATGTGAAGCTATATTCCAGTACCTCCAGCCTTTGATGTGTACATTTCACTTTTGAGGTACAATCGAGCATGGTCAAAAGTCGTTTGATCAGGGTTACATTCAAGGCCTCGGTAAAGCTTTCAAAAGGTTTAAGGGTAGACATGCGGGGGATATTTACAAATTTGACACATCAGTGACAAAAATAATGTCCGATTCAAATTCCTATTTAGATTTGATTTTAAATGAATAATAACTTTGCCTTGTATGTGTTTGTGACATGAGCCACCTGTGGGCCAAGATACGCTCACCTTTTCGCGAACACCTGGTGTCATCACTATTTCATAATGATTCCTGAATACATGCTTAAGATATAACGGGGTCTGGAAATGTGTATTTGGTATGGTGAGGCTTCATCAACCAAGTCACAGAGTCTGACCACCCAAACCACTACGTCTTCTCGTACGACAAGCATGGGTTGTTCGAGACGAAATCTAACCAGGAATACCCAAGTGGAGATGTCATGTAAAGGTTTATAATATATCGTAAGGTTTGAGATGATCTCATTTAAACAGTTTCGTAACAAGATTGCTTGCGTTCCTTTTCTGCATTGTTCGATTCCAAAAGTGTTTTGTATCCGAAGGTCGTTTTCTGTCTCTGGTAGTGATATGTTGCTTAAAAATACCTAATCAGTCATCCGAGAAAAACAGTCAAAGTCTTCTATTTAAACAGCCTGGCTTGGCTGATTCCAGGTAGCCTCGCATGACCTGGTACATTGTTTGGCAGACTCGATGAAGTGATAATTAGTCCTGGCGAATGCATTTACAAGATTGTATAACATGTGGTCAGGTGAGTGAGTGAGTTGGGTTTAACGCCGCTTTTAACATTATTCCAGTTATATCACGGCATGTCAGCTTAAGTGATGCAGGTGTCGGACGTTTACCACTTCGGTAAAACCCACGAACACGGGTATGGTGCTGACAAACCAAGAAACATAATCGGGACGAACCGGGATTCGAACCGACAAACATAGGTTTCTGGCTTGCCCAAGGGACGCAACTCTGCACAGCGAAATGCGGCGCCTCAGACAAGGCCACCCGTGCCCCCTGTGGTCAGGTGAAATATATCGACGTTCACGTGTATGTGTGTTATTGTTTGTTTCGTGCGTGCGCGCGCGCGTGTGTGTGCTTGTACTTTAACGGACTGGTGCCGGTTATAGAGTGCAAGGCCACTGAGATACCATGCCACACTTGAACATGGCTACCCAACTCTGACACATAAAACTTACCGACCAGTCATTGTTTCATGCCGAGCGCAAGGCAGGGTGACAACTACAATATCATAACATCTATTGGCATTAAACATCCACGGGACCGAACCTCCGTCTCTCTGGCAGACGCTTTATCATCCACTAGACCGCGGAGGCTGGTCTCATATCACTGTTAGAGCCAATATAGCAAGCTATGTGGACAAATACATAAAACAAATAACACCTGAGATATTATTCATCCAAATGAGAAATAAATAAATAAATATTTCATATTTTATTGACATAAATACATAAATCAAAATCAGCATAGTTCATTCAAAAAGCAGACAGTTTTAGTGCAGGGTGTATTAGAAATTTATATGAATTATTGAAAGTTGGTACATCTGGAAACACAACTTTTGTTCCCGAGGCCACAGCATATATAATACCAGTTGCTTGACTATTTGTGCCAAATTAACATGAAAGACGAGGCAGAATATTTTAATGAAGTTTCGTCTCAAGAGAATCCCTTGAGTTTTATCAACATGATCAAAAGTTTGTACATATTAATAACAATTCAAAATGGATTACAGATGAATGTTCCTAATAGATGCTTTGGGGCCTTCAATAGTTTTATACATCACCATATTTGCGCGGGGTGAGTTTGGTTTTACAGCTTTTTAATTGTCTTTTGTTTGTTGTTTAACGCCCAATATTCCAGTTATATGACGGTGGTTTGTTCATAATCGAATCTGGACCAGACTATCCAGTGATTGATACGATGACATGCATCAACCAAGTCAGCGAGCCTGACCACCCGTCCCCTTTAGTCGCATCTTTCAGGCAGAGCCGCCTCTTATGACAGGCATGGGTTGCGTTTAACAGTATCCCAGTTATAGCATGGCATGTCAGCTTGATGTGGGAGGAAATCCTGAAGTGATACATTACCGCGCCTCAGAAACCTGGGCGACAGGTGCCCAAAATTTGCACGGAAGATAAACAAGACAATGATAAAAAAGGTTGGATCGAATCCAAATTCATTTTAGTTCTTATTTTAGGTTTGAGTGAAGTGGTTGTGGCCTTAACGGTTCAGAAAATTGTAACCAAAGAAATTGTTGGCTCTCCATATTTGTATGGAATAATGTTTTGCTATAAATTAACACAAGATCTTAAATAAATCAAGTTGCTCGAATACTTATTAAAATTATTTAAACAAAAGCTGTTATTTCTAAAGGAAAATGACGAACAGATTATGCATCTAAGTCCGATAATCTTACCTCAGTACGACCAATAAGTGATAACTATAGTCAAGAACAGAAGAATATAAAATTGTATTCACTGAATTCTTTTTATTATTGTGATATACAAGGACCGGTGACATAAAGATATCAATACACAGACAGGTGATCTCCAGAGGCCAACTACACCCAAGGAGGACTAGATTACTCACAGTAAATACGGGAATGCTTAACTACAAACACCATATTCTTCCTGTTATTCACAGCCTTAGAAACTTGATTTTTCACAGATAAGTTCAGAGTGCGAGTGCCAACCTTATTTCACTAGTCCTGTTTGTTGCCAACCAGGCATAGTTTACGGTGTTTACATGCTCTGTCAGTTTTATTGAGTTTTTGAAGCATTGAGAACTGGTTCAGAACTATAGCCCTCCAATGGTACTAGTCTATGAGGACTACAGAAATTGAATTCTTTGTTAGTTGTCTCGGACTAGCATGAATTTAGAAGGCTGTTTTCGTCTATATTTTAGACTGGTATATGTATATTACAAAATCTACTCAGCGGGATTTTCAAGGTGACAATTTGTCCTTGATCAGATAACATCACAAGGTGTCAAGCCTGCTTCATAATCATAATGGACTGCTGGGGCCGATTTCACAAAGCGATCTCAGCGCAATAATTATCGTAGGTCTACGTTAAAGTAAAGTAAACGATAAACGTAGCGCTGAGGCCCTTGGCATCATGTTGGAGGACAGATGAAACACAATGAGTCAAGATTACAGTAAAATGCATTGATTCCTGTTTGAAGTACATGCATACCATTTAGAAACTTCAGTCACAGATAAAAGTTACACTTCTGCATTTGCAATATCAGTCATCTTTTCAATTTGATCAAAATGAAGGTGGGTCTTTCATCACCACTTTTCCTGAATCAACTTGAGGATATTTCCTTTCAAAATGGGTCAATCCAAGGTATACTGGACTACATTGGTCAATGCAGTGATGCATTTCTCATTAATAAACATACATGAAATATATGGCACTCATATTTGAATTAACCTGTTCCTTGCCGTAGCATCAGCAATCATTTGATCAGGTGCTACTTTCACTGCCAATGAAATGTGTCAAATGGTGATCAAGAAGACTAACCATTTGACAACAAAAACAAAATTGGCATATTACTAAACACTATTATGGTTTTTGTATACAAGACTTGATGAGGTTTGAAATAGCACTTATCATAAGATCATGCCACTGTTTGAAGCTCATCAATGACTATCAAATTCTAGAAAGTTGGATTTAACATTGATTTGATCAGTATTACAGTTACATCACAGCAAGTCAGACTAAGGTTGCAAGAAGGCCCACAGTGTGGAAGAGTTTTACCACCTTAGTGTTGGTGTGCATGTTTGTTTGATTGTTGTTTAACTCCGCACTCAGCAATTTTCCAGCTAGAAGACGGCAGCCTGTAAATAATTGAGTATGGACCAGACACTCCAGTGATCGATATTGTGAACAATCCATGTTGTGGGAGTATGATGACATGCTCTCAACCATGTCAGTGAGCCTGGCCATGATCCATTTGGGCGTCTCTTATAACCAGAATAGATTGCTGGGGACCTATTCTAGCCCTGAATGCCATCAGTTTGTGAAACCCACAAGAACAAGAAAGGTGCTGTCAACCTTGGGATCATAATCAGAGATAATCTGGGATGACCAGCAACTCCTGGCACGTCTGTGGATGCAATGATAGAAGACTTTACACCTTTTGTTGCTGGACAATCAAAGATAAAGAACATGAGTGGGCACTGCAATCCACTGTATCACTTACCTCATCTTCGAAACCAGAAATTATGTCCTCAAATTGTGGGTTTGTTATTTGAGGAATGCCATCCATTCCCATCATAGGCCAAAATGTGTTCTAACAGAAAATATCTTAAATTTTGAAGTATTATAAAAGAATTGTACATAACAATACTGTATTCACTTAAACATAGGCTAACATTACCAACATACATAATCTATACTTGTCAGTCTAAGAAGACTCTTGTATCAATTCATCATTCCTCAAGTATTGAGTGAGAAGAAAAGAGATGCTGCCACCTTCAACAGACAACAGTAGTGCAAAAAATATTTACAATGGGACTGTCAAGTTTGTCAAAGCACTTATGATTACAAAGATATATACACAAAATCCATTTCAAAATACTGACAAAATTGATATACAAAATAACAACACTCATATCTACTGGAATGCTAACCTTTGTACATAATCTAGTGAACTAATTACACAACATATTTTAAATCATCAAATGAAAATAAATATAATATGAAAAAAACAACTGAACATCATTTTAAAGACACAGTTTGAAAAGTGTGCAAGATATTTCATGGCATCACCGAATTACAAATCATGTACACAATAATGTTTGACACTGATGTTAGGAGAGTTAATATTTCTGAACATTTAAATAAAAATGTAATATAATGAAGTTAATATTCTCATAAAAGTTCATTCAAATTTATACCATCTTCATGAGTTATTTATCAAACTTTACAGGGGACATAGTATTATATACTACTCAAAAGAAGTTAAGGACCATAACATCAGCAATGTTCCAGCCACATAACAGCAATATCCCTGCCATATAACAGCAATATCCCTGCCATATAACAGCAATATCCCTGCCATATAACAGCAATATTCCTGCCTTATAACAGTGATATCCCTGCCATATAACAGCAATATCCCTGCCATATAACAGCAATATTCCTGCCTTATAACAGTGATATCCCTGCCATATAACAGCAATATCCCTGCCATATAACAGCAATATCCCTGCCATATAACAGCAATATCCCTGCCATATAACAGCAATATCCCTGCCATATAACAGCAATATCCCTGCCATATAACAGCAATATCCCTGCCATATAACAGCAATATCCCTGCCATATAACAGCAATATCCCTGCCATATAACAGCAATATCCCTGCCATATAACAGCAATATCCCTGCCATATAAGAGTGACCTGTACACAATCAAGGCTTGCTTGGACATAATTGATATCATGAAAAGTGATCCTAGCAATGAACCTTGTCACCCAGCCTGACTATCATTAGTCACGTGTACAAAAGGCAGGATCACTGAGGACCCACTCTGACCACATACAGGGTTATCCTCATATCAGTGACGTGAGATCAAATTTCATGTCAAATTTACTGTCCATTGAAACAATGCAGATCAATTACAATCAGATTTGAGTTTACAGCACAAGTTAGCCTGTGATAATAGCTTCTTACCTTAGGTTGACATAAAAAATAAAACCTAGATTTTTTATCTCGAGCCTCAGTTCTTTGAGTTAAGCAGTATTTGTAGTCACGACCAGGCATCCTTTGTAAAGAGATCTTCAAATAAGTACCCTGATTGTTAGTAATCTTATATGCATAAAGCACAGCTTCAATATTCATGATTCTATGACAACCACAACAGCATACTTCTCAACCTCGATTGTCAAGTGTACCATATCATCATTCTATTATGTTAGATACCCTGGACCATACACCACTATCATATATACTGCTTTGTTCAGGAAGTGACGTCATGACCACCAGAATGCCTTTCACTCATGAATGCAATTTGAGTGGATGTCTATTTTAAACATCGCCTATTTCGAATCCGGTAACATGGAGTTGAATGGGTATTATTCTTTACATAATGGAGACATATGATAGCCTGACAATCAAGGATCATGCACCCGATAAGACTCACTTTGAATACATTGTTAAGTCTGCAGGTCAAATCATATACCAGTAATCACAACATATAGGGGTAACACTATATATTTATATATATATCATATACACAAATAACATTAACGTATGGCATAATACATTGGTATGATACATTCAATATGTAGTCATGAATATTGTGATAGGTATGGTGACTCTAGGAACACAAGCACAGCAATGCAAGTCAAGCTTGAAATACAGCAATATTTGATAATAGCACACATCTTGTGATGATGGAACTGATGGATAGTTGAATATGGACAATATTCATTTCTTATCATGATTTTTGTGAAGGTGCTTTATTTAGCATCCCATATATTAATTTTAACAGAACATGTAGATTTCTTCTACACACTTCATTGCATCTATAAAGTGAGTGAGTGAGTGAGTTGGGTTTAACGCCACTTTTAACAGTATTCCAGTTATATCATGGCATGTCAGCTTAATGTGGGAGGAAAGCCCAAGTGATGCAGGTCTCAGACGTTTACCACTTCGAAGAAACCCACGAGCATGGGTATGGGTCTGACAAACCAAGAAACATAATCGGGGCAAACCAGGATTCGAACCCACAATCATAGGTTTCTGGCTTGCCCAAGGGACACAACTCTGTAGAGCAAATCACGGCGCCTTAGACGACTGGGCCACCCGTGCTCCTGCATCTATAAAGGACTAAGCGTATGATACAATGACCTGACTTGTCTAAAATAGACGAGTGTTGAGATAACGTCCCTCTCATTGTCCTGTTCAGGTTCATTACACAAGTCCTACACAAAGCAAAGTGTAAGCTAGCATGACTAGAAGGTTAGCTATATGTCAGACACTGGTATGTCGTACTTTCTTGGGTTCAGTGTTTTCATGGCACAGTTTTAAGTCCACTAATTGACTATTAACATGAAAGAGTGAGTAAGTGAGTGAGTGAGTGAGTATGGTTTTTACACCGATTTTAACAATAATCAAGCTATATCATGGCGGGGGACACCAGAAATGGGCTGCACACATTGTACCCATGTCCGGAATCAAACCTGGGTCTTCGGTGTGACAAGCGAATGCGTTAACCACTAGGCTACCCGACCGCCCTTAACATGAAAGAAAAGTACCCAGTAAGTCAAGCTGATACCAAGCACGTCACAGTGCGTAAGTTAAATTATGGATGTCATCGTTTATCACAGTACTGGTATATCTGTTATATTGATGCTGTATCGATACTAGTTTATGAATATTGATACTAAATTAATCATTCACGGCCACAAAGACATATTTATTTATTAAGACTTCCATGATTAACACGAAAAATGAAAAGGCAGAAAATTCCAATTAAAACATTTAAGGGATCAACCTAGTTCATATCTAGCATTAAAATTATTAAATGCAGGTCTATATACCTTGTAAATATTTTTGTTTATCTGTACACATACATTATTATTAATCCATATATATCATGATATTTATTAGTTGATATATTACAAATAAATATTACAATCAATGACAGTGCTGTTTGACTCGTGAGTCCTATGCATTTGAAGTATGAGGAGGGTGAGCGTGACAGCTGGATCAACGGCGCAGGTGAAGCATCTGGCTGATGATGCAGGGTAAAGTGAAAAACATAGTCACAATTATTTTCATTCTCCTACATTAACAAAAAACTAAATCCAATGTGTGACAATGGCGGAAAATTGCACATGAAAAATGGTACAAACTACTTACCTTGATTCTCAGGCACCAGTGCATAAACGAACCCATCATATACGAAAGAATATTACTGCTTCAAAAAAGATGATAATTCCGAAACAGGTAGCACCTTTTTGACACAAAAAGGGCTGCCACTTCAGTTTGTGAAAGACAACGCCTGAGGAGCAAGACTGACAGTACCACATGATTCAGCTACCGGTATGTAAATCAGTCTGTTTGAAGTGAGAAACATACCTGTCAATCCATGCTAACAAATGATGAAAAAATGTTTGTTTAATGCTACACTCAACTGTATTCCAGCTATATGACAGCAGTTTGTAAATAGTCAAGTCTGGTCCAGTGATTAATATCATGAGCATCAATCTATGCAGTTCAGATATGATAACATGCATCTACCGTGTCAGCAGGCCTGAACATCACGTCAGTCGCCTCATGCGACAATAGACTTTTACAGTGACAATATTGCAAATTTCCACAATTCCTATTACCGGTGCTTGTAGGGGAGCATAGCTCTGGCAATTTGACAATCCCAGCTAGTTTGATTCAGTCACAAGATTCTATTACACTGACAAATGATCCTCCCTTGTTTAAGAATGCATTAAGTGAAGCAGCATGCAACAGCTTATTTGAAACAATTTCTTGGAACAATTTGATTTATGGTCTACAGTTTACAGTTTATGACACCAAATTTCACAAATGTTGAATTAAATAAAAATATGAGCAGTTAGTTTTATGGGCCGCCAACACAAACAAAATTTTGTTCACCAAAACAATAGATCACAGGTATGGAAAAGAAACTGATAAAAGAAAGCCTTCTTTAATAACTGTTACCATTGCTTACTGCCTATGTTTTTCACCCTATTGAGTATACTATTTTGTGACCACTTTAGAAAACATGTTCAACAATTTTTCAGTATTTTAACCCAATCAAGCCTGTTTCTTCTAGAAAAAATGTAAACCAAGTTATATACAGCCACGGTTTTATGTAGTTTCCCTGGATGGTGAACAAGGCCATCTTGACGGTATTATTTTTCATTTTCAACAATGACCTCTGATACTCAATCCCAGTTGTGACATATCTCGAGTGTTTATGATGTGACAAGTCCAATGGTTTAAAACCAAAAAAGTCCTGAAGAATTGAGACGACATATTTTGTGTTCAAGAATTCATATACTGGACAGACATAATAACTATGGCAGCAAAAACTGATATATCAAAAGTGGTTTGAATAAAATGATGGATTTCTTGCATCATTACCAGAGATTTTCAGTTTGTCTTATCGCTGTTCAACTGTCTGAACACGTGCCCAGTCCTATATGTTTTAAAGAACAGCAGCACAACTGGTGAAATTCATACACTGCTAGAATTTCAAATACATACAATTACATGCTCCTACATATAACTGATGATATTCATTTCACAACACATTCTCTTCAATCACAGTCTGATCCTTGATTAATACCTATTGCTTAAGATTCATCTCCTTGATAGCAGATCTTGTTGGAAATAGATTTCAGTTTAATTACATGATATTCAAACGAGTGAGTTGGTACGTTACAACTACTTTCAGTCATAGAAACTTTTGTCAGTTTATTGAGGACAGCCGAAAGTGATGCAGGTCTTAGACGTTTATCACTATGATGCAACTATAAACACAGGTATGAGGTGACAAAACAAATGATAACAATCAAGGTGAATCTGGGATTCGAACCCAAACCAGCACATCCTGGCAACTAAGGGACACAACTCTGCACAGCAAGTTGTGGCATCTAGGCCCCTGGGTTACAGTGGTCAGTCCCTAATGAAATGAGGGAGGATTTCCAGTGTGTCTGTAGACGAGGTCTGATCCAGGTAGAGAGCGGGCAGCAGAGGTACAGCATGACCTGAAGACTGATGAAGGTGATGACGCAGAGGATGAAATCAAAGATGAACGATATGCCTGTTGCTGTCAGATCATCGGTGGTTATTTTCACTCAGGACACAGATCTCCAGCTGTGGCTGTGTTAAGGACTTTGCTATTCAGTGATATTGATAATGAAAATAAAGAGATACCAATAGTTATCATGGCTAAAAAACCACTTTGCATCAAATTAAGTTGTCATGGGAGACTCGGGGCTAGTGATTCAGAATAGGGAGTGTGGGAATCATGATGAAAAGGTACTGCAAAAGAGAGGTGTGGTCGCCAAAAGTCTATCACAACAACAATCGGGGATGTGAATAATGTTACTTTTATCGTTTCAAACGACAAAAATGTCAATTGTAACATTATTTAGGTTCTGGTCATTATTATGGGTAGTGGCATGGGGGGGGGGGGGGGGGGGGGGATAGAGGTCATTAACAAATGTCACATAAAATTAAGGGGTGGGGGGAGAGGGGACTTGACTTTTCATTAAGTCATAAATTTCATGCTCAGTATTTCACTACAGCTGTTTGCTACAACAGTTCACTACAGCTGTTCACTACATCAGTTCACTACAGCTGTTTGCTACAACAGTTCACTACATCGGTTCACTACAGCTGTTTGCTTCAATAGTTCTCTACATCAGTTCTCTACATCAGTTCACTACAGCTGTTTGCTACAACAGTTCACTACAGCAGTTCACTACAACAGTTCACTACATCAGTTCACTACAGCTGTTTAATGCTACAACAATTCTCTACATCAGTTCACTACAGCTGTTTGCTACAACAGTTCACTACATCACTTCACTACAGCTGTTTGCTACAACAGTTCACTACCTCACTTCACTACAGCTGTTTGCTACAACAGTTCACTACATCAGTTCACTACAGCTTTTTGCTACAACAGTTCACTACATCAGTTCACTACAGCTGTTTGCTACAACAGTTCACTACAGCTGTTTGCTACAAGGATACAACTCTCAGTCCCCTCTCAACAGGGTCCACCAGCATCAGCCCTCTTGGGACGTACACAGACTCATTCTGAGTCTCAATATAACGCTTGATTTTCTTCAGACACTGCAACAGAAGAAGACTGTCATTACATTTAGTGAATGATAATAAGTTGTTGTAAAAACTTGTATGGTGTCCGTCCAACTTGGTGAAAGATCGACAAATATAATGTCAACTTAAGGCCACTTTCCTTGCAATATACAGTCAACTGTGGTTATAAAAACGTAGAATATCACAAATATTTGGTCATAATAAAAATCAAGTGTTGTCCCCATGGTACCTATGGTACCGGTAATCTAGGATAAGTTGAACCAACTCACAAAAAGCATTTGAGACAAGTAGGTGGTGCACAGATATTTGTGTAAACATATTTGGTCTGTTACAGGTAGAGAGGGGGTACGCATGTTGTGCACGTGCAGGTCATGACGATAAAATTGACTATGCTCCTATGGACACACATTTTGCTCTTAAGAATATTAAGAGGTCGGTGTGACAAGTTCACCACTTTCACAGTCATCGGGTACCTCACATCCTGCACTAACTATTATGTGCTATTGAACTCGCCACCAGAACTCGTTGTCAGTTGAGACATGACACGCATATATCCACAGTACTAGTTGTCGCGGATCACCCGCTACCTCTTTCTTCACAATGGTACGCATCAATGGTTAATTATCAGGTCACAACTCAACTGATCCTGGCTCACCAGTAATATATGCTTATATTTGTGAACAACAAACTAATTAATAAAGTCTCTTAGGCTGTTTTTTTTCTGGAGATGACTGCTTAATCAATTCAACTCCTAAGCTTTTTGTGCATGAGACTGCTCTACATGCTCTATATCACGGATTTCCGTAGCCATTAATTTCTGAGGGTCAAGGTGATTATTCTTCAATTTTTAACAGAAATAACAGGACGGTATTCAAGGTAACTTGTTAAGCGATCTTCTATCAATAACTGCTGAAAAAACACAACCATTTGCAAAATCTGGACATCTTATTGGAGTTACCTCCCTTACCTTCAAGCTGCTATTGCAGACATTCATTGCTTAACAACACAATTTCTTTTGATATATAATGTCAATGTTCCAGAGTTTTTCTACATTTGCTGACTTTAACTTGTCTGGAGAGAGAATCTCCCTGTATCACCTGTATCCCAAAAATTATCTTGACTGTACCATGTATATGTTGACTGTTAACATACATTACAATAGCTAATAAAAGATTAACTGATTATGACATGATGTATAGAAGAAATGTCAGTTAAAATGTTTTGGAAGCTTAATATATTTATAGTTGGGTTCAAACATCCCTACTCCTTTAATGATCAAGTTCTGTAAGTTCAACATTGAGACAAGGAAATCCGGAGTCAAATACCTTCTCGTAATATGTATCGATACAGAGGTATGCAAGATACGCTGTGAGACAGGCAAAGCAGCTTTCACAGTAGGTTCTCCCACCCAGACTTTCAGCCTCGGCGTACATTGTGTTCAAGCTGTTGATGGTCTGCTCAAAGCTTCCACGCTCAACCTGGAAGTTAAAGTTTTAGGACTTAATATAAGAATAGTTAATGTCAAAACAGACAAAATCAGATGTGTTAATGTCAGAACAGCTAATGTCATAAGGGTAAATACCAGAACAGCTAATATCAGGACAGATGACATTAGAACAGCCATTAGAAGGAAGCAAGTAAAAACATAAAAATAACACCTCCCTGCAAAACATACTTGTAGCATGTTTGTCACCATATACGTTGGAATGCGGTACTTCGGCCATTTAACAAGTCAACCTGAGTTTGGTTTTCAGTGCTTAGTTTGTTTGTTGTTAACTGCACTGAGCAACATTCCAGCCATATGACAGTGGTCTGTAAATAATCGAATCTGGACCAGACCATCCAGTGATTGACTTCATGAGCATCAATCTATGTACTTAGGATACAATGACATGCCTCAACCAAGTCAGTGAGTCTTAGGACTGATCTGACAAAAGCCTAACTAATACACCACCTAATGTAAATATCACTGCCTTTGCTGGTGCAGTAGATTCAAATTATTCATCAAACATCAATAAAAACATGAATGATTATCTACAATTTAGCTGCAACAGCTCAATAAGTCCGGACTTGTCAACCATCTCTGCCCATAAATTTCTGTTGATGATCAACTTCAATTATTCAAGCACTGAAATCATTTTAGCTGGAAACTGATGCAGCAATGGCAGCAATGACTCCTGGATGTTCACCTTTCCTTCCAGTTCCAGGGGGAACTTGTTCTGGAACTTGACCCCAGTGCCATCAAGGTAGTCCCGCTGCACAAACACTTTTGTACACGATGCTGACGGAATGCGTGACAGGTTATCCATTTTGTGACCCTGAAAAATGTATCAAACAAATCAATGATTTGTGTACGTGGTATTAATATACATCACAATATAATTCTCAGTACATATGATGTGTGAAAATAAAGTTGTTTCCTCCTTATCCAGCATGTCCAGGTTCCAGATCTGAAACAAATTTCTTATTACTCAGGAACAATGATGCACCAACTTGAATCAATATACTGAAAAATAAGATTTTAAACAACAATAAACCATTTGTCAGATTTATATCGATTGTTTTAAAAAATGAGACGGGAAGCATTTTGTTTATATATATTTTTAACCAACTGCTCTAGACATAGATCTGTGTACATTAAACATGTTAAATGTAAACAGATGTTCACATGAACATGAAGAAGCATGAAGAACATGATTAATGTTTGGTTGGACTACATTTGGTTGGAGGGATTCCCATATACATCAAAATAAAATGAATGCTCTCTTTCCTGTTCTCATACTTGAAGTTTGATTAGCATGATTAGGCAATGTTGGGGTATAAACATATGATGATAAAGAAAATAATCAACATGATCAAAGTAGCTGAAGTAATAGTCTGCTCTGATACACAATTCACAGTAACATTTTCACTTTATTGTAGGGTTGTGAAGGCACAAAATTATTTGACTATTCCTGGTTCACCTCCAACAAGCCGATCACTGCAGATGTCTTCAGAGAGATCACAAATCGGTGTTGTACACTTTACTGATAAAGACAAATCATCATTACCCAGGCACATGATACATGAATAACAGGATTTATAACATGCATAACATTAAACATCAGAATGTTGACATACTTTAACAGAAAATATCTGTTCATGGTAATATGGTCTATAACTATAAGCATGATAAGGAGTGAGTCAGTCTTAACGTTGCTTTCAACAGTATTCCAGTTATATCAATGCTTGTAAACTGGATGTGGGAGGAAAGCCTGAAGTGATGCAGGTCTTACCACTTTGGTATAATACCCTTGAGCATGTTGAGCATGGTTATGGTGCTGACAAACCTAGAAACATAATCGGGGCAGACCAGGATTCAAACACCTGATCGCAGATAAAGGTTTCTGGCATGCCCAAGAGATGCAGCTCTGCACAGCTCGGCATGATAATGAATACCATCAATCATAATGTGATATATCGTGTTGAACATAAATGTTACTTTTGACATCCAGCATGCTATTGCCCAGGAACATTGTAATCATGGTAATACTGGCAAGGATGGTCACAGTCATTAGTATGTTAGTCTGAGACTAGTACAAAACTAGAAGGATTAGTTCTGTTTTTTCCTTAAAAGAATTCAGTACCACAAACTTTTCAAACAAGTCACAATACACTTTGAGGTAATTTGTGATCATGCTCATGATGTGGTACTGAATTCCAAAGGTGTTTCATTTTCTCCAAAAAACAAGTTATTTGGCATAAAACACGAGAAGTCCGAAAACAACAATCAACTAGTTGGATATGTCACATGATTGCAACACATCAAGCACAGAGACCAAACTGAACTGGAAAAACATGTAGAAACGAAACACTAACCATATATGATAGGGTATCATTAAATCTGGTATGCAGATTATGTGGTGAAAATATGGCCATGCTGTTATCATGGTTATATATGACATATTATGATACCTATAGATTGGTCATGCTGTAATAATCATTAATTCAGACAATTGTCGGTAATTTGAGATCATTTTTCATGGAAGACTTTGATTCACATTATGACCACTATGATCAAAATGTCGAATAACAGATTTGACAAGTTCACCTGTGGGTATGAATCATGACATTTTCACCCAAAGATGACTGAATGAATTTACATTAGGTCTAGGCCTTTAGATTTTCACTTTAGCCAAATGGACGAATCGCGTTTATTATGAGATGTGGTCATAAATCATATCAACTTTGTCTTTCCATATCATTTAGATATATCAAATTCAACTACGTGTGTTAATATATCTAACAACAAATGTCTAGACAAAAATATTAATCCAAACCTGTCTCGGTTTACTCACTTCGTCGGCGGCCATTTTACTTTTCTCATAGACGTACTCTTATCGCGATATTGATTGGCTATATTTGCTGAGAAGTAACGTTATCTGCAAAGCTATTGGATATGAGTAGTGAAGGATGTTTGGTAGGCGTTTTCTGATTGGCTGGGAATAATTTAGTTGACCTTGACCGGAGTTTTCAAGATGGCGACAGCATGCAAGGTTTTGACAAGGTTGTCCGGTACTGTATTTGTGGAAAATGCAAATGTTTACTAAATTCTTACTTTCGTCAACAAGTAAATGTTCCGGTACTCTAACAAAGTACACTTGGGTCATAGACAACCACGAGCACAAATGTTTTGTATCCTATAATCGTCGACATGATCTGAAGATTCATTCTTTGATTGGCGTTATTTTCACCTAGATCTTTTTCGTTTAGCCTACCAGGTGAAACTGAATGTTGCCTCTCTAATTAACTTGCATTAACTATCCCAGCACCTTGGTTAGCTTGACAATCGTATGAGTATTTGTGCATTCATAATTTCTCACAACTGCACATGTTTTTTGTTTACTATCCTACGTGTGACTTTCGACCTCCATGCTTTACCCCATAATTCTTGTGGCTGGGGCCTACCGCATTCGACATCATCTCTCATTCACAGAGGTTAGGAAGCTGAAATTTTGTGTTTGTGATCTTACCAAAATGGTGACAAAGGTGTCACTTTACTGTTCTGACAGTGACAGATTTTCGACCCAGTGTCAAAACATAGGGACCATGGAAACCATGTTGCATTTTTGTCAATTTATTGTTCAGACATTTTTTGGTTTTATTGAAATGGCATATGCAATAAATGTGTGCCATACCAAATAACATTTTTTTCTTTTCTGTGAATTGTTATATTTGACACATGAACACTGTCATTGCATTATGAAGAACATGTACATGATGTACGTTGTGGACCCCATATGGCCAGTTAGAGGATCTACTCATTTATTATCCCCCGCAACAAAGTTGACGGGGGATATAGAAATGGGCTCCGTCCGTCAGTCACGTTTCGTTTCCGGAGCATAACTCATAAACCGTTCAATATTTGTTCATCAAACTTTGTAGGTCTGTCAGGTACATGCTGAACTGGTGCCTTTTGCTATTTAGAAATTTTAGAAATGTTTATTTTTTTTACGTTTCCATGGCAGCAAGATGGACTTAGGTTCCAAACTCTTCTTTTTTTTACAATTTCCATGACAAGTTCCACCTCGGTTATAAAGGGTTAGCATGGTTAGGGATGGTTTAGATTTAATTATGTCATAAATTCTGCAACAGGGGCGGGGGATATAGCCACGTTAGTGGCAAACTCTTGTTAATGTTGAATTTGATGCAAATATTGTAAGGATGTCTCTTGTATAACATCATTTATATTTTTTAGTTTGCAATTGCATTAATTCTTTATTATCGTGTTTACCCATGTATGAAAATGACCTATCTGATCCAATGTAAAATTCACAGAACCATGTGGCTCTTTTTTTAGAGAAATGATGATTTTAGGATGTTTACCCCCCTGGCATATAATGCAGGGGGATATAGTCATCATCTGGTCTGTCTGTCCGTCTGTCCATCTGTATTTCCTTTCCGCAGCATGACTTGAAAACAGTGAAAGATTTTTCATCCAACTTTGCTACATGTATTAACCAGGGTCTGAAGTAATGCCTTTTGCTGTTGTAGGGCCTGGGGGGATTTGTAATCTTGATTGACTCTTGTTTTGTGTTACAATTCAGCGGAGCAGAGTCAGTCATGCTTATGTTTTTTCAATGATTACTGATTTAGTTTTCCAATTATCCAACAGATTCGTAATTGTCGTGATTATGGTTTACATATCTTTCATTTTTGTATTCCGGATTTCTGGAATGGTTTTATTCAGATCAATTGAAAATCACATACCCGGTACATCCACATGGCTGAGGTTGTCTTTGTTCAGGTTGGACATGTTGGAACTAAGATGAGTATTTCTCAGTCTAAGTAATTAATCTACTTGAAACCTTAGACTTCATCATGTTCATGACTCTAAAGCCATTATCACAGTAATGATTACTGAGGTATGGTAATCAAACTGTTAGTGTTATCAACTGTTAATAATCGCTGTGAATGAAAGTTGATTGTTTCATGTTGGCTGAGACAAAACATTTTTTCTGCTAGCCCAACCTTGTCACCTAATGTTATTTCTAGTATATTTTAGTACAAATATATGGAGTTAAATTTGCTAAGCTTACTAGACCAAAAGAAATTTTACTATACCTGTGCTTAGGACAAGTTGTTGAAGTCGTAGAATGGGGGTTTATGACACACATAAATGCCCAAAAGATAGATTGGGGAATCACACAAACGTTGGTCTTTATTCATTATAACATTATCAGCATAGTCTTATTTCATATTAATGACCATCATTTTACTATAATTTACATCATATTATATTGATTAATATGTAACAACTGAAACACTAGTTTCACGTTTTCTCTTGGTTGTTTTGATTTTGAGAACCATATCTGTTTTGGCAGCCACAGCAGCCATATGAAAAATGTTATTTTATCTCCAAACTGGTTACCATATTTGTCATATAATAATATAAATGGTATATACCAGGGAAGCTTTGTGTGTATAATTTTAAAACTGCAGTAAAATGGGATGTTTTTGGCATATTTGTCCTGGAAGTCATGACTGCATTTCTTTCCCTGTTGAACTTTCATCGGCATGATTTGAGACCTTGCTTTTAGGCTGCTTAGTTTAATCGTAGCACTCATTTGACTGCACTGTACATGATGTAATGTGCTTTAGTTTGCAGAGTCAACAGTATATTTAGATTTTGATAATTTCTATCAAATTTTCAATCATTAGTCGCACAAATTCTGAAGACAGGCTACTGAATAATCATCACTTATAATTTATGAAAACACCTACACCATGCATACTCACTGTATTGTTTACTTATTGTGAATACTGCACTTTGGACTTTGAACATGATACACAATGACCTGGGCAAATCATGAGAGTGATTGACCATGTTGACACTGCTATTTTTAGATGCACCCAAAACTAAAACATTTATCAAAGAAAAATGAACATGATAAAACTGGGTAGAATCCAATGAAATATTGTAGAATTGGAAGTAGAAAAATGAGATAATCATAGGTAGTGGTTGTTGTGCAATTCTTTCTTGTGTTAAGTATTTTTTTATCATTATTATGGTTATGGCATGCTGCATTTGAAAACCACTGCTTCTTGATTACAAAATTTTGTAGTTGTCTTGTTCAAAGTATGGGAATTCAGGATGGATTTTAGCAGAGATCTGAAACTGTTGTCTTACTCTCTCTCTCTCTCTCTCTCTCTCTCTCTCTCTCTCTCTCTCTCTCTCTCTCTCTCTCTCTCTCTCTCATGCTCATATTGATTGGAGATATGCACATTGGGACATGATGGGGTTGTCATTGATATATTCCTACACAATTCTCACACAATAGGAAATGATTACATTGACACAAATACAATTGTTACACCTTCCAAATGTGTGCTAACCATGCTGAAATTTCAGGCAAGTGTTGCTTCTAGTCCTCCATGATTTCTGTGAGTGTCAGTTGAAACATTGTTGTCATAAAAGTGTATGTGTTGCAGGCCTCGGACGACCTGGCCATGTTCGTCACATGTACACCGCCACACGGCCAAACCTCTTGATAGGTTCCCACACAAAGCTTATCTGCCAGGGCTTCACCGGCAAACAGGTAACTTTTCTTCATGGCACAGGTTTAGTTGTACTTGTATGGCATTATGCTAGCTCACAGGGAGGTGGGGTAGCCTTGTGGTTCAAGCGTTAGCTCTTCACGCCAAAGACCTGAGTTCGATTCCCTATGGGTACAATGTGTGAAGCCCATTTCTGTTTCCATCCACATGATATTGCTGGAACAGGGTTTTCGTGATGCACTAATGTGTGTCCAGTTTGCACAAATGTAGAGAATGGATGCAGATAAAAATATAATGTATCCCAAGGGACACACAGTAATATTCATTGTACCTTCTGCACAGTTGTGGGTGTCTGTTTTTTCATCCATCATATCATGACCACCATCTACATGACCATTGATTTATTCCAGGCACTAAAGTAATTATCCAAATGAACAGTACACTATTCCATTTAATTAGTTTACAGAACCCCCATATTGCTTGGAAGGACCCTTAACATTACTTATTGGGGGTCCTCTGGACCCCCAGTTGTGTAAATCTAAAGTTAAACCCTCCTGGAATATTATGGAAAACTATGCTAATTTGCTCACTGCTAGCTATTGGCTCTATTTTAGTTGTATTGATGTTACATCATGGAGAACTGTCATCATATGGCAACAAACAAACAACAAACAAAATAACCTGCTGCTCTTTGGATGTTTTGTTGTCATATAGTGGCATCAAATTGATCCCTGTTACCATGGTTATAGCAACAGCCACAGGTGTCTGAGTGGTATAAGGCACTGATAAATTGTCTAGAGTTGTGTCCCTTGTGCCAGGATCAACTTGTACGTTTGAACCCATGTTTGCCTTTATTTGTCAGCATCATACCCTTGTTGGCAGCAGTCAGCAATATGTGTTACTTCAGGCTTCCTACCTCATTAATTGATTAAGCAGACGTGATATAACTGAAATGTTGTTCAGAGCTGAGACACACCAGCTTCCTCCATCCCTTCAAGGATTTCAACACACCCCATTCTCTGTCTTTGAAGGGTACTTCATATTAATTATAGTTTGGTACTGTAGCAGAAGTCAAGAATAGTTTCACATATCTGCATGAAATTTGCATCTCCATGAAAACATGGTGTAAGTTTGACAATTTTTCAAAATATGTTTGTTGATTTTATTCATTACTTTATTTAATTTAATTACGATTTGCTTGAAACACCCTACATTGCTCTAAGACTATTCGATATGGACCTGTTGTTAAAGCACATGTGTCCCAGATTATGTTTTTTTCAATAACATTGCGGGAAATAGTTAATAATTTTAAATCTTTTGATAAAATATGGTAATACATATTTCTTGACTTTGTGAAAAGTGATAGGTTAATAAATGAATGATATTACCGGTAGGTTCATGAAACTATATATTATTTAGATGTCGCTACGGTGTGGCCATTACACCGGCCTGCGGTCTTGAAAGAGTTAACGAGCGGAGTACTTTGAAGTTTCACCAAGCAATATCAGTGTTATGATTCATTTACCAAGGGCCTGCTGAAATTTACAAACTATCAGCCTCAAGAAAAAATCTGTCGGCCTCGGGCCTGTCTTTTTCGAACATTGCCCTGTTGTATTGTTAAGTTTATGTAAATGAAAAATGGTTTGTAGCATAATTGACATAGTCTCCAAAATGTTTTTGCATGAACTTTGATGAATGATTCCATCCGATCCAGGGTACCTTCCACAGCCAACAGGCTATTGAGTATGGCTCCCAGATGGTTGGTGGAGTGTCTCCAGCCAAGGCTGGACAGACCCATCTCGGACTCCCAGTCTTCGGCTCTGTAAAGGAGGCAAGTCTACACTCTACACCAGACTCCTTTTATTAATGTGTACTATTTTATTTGTAAAATTATATTAATCAGTTTTGTGAACTTGTTTTCCTCTGCCATCAAGTGACAAGTACCTTGTAGGGATGTAAAGAACCTGCCCATGTTAGCATGGTTAATGAGTATTACTGTTCTTTGTCTTCATAGATATAGTATACCAAGGATATACATAATATAGGGAAGGAATTGTTTGTTATGCCAGAAGTTTCTTATGTCAGTAGCTTGTTACATCAGGATCTTGTTATATCAGTAGTGTGTTTTATTAGTTTCATGTTGTTACTAGGGGTGAAACGCTACAGCAAGGTCACGATACGATACACAGGTCACGATACGATACACAGGTCACAATATGATACAGATATTTATGTCAATTACATTAAGTAATACGTTACCACTGTTATACCGAGGCTGTTGTCCCCCACAACTGCTCTTATAGCGCAATCTTCCATAGAGATCTCAATCACCTCATGCAGCACGTGCGTAGCCACCTAGCTGCCATGTGACACCCTTCACTCTTGTCTCTTTGCTTGCCCTAGCCTGACGTGTATCTACTGCTCTACTTGTGTTCTACGGTTTCCGCCTCCTGCCTATCCTTGGTGATATTTATTACTGTTTCTTAGTCGTAAGTTAACTGTAATTTACGGGGCGTTAGTTATACGGCGCTTAGAAAATTTTCCCGCCTAAATTTGGACTTTGCGTGTTACAGGCGCTACGTGCGCTCTGCTATCACCCCTGAGGTGGCCGGTTCGTCCGGTCTGGCGCCCCTTGCAGGCACTACCTCCACGGCAGCGGCAGATCCCTTGGGCTGTCTGGGGATTCTGTCGCGGCTTTGTTATCTCAACTTGTGGACTCCAAACTGGCGGTTATCTCAGGATAAGGCCCTGGTTGTTCCGCCCCCGGCCCCTTCGGTGGCTTCTGGTTCGGACGTGGGGTCCACGGGTATGGAGGCGGCAACCGTAGTCACCGGTCCTTCCCCCGAGCCGATACTCCTGTTATCGACTAAGGACCATGTGGCCATGGTGTATGACCTCTTTGAGGACATGCCACGGCCCCAGCCGGCAACCGGGGAATCCACGGCTCTGTGGGTTCCTCCGAGGTTTTTGACGAGTCTGCCAACAAGGCTTTTCCCGCGTCAACTTAGTTGTGCGGGATCAAGCCATATTTGGAGAAAGCCTTCGCGGCGGCCTCCGGTCGGGGACTCCCGTTACCTCCTCCGTCGTGGAGAAAGGGTTCGTTCCCGGTGCATGACTTGGCCTTCCCCGAGGCAGGAGAGGTTGGGTGTCCGTGCCCCACCTGCTGCTACAGTCACTCAAGCAACTTTACAGCAAATGGACACCCTCTCTCGGCACTCAATGCTCGCTATGTAACATGGCGACACCTACTTGGCGGCGGCAGCCAGTCTGGTTGAAGGTTCCCCCACGGACCGAGACCAGCGCATTTATAACTGTTTGATCGGTTTGAATGCAACCCTTGAGTACGTTGCCGGGGCTTCGGCCTTTCTTTCCGGCACGTGCCATTTCTTGAGGCGGCAAGCGTACCTTGCCTCCTCTGGGTTGGACGCCGCCAACCAAGAGGTGCTCCTTTCGCAGCCTTGGTCTGCGCTGACCCTGTTTAATAATCGGATCCATGGTGTTCTAAAAGAACAGCAGTGTGCTTCGTCTGCCGCGGCATGCGTTGGATCTGGTTGGGTCTCTGCACAGATGCCTGGGTGGTGCCCCTAAACGGAGTGCCCCTCAGGATGCTGTGGCCGGGAAGTCCAAGGGGTCGGTGTCTTCTTCCTCTGGGAAGAGGTCCTGCCCTGAGGGCCCCGGTAAGGGCAACATGCCGCCCTTTCGGGGGAAGAAGGGACACTTGGGGAAGCCTAAGCCGTCTCGGGACGGTAAGGGCTCCTCCAAATGACTCTCACTTGCATGGTTCGTATGCCAACAGCGCCAGCTTCGGTTGGCCCGTAGGCGAACCCAAGTCATTCAGCCCTGGGCAGTTGCGCCTGCCGCAGCCTGTCAGGCCTCCCTTTCCTTCCCGTCGGAGCCAGACTCCAGATTTACTGGGAGAATTGGGAACAAGTGTTCGACGACCCTTTGGTGGTCAACACGATCCGGTACGGCTATCAGTTAGATCTCAAAGCGGATCCGCCGCTCACCGTCGCCCCTTTGGAAGGTTTCTATCTGGAAGCTGATCTTCCCATCCTCGACGATGCCATCGGCAGGTTGGTGGAGAAGAGGGCAGTATGGGAGTTAGCCCTACCAGAAATAACACCGGGGTTTACTCCAGGATATTTCTCGTTCCCAAAAAGGACAGTGCCGAACTCAGAATGATTCACAATCTGAAATCGTTCAACGAGTTTTACCTGCACAAGCCGCCCAAGTTCAGAATGTTGACCTTGGCGGACCTGAAAGGTCTGATCATGCCGGCCGACTGGCTCTCTTCGATCGACCTGAAGGATGCTTATCTGCATGATCCGATTCACTCGGACCATCACAAGTATCTCAGGTTTGTCTTTCAAGGCAGGCACTTTGAGTGGGTTGTACTACCATTCGGCCTTTCGTCCGCTCCCTGGCTGTTCACCCGGTTAACCACCCCCATAGTGGGGTTCCTCAAAAGAGTTGGTGATTCGGGGTATTATCAAGGGTTTCAAACAGCAAGATCTTAAGAAAGGTCGCACTGGACTCCTGCCTGGGATCTTTCCCTGGTGTTGAAATCGCTTACGGAAGCTCCGTATGAACCCTTGAAAAATGCTTCGTTTCGGCATGTGACTTGGAAAACAGCATTTCTCCTCTCCTTTGCCACACACTCGATGTCACCAAAGTACGATTCGATAGGGGTGACGAAGGAACGGTCCGCCTGGGCCTGCTCATGGGCTTCGTCGCTAAGAATCAGAAGTTTGGCCAAACGGAGAGAGAATTCACTGTAAGATCACTCAAAGAAATCTTACATCCTGCTGATACCGAGGACAGATGGGGCCCTTAAGTATTATCTTAAGGCTTCGAATGAACGCAGACAAGGGCGTGACCGTCTGTTCATATCGTGTAACCCTAATCGGAGTGCTGACATAACTCGCAACTCGATTGCGTTATGGCTTCGTTCTGTAATCAATCTGGCGTATCGGTCTCAGGGGTTACCGGTTGCGGGGTCAAACCTGCACGAGATTAGGGCGATAGCGGCAACATTTGCCCTACACTTCAATATATCTGTTCACAGAATATTGCGGAGTTGTTACTGGCGTTCTGACTTGGTTTTTGCCATCCATTACCTCAGAAAGGTCTCTGATGAAGTCAGTTTTCGGGTTGTAGGTGCTCCCCACCGCCTACTGTGGTAGTCAGCCTTGGTATAACAGTGGTAACGTATTACTTAATGTAATTTGTAGAATTTTCCTATTCGGAATATTCTATAAGTATTCCGGCTGCTGCCCGCCTGTCCGTTCCCCGAGCACTTGTTCGCGCAAGAGTGAAGGGTGTCACATGGCAGCTAGGTGGCTACGCACGTGCTGCATGAGGTGATTGAGATCTCTGTGGAAGATTTCGCTATAAGAGCAGTTGTGGAGGACAACAGCCTCGGTATAACAGTAGTAACGTATTACTTATAGAATATTCCGAATAAGAAAATTATACAAAATTGCTTGGAAACTTAATAATAAATGTTTCAGAGCAGGTTCAAAAGGAAAAGCTAGCTGTAGACACATGTTTGTAAGGGTTATTTACTGATCTGTTCATTCTCTTTGTAATGTTCATGAACAAATGTAGTTTAAAATACCACACATCTGGTCTATCAGGCTAGGGAAAAGACGGGTGCAGATGCTACAGTGGTTTTCGTACCCCCACGTTATGCTGCTCCAGCCATCTTAGAAGCCATCGATGCGGAGATACCGCTGTGTGTGTGTATCACAGAGGGCATCCCCCAGCAGGACATGGTCCGAGTCAAACACAAGCTTGTCAGGCAGAGCAAGACCAGGCTCATCGGACCAAATTGCCCTGGCATCATCAAGGTAGAAATGGTTGTCCAGTCCCAGGGTTAGAAACTAACTGTTTTGGTCCACTAGTCCTTATGATGATGACATATAGCAAAACCCTTAATAATGGCCAATTTCTACTAGTCCTTGGGATACCTTAACTATTGGGCAGTTTGGCAAGGACTATAGGACTAGTGCCAAATTCTAACGCTGCAGTCCAGAGCATTTTGACCCTGTCATCTATGGTTCAGCAATTGGCTGTGTAGATATGTATTACTTAGGCCTGCCAGGGACTTATAATTGTGGGTTGAAATCCCGAGTTGTCCTGATTATGTTTCTTTGGTTTGTCAGAATAATAATTTGTGCTTGTGGGTGGAAGATCAGGGGTTTGATCCTCAGGTCACATCATTCCAAAAGACATTTAAAGATGGTACTTGTTGTTACCCTGGTTGGCACTCAAAATTAAGACGATAACATGTGCACAGGCATATATATCATGATATATGTGAGCAAAATAATCATGAATACCGGAAGAGGCAATGTAATGGATCGGGAGGTCAGGTTCAATTACGTGGTTTATTGCAGATCATTGTTCCCTACGATGTGGGATCAATGACCAGATTGTCTGGTCCAGACTCAATTATTTACAGCTTATTATTTATTACCAACCTTATCTAGCATATCTGATATAACTGAAATACTGTTCAAGAGTGATGCTCTTAGCACAGCCCATGACTGTCACTGAAATTCTGTGAAAACGGCAATTAACACCACTCACTATCACATGATATATCATGTATCACATTGATGAATGTTCTGTTTGCAGCCAGGAGAAATTAAGATAGGAATCATGCCAGGACACATTCACTTGAAGGGGAAAATCGGTAAGATGCTTCTCTGTGTGAAATAATAATAACATGCTTGAGTAATATCATACATAAAACATACTGAGATTTAATGTCATTTGATGAGTCACAAGTGTAATCTACTTTGTTTCACAGTGGTTTTTGCACAGTACCCGGTATTATTCATCAATACAAGATCAAACTCTCAACATGCTCAAATGATGTAACAAGCTGAAATGTGGTAAAAAAAAAAATTCAGTATACAATAAGGTGAGACATGCCTCAAAACACAGCTCAGCTTGGAACACTGTTCAAAACACCGTCCATACAGGGGTCAGGAACTCTGACAACTGATTTCACAACAACCAGCCATTGTTTCTGTACTTTATGAGAAGTCGGTGTTACGGCCAAAATGATAAAATTATTATTTGGTATTTATGTGTTCTAGATAGATTGCTATGATTAACCCTAGTGCAAATAGCAGTGATTTATTGTCAAGTTTGTTTTTTAGCGGGTTGCAATTTTCGTGGTTACAAAGGGGAATAACTGCTGGTAGGTTTTATTTTTGAAGTATGTTGCTGGCCTGCCTGCCATCATTGCCATGTGGGTTATTCTTTTGGAAGAATAGATGGTCTACAAACGGTATGAATTACTTTATTAGCAGTCTTTGCTTGGAAGCATTTTGTGTTAATATTATTAACTTATCAGCAGCACTTTCTATAGTATTCAGTCACGTTATTTAGTCTTTGGCTTTCGAAGCTGTTTGCTGCATTCAAAACTCGCTCGCTTTGCACGAGGTGTTAAAAATACATTTTGCAATAGGTTTTTTTGCGAGGGCTTTTCAAACTTATTTTTTAACAGTTAATGCTTATTTATAGAAATATTGGTTATATGACTTGACTGACATGTTTCGGTTCTCCAGAATTTCAAAGTTGTAGTCTTTGTAAAAATATATCTTTATTGGTGAAGTTTGATACATAAGGTTGTAATAGTATCACAATGTGAAATAGCATTATGTCATGCTATATTTTCTTATTTATTGCAGTCAATCTGTCACAAGTGAGACTTCAACACGCTATGAAATATGAACTGAACTTTGATATAAACTTTCACTACAGTCTTCAGTCTTGCTTTTTTTCTGAATTGGCGATAGGGCCTATAGATCTATCTACCATAGAGAAGAACAGTTGGACTGCATGGTGTTATCTGTAAACTCCAATATGCTTTTTGATCGATACATATTGCAATATTTTTTCTGTATTCCTGTATAGTGGGTAAACAAATGTAGCTGGGTTTCATTATTTTTTGTATTGTTCAACCTAAATCTACACAGAAATTCATTCACAAATGATGTTTCTCTTCCAACTGATTGACATGACAGCAGACACGCGGAAAGACATTGCTTCCAATATATCGCAATACATATCACAATACATGTACCTGTATTGCAATATATTGCAATACAATTTTTGGGCCAATACACAGCCTTGATGGGAAAGGTATTATGGGTATTGTGAATCACTTAAAACATTGTGTTTGATCATCACTTTTGGAGGACAATTAATAATAAAGGATTGGTTGTTCGTCTGTTCCATTATGTTCATCAACTAGAATAAAACAGCATATAGGCACAAACAAAAACTTCTAATATAACTTGAAATGTTAGAACAAGATCCTCAGATTTACTATTTCTAACTTCCCAATTTCGTGTAGCGATGCTCATGATGTTAATCACTTGATCGTCTGTTCGAGACTCGATTATTTACAGACCGCCATCAGATAGCTGGAATATTGCTGTGTGCGGCATTAAACAACAAACCAAACCCAAAAAACCCACAATTTCTAACTGATTAATAACATTCTTTCACCTGATCTTCCATTAGTTGTGTTAGTAAGTGCACCCACTGATGTATATATGTACGATATCACTTGTTTGTGTTTAAGGAATTGTATCTCGATCTGGCACTTTAACATATGAAGCAGTGCACCAGACTACAGAGACAGGGCTTGGGCAGTCCTTGTGTGTCGGAATAGGTGGAGATCCCTTCAATGGCACAAACTTCGTGGACACCCTTGAATGCTTCTTACAAGACCCACACACAGAAGGTAGGATTTTCAAAGGAATATTCCTGCCAAGAATCATGATTGCTGAGAAGGTAGGATTTTCAAAGGAATATTTCTGCCAAGAATCATTAACTTTACCCATACCCTGAACCCAGGGGTCCGGAAACCGTCATATGCGCCGAACATGTCCGATTGGGAATCTCAAATGTCCGTTTTAAAATACATTTTAAAAAGTATTGTCCGGACATTCTTAAATTTTGACCGGACATGATCAACAGTTAGGACTGAGCAGTTTCTGTCTGCAGTTGCAACACAATGAAGATTAACTACACTGACAAGCTTTGTTTGTTTTGATTGCTGAAAATACATCGTACCTACACGATAGTCCAATCGGTCAATCACTGTAATAGGCAATAAACTGAGTTGACACTGATTAATCGAGGATTAATTACTGAGAACATCTTGTTAATTTGAGTGAAAGGTGTTTACAACTGTACATTAATACCTTGCATCATCGATGTACCTCATTATCCTCACAATGCTACGATACGTAACCTCAGACAAGAAGCGAAAGCGTGACGACAGCCAGTCGACCCATGCAGATCAGTCGAGCGGATCTGCCAAACCCTCAAAGTCTGGACGATCATTTTGTAAGTCGTGGCTAACGACTTTCACTTGGTTGACATACAATGAGGATTGTCAGATTTTATTGTTTTCAGTAGCTAGTCGTATATTGAATCTTGATTGACCGCCATTTTGCTTTCTCGGACGATCGATATCCAATTTTTTTATGGTCAATAATTAAGTACAGATGAAAAAAGTATTCAAATAACTATTGCTATCAACGGTATTTTAGTATTTGTGATTAAATTATCTGTCTTGTTTTTAAAAAAACCTTTAGTTTAAAAAAAACTTTTCCCGTGAGGTCACGTGATATGGGATAATAGTCTCGATCCAAATGTTACAACGCGTACACTTGAGCAGACTCATGAATATTAATTAGACCGTTCACTACGTTAACAGATCGTTATTATAACAGAAAAAAACGTATGTTTTCCATGTAAATCTAAAATGATATTATTTGTTATTAATTGTCCTGTGAATTAAACAATTTAAATTGAAAAAATTCATAATTCATCATATTATGAATACGTAAACTTGTAATGTGTGTGAAAAGTCGTACTAAAATACGCTATTTGAAGGGGGCGTGGCCTAAATGCAAATGTCCGATTGGGATTTTAAATTTTCCGGACCCCTGCCTGAACCCAAATGCACACAAAATTATGCAGATAAAATTCTGTCAGTTTTTGTAAATTAGTCTCTACGACCAGATGCAACACCTCATGCAGCATGTGGAGGCTGCCATTGTGAGCCAAGTCTTGACGCCATTCCTACCAATGAAACTGTAGAGTTTGTAGTAAGGCAGTAAACCATTGTGCATCAGTAAAGCATCTTCCATTAAATAATTTTATATGCACTTTTTTCAAAAACCACAATGAGCATTTTGTCTCCTGCTATCACACTAAGTCCTCTGACATCCATAACAACTTTTACAAATAGTATTTATTTTTTCACCCTTCTGTTATGCATGTGATAGGTCAATTTCTTTTTGACTGTCAGAGGGCAGTAGGGTAAGCTTGTTGTCAAAGTGTTGCTCGTCACACTGAAAACCCCATCTTCCCGAGGCAAGGGAGTTAACTGACTCCAAAAGTCCAGTTTCCACCCTTGCCGAACTAGGCTGGAATTTCTGGGCTTGATTGTGGCGCCACTAGTAACTATTACGAGTTATGTCCCTTCTATGCCCCTCCTATTGACCAATCAGATTCCACCTCTTATATCACTAGCATTTGCTTCAAGCAAAAATGTCAAGTCTGATCGATGGTCAAGATATGAATTGTAATAAAGTTTGTCTTGCCGTGCGAAGTGCATCAAATCACGTGAACCCCTTGATTAACAACATGAAAAGATTTGGAAAATATCTGTTGTTGCCCAGTTGACGGTACACATCACTTGCAAATCCTGCAGTAGACAGAAATCTGCACGTTGGAATCAATGTTGTTTACGAACTGGTTGTCTATTTTGTTACAAGATTTTGTTTGGACTGTGCATAGACTCTTTAGTCCAGCCAAAATATAACTCCATAATTGCAGCCTAGTTCGGCAAGGGTGGAAACTGGACTCTTACAGTCAGTTAAATTACCTTACCTTGGGAAGATGTGACAATCCAGGTTGCAAATGGGCAAAAATGTGTGAAGCCCATGTCCCTTGAATATTACGAAAAATGTCAAACCAGACTCTCTCTCTCATTCACTCTCGCGCTCACTCATTCACTCTTTCCTTGTAGGTATTGTCCTGATTGGTGAAATTGGTGGTGGAGCCGAGGAGAAAGCTGCTGAGTTCCTGAAAGAAAACAACAGGGTGAGGAAGTCATCTGTCTCAGGACGTTATCACCATAGTCAAGATCCATCTTGTAAAATTCAAGACATTTTAGTTTCTATGAATATCTTTTGTTAATATATTAGGCTCCACATTTGTCATACCCTTTGTATATTTGTCTTCATGAATGGAACTTCTTCTATGACAAGAAAGAAAAAGATTGTGATAAAAAAAAATGGTGGACGTCCATGTGATCATGTATCCTCCACTAATATGTATGTTACTTTTTTATTTCCGTTCTTCATCAAGGTCTGTTATTTATATTGTCCTGCTTCTTCGCAGGGACCAAATGCCAAACCAGTGGTTTCGTTTATCGCTGGTTTGACAGCTCCCCCTGGGCGCCGTATGGGACATGCTGGTGCCATCATTGCTGGTGGTAAGGGGGGTGCCGAGGAGAAAATCGAGTCTCTGAGAGCAGCAGGTGTTGAGGTGACCATGTCCCCAGCTCAACTAGGAGTCACCATGGCCAAGGTATGTAACACTGAATCTTATAGGAAATCTCCCTTACAGATCCCAGAGCATCATGTTTTACTTATCCTGCATTACTCCTTAATGCTTTTAATGCTCACTTTTGACAGGAGACGAAGCTGCGAGAGTCCACCTGAGGAAGTTGTTTCAATGAAGTGTGAGGCAGGACCCAGCGGATGAGGCCATGTGACTCCCACGTGGAGATGTCATGTTAACTCTACATTACTGCTTGTCACCAGACAGACATGTTGCTCCAATGAATTGACCAGTTTTGGATGAACCTGTGGTGGTGACTGGTGGAGTCCCCAGTACGTGTATTTGTGCAGGTTTGAGGTTTTTGTGTTTCTCTCTCCTCTTCAAGCTTTAGCAGTCACTGCTGCATTCCAGGAGGATGTCAGACACAAGATTCTCTACATGAGTTGCTTGTGGTTGGGTTGGACCTTGTTCTTCAGGGATATCTGACATTCCCCTCCCTCCTGCACATACCCAGACCCGCTTCGCCAGTCACTACTACCCACGCTACGCTGACAGTACCTTTGCAGGGACAGCTGTGATACCTGCACCTCTGGGCTCCTCGGCGACTCCTGTGCTTAAGAGTGTCTTGGTGATACCTGCACCTCCGGGCTTCCCCTGCCTGCGCTGACCATCCTTCAGAGCCCTTTGTTTACTGCGCCGCATCATACCAAAAGATGTTAAAAGACTTGTTGTTACCCTGTCTGGCGCTCGGCATTAAGGGGCTAAAACAAGGACTGGTTGGCTTGTAGTCAGTATACTGTGTCTGAGTGGGATATTCATGTTAAACTGCAGTATGGTATCTCAGTGAGCTAGCACTATAAATCGGCATCAGTCCGGCCTAGTAGAGGCAGCCACACACATACATACGAGTGCATGCACGTCGCTATAAGTGCAATAATCTTGGACGCGACATTAAACCCCATTTCACCTCACCTCACCCAATGCCAGTTGGTTGGACCATCTCCAGACGGTGGTTGATTACCAAAAGAGGCAGATTGATCACATGCGCAATCACCTCAGGGTGGTGCTCACAGAGATCACTGCACCCGCCATCTGGGTTATTTAAGCCCCGGCTCCTTTGTCAGACGTGGTCAGCTTCATCTCTGTTCAACAACCATATCTCCCATACCATGCCAAGGTCTCGAGTTATACTTGAGATGAAACAGCCCTAAAAGCTCTGGAGCATGTCTCCCAGAGCTTCTCAAATGCAGGCAACTACTACTACTTTTCTAGGCAGAGGACGTGGTAGAGAGAAATCACAAGGCACCTATCAAAGGCAGCGGCAAATCCCAAGGCAGCGACGGGAAGGATAGGCAATGAATGCTCAGACTACAACTGGAAGCTCCCACCCCATGTCGTTCAAGTCTTTGACACCCCAGTAGGTGGTAGACTGGGTCAGTTTGGGCACAACTGGATCACCTTACAACTGGATCACATACTTAACCACGGCGCCTCCATGGTGGCTCTACCCCCAAAAGCAGCATTTACTTCTGATGGCCAACTTAAATATATTGCTAGGGAAAAGAGCCATAGAGATTGTGCACACCCAAACCCTAACACCAAGGTTCTACTCTCCTATCTTTCTCATATGCAGAATCTTCACGAGATTTGGGTGGTTACCTCTACAATGGCTCTACACAGTAATTGCTCTATTAGAGCCATCATGAAAGGATTTTTTTGGAAATCCGACACTGTCTTCGTAAGCCACTACCTGAGGAACATGGCCTTGGAAGATGTCGAAATCAATCATAGTTTTGGCCCTCTAGTCGCAGCCCAGCAGGTCACCATGGGTTATTCTGCTAACCGGCAGTTGGCTTGGTAAATCAGTTTCTAGACTTGAGCGCACACCAATTTCTCTTGCTGTTTTTTCCCGTCCTCATACTCTCGTACCATCTACGGACATGACTGGTCGAAGAAGTTGCAAATCTGCGCAAAGTGAAGCTCCAATCTCATTAAAATCAGATCTTAGTTTTCGAAACCGCTAAACAAAGATCTGAGGACATCCCATAATGGGTCACGTCAGAGCAACCTTTCGCGAAGTTTAACCAACCAATGAAATGACTGACAAGAAATCGACATTGGGCAATCAGAAGGCAGCTTTCTCAAGCTTTTGGACACAAGTTTCAAACTGGCGACTACGCTTCGAAACATATTTTGACGTATTCTTGATTAAAAAAATTAAAACTGATAAAGAGAACATTCTGGAATGGCTTATAGATGGCCTAGATTGTATGGATATAATAAAAAAAACTGTAACTGTCATTTGGAATACCCTCTGTTAAATCTTTTGAGCTTGCATGATTAGAAAACACATTCCTTCCGTCACTTTCATCATCTGGTAAGCAATGCTCTGATTGGTTGGATGAAAGGTCGTTCTGATGTGACCCGTAATGGGCTATCCTCAGATCTTTGTTTAGCGATAGCGAAAACTAAGATCTGATATTAATGAGATTGAGTGAAGCTCTCAATGACTGCCGTGAACTACTGCAGAGTCCAATAAAAATGCATTAAGGAGTAATGCAGGATAAGCAAAACTTTAAGTAAAATCTAAATATTTTTTACATTTGTATACTTATCCTGCATTACTACATCCAAGGGCCCACCTGTCGCCGACCTTCCTCCTCATGATCTCTTCAGATGTAAAGATATAGACATCCATGACAAGCAGTAATGAGGAGTTTACGTGACGTCATCATATCGGAGTCACGTCTCAGTTGCTGGGTCCTGACCCACACTTCATTGAAACAACTTCTTTCTCAGCTGGACCCTGCAGCTTCGTTTTCTGTTAGAAGTAAGCAGTAAATGCATTAAGAAATAATACAGGTTAAGTTTACAAATGTATGAATATATTTAGATTTTACTACTTCCGGTATTTAGTGAAACGTTCATCCACATTCCACTCTCATTCCCTTCTTGGCTACAGCAGTCTCTACTTTTCCCCACCTCAGCTCCCGTAGTTTAGATGATTGGGGCTTCCTTTATAGAATTAATTTATTTGACCTGATGCTATATTTTGGGTACTACATGTATAATAATTATGTCCGTCTACTATGCAGGACATGAGCCCTGTTTAATATCTACTTGTCTGGGCAATCTATTTAAGATGGCAATGATTTTATGAAATGATTTGTTCAACAGCATTTCTGAATTGGATGTAAAACCATATGTTTTGGCTAGACATGGCCTATATTTTTTTTGGTTAAACATTATTTTCTTTAGTTAAATCATAGAACTGTGTGGAACAGGAATTACTGTTAAAAGTTTGAATATATTTGGATGTTGAAATTTATACAACTGCTTCTGCTTCTTAAATTCAATTCATGTCTGACATGTCAATGGAATACACCTTTAAGAATGATGCATTTACTTGAAAATTTCCCCTTTCAGGCTATGCAGAAGGCGGGGAGATAACTGCTGCTGGAATGAATGGCTGTAACCGTGTGCCAGGAGTGCGACCTTTGATTCATGTACAGTGTTACCAGTAGTCAGTCTTGGGTTAAGTTGGTAGTTGGTGCCATACCATTGGGGCAACTGGTTTACCTGCTGCCTGATGCATGCAACCAATGAATGACCAGTGTGGCAAACATTGATGACAGTAGGAGGGGCAGCCACATGCTGTATAAGTGATGCTTAATGCTCTATTTCATCAAAAACATGTATGTCAAAATCGAAAAATGTCTCACAGCTGTTCAAAATTGGTTGAATAGGACACAAAATGAATTTTTGAAGATGAATGACTGGTTTGCAAGGGAAAGGTAGTGGTATGGGCATTGCATTAAATAAATTGACTTATTGTCGGTATCCGTGATAGTTTTGCTGTGAGTCTTTGAACGGAGGGGATGCAAGACAAGACTCTGATGCAGTCATTTCATCACTGTTAAAGTTCATTGGATGAGAGAGGCGTCCACTGTTATGGATATTTTCATCTCTGAGGGTACTGATGTGATGTATGGACAAGAATAGTTTTGTCTTTGAGGCCAAGGTGGCATCTTTGACTTTTTGTTCAAGGGAAATACCTTTGACTGATACAAGGCACTCCCCCCATTTATAACAGATAGTATATTTATACTCATTTATATGTAATCAGATATATGTACTGATCGTAGGTACTCCCATTATGACCTTCAGTTTCGCAATATGTGATGGTGCAGTGCCCAGTTGTGTCCAATGAATGGCATTACCCCTCGTGAAAACTCCAATCACAAAGAATGTAAATGTACTAAAGTTATATTGTTCATAATTTTATGTTGATTGAGAATTGATATTTCCTGCACCAAAGGTCAAATAAACTAAAGTTTGACCCTTATGTTTGTTTGTTGTAGTTTTTGACAACAGTGAACAGTAAATGGATGTTGAGACTCTTGACATATTGACCACATAAACATGCTTTCATTTTAAGGCAATATCAAACTTCGTGAGTGAGTGAATGTAGTTTAACAATGCTTTGAACTTGATGTGTGACAGAAAGGCCTATGATGTAGGTCTTAATGGGTATGGTGCTGACAAACCTAAAACATTTCATGTCCAACTGGGATTCCAATCCATGATCAGGTTTCTTGCAAGCCTACCAAATGTTTTGTGAAAAGGTGTACATATCCTGCCCAGTGGGTGGCATCAATTACAAACACATGCAAAGGCAGGTCAAGTGGGTGAAAGGCAGGGAATTGCTTCAGACTTAAGTGTTTTCACTGATGCGTCAACTTTGTAAATGTCCTCCACATGCTACCATACAAAGTTTTCAAACCTTTAATGTTGTAACCCTGATCAAACAACTGTTGAGCAAGAGTCGAATGATTTTCTTTGAAATCTTTGTGGGATGAGTTGCTCGATTGCATCTTTAAAATTGTGAAATGTAAACACGAAAGGCTGGAGCTGCTGGACATGAGGGAAAGTTGACAGTGCTTGGACATCCCAGGGATATCGTATATATATCCGGGAATTATTTCACACCTTGATCATATATAGGGTCGCGGTCATAGCTTGCAGAAACATCTGTTAGAACAATAACTTGTGATTTACACTAAGCTTATGAAGCTTGGTCACGTCACCCTTGGGATAGGGAAGTGACCAGGGCACCGTCCACAAAAGTATCTTAGCGCTACAACTGGCGTAAGCCAGTGTTAAAGTATGGGAGTTGCAATCACCTCAGCGTTACGATGGCTTTGTGGAACGGGGCCCTGGAAGGGTCATGGCTACTGTGAAGGTGATTTGTTCAGGTATGTTTGACATGTACTATATGGTCCCGCGTTTGTTCATGTGAACAATTGACTAGCCTTTGCATGTGACGGATGCCACTGGTAGGGCAGGATATACTCACCTTTTCGTGAAGACCTGTACATCCTCACTATTTGATAGTGATTCATAAACACCATCTTCCCGAGGCAAGAGAGTTAACTGGCTATAAAAGTCCTGTTTCCACACTTGCCGAAATAGGCTGGAATTACTGGACTCGATTGTAGCGCCACCAGTGGCTCTTACCAGTTATGTCCCCTCTGAGCCACTCCTATGGACCAATTTGATTCCACTTCTTGGATCACTTGCGTTCGCTTCACACAAAATGGTTGCGCCCGGTCAGGACGATCTGATCGATAATCAAGATCTATATTGTGATAAAACGGGTCTTACATCGCAAAATGCATCAAATCACGTGAGCACCTTGATTAAAAACATGAAAAGATTTGGAAAATATCTGCTGACGAGTTGGCGGTGCACATGCTTTGCAAATCAAGACCGCCTCCGTGGTCCTGTGGTAGAGCGTCCGCCCTGAGAGCGGAATTTCCGGGGTTCGATCCCCGACCGAGTCATACCAAAAGACGTTAAAAGATGGTACTTTTTGTTACCCTGTCTGGCGCTCGGCTTTAAGGGGCCAAAGCAGGGACTGGTAGGCTCGGAGTCAGTATACTGTGTCTGAGTGGGGTATTCATGTGAAACTGCGGCATGGTATCTCAGTGAGCTAGCACTATAAATCGGCATCAGTCCGGACTAGTACAAGCAGCCACACACACACGTGCATGCACGTCGCTTTATAAGTGCAATAATCTTGGACGCGACGTTAAACCCCATTTCACCTTTGCTAATCCTGCAATCGACCGAAATCTGCACGACAGTGTACGAACCTGATTTCGATTTCGTTGCACGATTTTAATTGGGCTATGCATAGACTCGTTAGTCCAGCCAAAATGTTACTCCATAATACCAGTCTAGTTCGGCAAGGGTGGAAACTGGACTTTTATAGCCAGTTAACTCTCTTTCCTCGAGAAGATGCATAAACACATGCTCTTAATATAGTCGGAATCGTACAATCGACACTTTCGTATGTATATGGAAAGGTTTTTATCGCTTGTATTGCACTTAAGATATGTCTTATGCAAGTAATGGCCATAAGATTTGAATAATAAACCAGAATGGACCAGACAATCCAGTGATTAACATCATGAGCATCACACCACGCCATTTGGATACGATGACATGCATCAACCAAGTCAGTGAGCCTGACCACCCGATCTCGTTAGTCGCCTCTTCGACAAGCACAGTCGCCCTTTACGGCCAGCACGGGTTAACTTTATTTTTATGAAGGTAGCACACTGCATGAGACTTGTGTTTTCCCCTAGCCAGAAGTGATGGCATCAACACTTCGAATAACTTAGTTAGACTTTAAACATTCAACAATCAAAGACTTAATGAGGCTTTTTAAAAGTTTTAGGGAATACATGTGGAGGTCATGTCCAAAATTGACACGTTAGTGACCAAACCTTTGACTTGTACTTTTTGTTCTCGCGTCAGAATATGTCACCTTTTTGCGAACACCTGGTGTCATCACTCACTGATGGAGGTTCATAAATAGAAGGTCGTTGGTTCGATCCAAAAGACGTTAATATATAGTACGCGGAGTCAGTATACTGTGACTGACTGGGGTATCCATGTTAAACAGTGGCATGGTGTCTCAATAGGCTAGTACTATGAACCGGCATAAGTCAGTCAGTACATGTTTTTATCTTTAGAACATGTTGTATAAGAAACCTAAAAAAGTGTCCTAGAAAATGAACCCATCAAACCCTGTGGTATGTGATCATTTCTGAGGCCTTCTGAAAATTGTGATGAAGGGGCTGCTTCTGTTTTTGCAAGTTCTACGAAACACTTTTTTAGTCAAGTGACCGAGGTTCTGTCTAACATTTTAAGGAAATTCGTATATAAGGGAACATGCAAGGAAATCCACACATGCCATTACTGTGCAGCTCTGATCGTGTAGCCTGTGACAATATTCCACTGGTTTGGGAATAGATTCAATAGAATGTGTGCGATAACAAAACGTATGCAATGATCACTTTTCATCATCATATTTTTTATAGGACCCGTTCTGACCTCTGATCCGGGCGGGCGGGTAGCCTAGTGGTTAAAGTGTTCGCTCGTCATGTCGAAGACCCGGGTTCGATTCCCGACATGGGTACAATGTGAAAAGCCTTTTTCAGGTGTCCACCGCCGTGATATTGCTGGAATATTGCTAAAAGCGGCGTTAAACCAAAGTCACTTCCACACTCCCTGAACTGTGATCATCAGACGTCACTGTTAAGTAATGGGCACAGCCTGTCCTTTCTCGCCACATTATAAGATAGCAATACAGAACCTCGGGTCTAATTTAAATAGCTCTCCCTGACCCCAGTGACTTCGGATAATGGGTGTAAATAACGTTATAAGACCTGTTTAGAAATAGATAAGATTGAAAGCCACATGTCGCTATTACGGAAAGGTGGCCAACTGTTGAATTCAGTCCCGTGTTCAGCAGCCATGATACGCGCATGTATTTTCGGTCTCCTTATTGGTGTTTCACAGGCATTCCTGTTCGATTTCGGAAGTAAGTCTTTCAATGTTATTCCCATCATTTCATAAGATATAAATATGCAAATGTAGGTAGGAGTTTATTGTGTTGCTACGTCGTTGTTTTTTGTCTTAGTTCGAATCTTGTCTTTACCCTTAATATGCCAAATCGGATATAAATCCGATATACATTATGTTGTCATACTGTATTGGTATATAAATGTTTCACTAAGTTTTGTTAAAGAGGACGTAGTGTAACTGTTGGTTCGTGAATAAGAAGCGCAGTGGTGAGATGATGCCTATTATGACGCGGGTTCGAACCCCGTTAAGAAATGTTTTTGCAAAGTTTTTCCCATGTGTTTAAATAAAATTCTGTCAATTGTACATTAAATAAAAGGAGGGTTCTCGATAATGTAGGCATGTGAAGCCGATATGACGTCACACTCACAGATGTTTAAATCCTGATATTATCAATCATATCCTAAATAGTGTTCACCTACAAGTATTCATATCAGTGATGGTTAATATCATATGCCACGGATTCCCCCTTTGGGGATTTCTTATCAGAATAAGGGGCTGTCGGGTAGCCTAGTGGTTAAAGCGTTCGCTCGTCACGCCGAAGACCCGGGTTCGATTCCCGACATGGGTACAATGCGTTAAGCCCATTTCTGGTGTCCCCCGCCGTGATATTGCTGGAATATTGCTAAAAGCGGCGTAAAATCAATCTCGCTCACTCACTTATCAGAATAGGCCTCCAGTCACCATGCTTGACCGCACGCAACAAACTAAACTGTCCTTAGCTTATAATCTTCATTACTTCTTTGTTTCAGCCAGCAACTGGAATGGTCTTAAAGGTTAGAAATATAATATTCATATTAATATTTGTTGTAAACGAAACGAGCAGTTCAGGTCACAATTGATAAATAATTACATTTTAATCGACATATTTGAGACAGGAAACACCGTATTTCTGTTTTGTTTTGATATTGACGCGTCATTCCGGTACAAGTCATCTTGTAGGTGACGAAAGTGTGAATATCGGTGATCCGCCTTTTTGAAAAGGGCGACTTAAAAACATTCCGTTTCAGAACCGATTGGTCCCCAGCAACCCATGGTTGTCGTAAGAGGCGACTTAATGAATCGCGTGGTCAGGTAATTTAGCATTGCGTGTCATTGTACATCGAGGCGTGGATCACAGCTTTGTCTGGACCAGACTCGATTATTTACAGGCCGCCTTTATATAACTGTAATATTGCTGAGCGTCGCGGTAAACAACAAAAAAGACGTTTTAAGAAAATAAGTACCTTGCGAACTTTAATATGAATATGAATGTGAATATCCACTCCATGAAATAGGAATGTTAGCTGAAATCGGGCCCAAGAGGTTGAGACAAGGATGTTTTGTTTTGAAAGTTGATATGATGGATGCCTTTTTAGAATGGCTGTATCTCAGGTTCCCCTGTTGCTATCTCCTTCCTCAGTGACGTGGGACGCCAACATCTTCAGCTCCCGGGCCTTCAGCAGCCTCCCCAGGACGGAGTCTGACGCCAAGCGGGCAGGGTTCACCATGATCTCAGACTGTGGAGGTACGACCTGCTTGAGATGAGCCGATACACTTTTATTTAGATGTGATACACGATACCATAGGAGATGGGATAAGCGATGTGTCACGCGATGCGATACATGATGGGATACACTATGAGTGAGTGAGTGAGTGAGTATGGTTTTACGCCGCTTTAATCATTACATCCAGAAATATCACGGCGGAGGACACCACAAATGGGCCTCAAAAAATTGTACCCATGTCGGGAATCGAACCGGGGTTTCGCCGTGACGCGCGACCGCTTTAACCACCAGGCTACTCGACCGCCCCTGATACACTGTGGGATACACACTGCGATACACAATGAGATACACTATGTGATACACGATACAGTACCTGAAAACCCGACACATGTCATAATGGAGTCATAAGATGACGTGAGATATTGCCAATACATTCAGTAAATTTTAGTTAAATCATCCGATACGCGATATTCATGTATCGCCCAGAGTAAATTATTTAAGACTACGGCCACATGGTTGTCGTTTTTAGAAATTTGTTTAAAGGCCCACAATGTGTGCTTAAGTGCAAAAAAGAAACACACATTTGAGTTAATGATGAGTAATGCGTCTGCTAAAGCCAGGACTAAAAACCTCGCTTCTGCAATTATTATAATAAACTAGGCAAGCATCACATACGCGTGTTCTTATTCCTTCCAGGAGTTATGTCTTCTGTGTGCGTCAGTATGTGAAAGCCATGTATTGGTAATTTTACGACAGAACATACATGCTCAAAATATGTGTTGGAATGTGAATATGTTAATGTGACATTTAGACATATTTATAAATACACGTTGTATCTCCTGCACAGCCAAATCAAACTTCGCCGGCAAGCGTTATGTGTTGTCGGGCGACACCGCCGTCGTGCTGTTGTATGACGTCAACGGCTACATAGCCGGGATCCAGGCAGGGGTGAGTTATCATATATCATAGCTCTATGAGCATATGAGCATACAGTGTACAGCATACTGCCCTATGAGTATATTATATACAGTTCTAGGAGTCTTCTCTTTCAGAAAATTATTTTCTTACCTGTTTCCAACAATATCTAAATCAATCTTAGATAAACTCTGAAATTTGACATGATGAGGTGAACTGGGTATTTTACGTCGCGTCCGGGTGCATTTGGTTCTTGCAAAGAGCGTTTAATGAAGTTACGTGAAATGGGGATTAACGTCGCGTTCAAGATTATTGCACTTATATAGCGAAGTGCTTTCACGAAATTTGAAAGGAGAATGTTTTTAACGTAACATTGTGCTGGGATTCTCCCCTCGTATATCACTGCATCCATGTCTTGATGCTTTGCCAAAATCACTTCGTTTCTTCTAAAACTACAGTTTTCATTCGCTTTGGAATATATCAAAACTAAACCGTCAAAGAACTGATTGTTAGAGTAATGATATGCATGGTATTTCTAGAGTGGAACAAGGCTGAGCTCATCATTCATCATCAGTTAGACAACCATATTCCTTGCACACGGGTGGCCCAGTCGCTGTGCAGAGTTGCGTCCCTTGGGCACGTCAGAAACCTATGATTGTGGGTTCGAATCCCGGTTCGCCCCGATTATGTTTCTAGGTTGGTCAGCACCATACCCGTGCTCGTGGGTTTTACCGAAGTGGTAAACGTCTGAGACCGGCATCACTTCGGGCTTTCCTCCTACATTAAGCTGACACGCCGCGATATAACTGGAATACTGTTAAAAGTGGCGTTAAACCCAACTCACTCACTCACTCACTTGCATTTGTGAGTACAGAATCAAGTGGCTTATCACAGTATTGATGCTCGTCACCTTCTGTTGTAGTTCCCTGCAACACTTCAGAACGGCTACCCCCACGCTCCTCTGAAGAACCACCCTTTTGTCATGTCCGACGGGAAACAATACATCACAGCCTACTTCGTGGATCCAAGTCAGTACATCCGGCTAGTTCTTCTACAAACAGCCTATATTTGTTATTCAAATGGTTCAAAAACGGTTGTTGAACCCCGTACGAAGCACACTTGTAATAATGATGCTGCGCCTTGCGACATTGTAGACGTCATGCAGACATCAGTGTCGGATATGTGCCCCACGACTATCAGGATTCGGGTGCCGTGGGGTTGAATTCCAGTACGCCTCTTATGATCCTGTGATTGTTCATCTTCCCGGGACAAGCGTGCCCACTAGCCTATATTAAAGCACTTTTATAAAAATGCGAGTAGACGCTCAGTAGATCAATGCCTATGCTTCTGTTGGTTGAAAAATACCTACGATCTGCGTCACTTTGGGCTATTTTCCAGCATTAGCCTGAAATACTGTTGTGGTGCATGGATGCATGTCATTTTGAGGGGATGTTTGTTACTGTTTGGTGGTTCTAGCTTGTTCAATGCATCACAATTGAAATTTCAATATTTGATTGAAAAGAAAAAAAATCAAAAATGTTTTTGTCAATAGCTCAAAGGGCCAAAGGCCTGAAACTTGGTGCGTGAGATGGTGACCTTGTACTCGAAGAACTAAATTTGTTCAAAGCAACTTGATCAGAAATCACATATGACTGCCTGTGGCCATATTTGAAAATACAAAAAAGCACGAGTCATCCGTCATAATTTCCTCACAATTTACCAATGAAGTTTAAACTTCATATGCTGGTTCCTACCGCCGATGGCACTTTAATTATATGGTGAAATGTGTACAATAAACATTTGACGAATAGCAAACGCATATTTATGTTAAGTTTTGATCACACCCCCTTCTTTCGAAAAAAAACCTGAAAACGCTTGTGGTTGCTATGGTTTCAGGCACAATCTGCAGCAAGGGCAGGACCAGCAATTTGTTTAACTCGGAGGGTACCGGAACTGACCTCTTTATCCAGAATGGCACCACCCCCTCCCAGATACTGAAGATACCCCACAAGGAGACCGACGTGCAGAAGACAATGTGGACCAAGGGTCATTGCTTCCCTACCATGGGTGAGTGGGGCAACACTAGAGTCGTTACTTCATTGTACTGTTATGAAACAAGGGTACAGGGACAGCGCGCTTCGACGACCTTTCATCATTTATCCTATGGGCTTAAAAAAGGAAAAACAAAACGCTTTTTTAACACATGTGCTAAAATTAAGTTGAAAAACTGATTGATCAACATGTGTTCAAGCTCTCTTCTATTTGGCTGATTTGCACCCCTGATAATTTGGCTGTATCAGACTTACATTGGAACTGTTCCTGTTGTATGGTCTTCAAACCCACATAACATGCGACACAGGGGTACAATACAAATACCTTTACTTGATAGAGACGACCCGTGAAGATTCGGGGTCGAATAGGTCTTCAGCAACCCATGCTTGCCGTAAAAGGCGACTAACAGGATCGGGTAGCCACTCGCTGACGTGGTTGATGTCATCGTATCCGAGTTGCGTGGATCGGTGCTCATGATGTCAGTAACTGGATTGTCTGGTACAGCTGGAATATTTACAGACGGCCGTCATATAGCTGGAATATTGCTGGATGCGGCGTTTAACAAGAAACAAGCAAACAAACTTGACAGAGACAACAGCGAGACAGATTACAATCATGGAAATCGGATCACGCGTCACAGTCTATGACTTCACGTGCAGGCACACACTACTGTTGGGGGACCGTTGCGTTTGGGCGAAGCGGTCATATATCGGGACCAACCTCACACTGTCGAGAGGGTAATTTTGTTGCAAAGGTATATCAGCGTAAATTTACACCATAATCATCCATTATTGTTACAGTTGTTTGCAGACACAATTACCGTAATTATGAACTTGTCAACAAGAGTTTAAAAAAGTGTTGTTTTTTTCCAACGCGTTGAAGGGGTGCACTATTGGTACAACATACGGAAGGACATGAGCTGTGATGAGTTCTACCCTGTATTCCTACTCTACAATGGCGGAAAACTGAACGCTTTCGGATGGGCTTTCAACGCCGACCTGTCTTCCACTCGCTTCGAACATCCACCATTGCTGTCATTTGGGGTTCGTTTTACACGCATATAATGATTCTCTTTCGCTTTGCTTATGATAATATTAGTCAGTATATATATATTAATAATTAAATAAGTGGAGTAAGATTGAACACAGTTTTAAAAGGCTAGCGCTTTCAACTCGTACCACGTACGAGTCTCATCAGGCCATAACTAAATAACGGACATATATATATATATATATGTGTGTGTGTGTGTGTGTGTGTGTGTGTGTGTGTGTGTGTATATATAAAAGCACAGTAAAGTATATATATGGTATTATAATTCCTGTTTGATAATAGCTGTTGTGTTAGTGCGCATGCCCGTGTGTGGATGACTGAGAAGTTTAACGTATCATTGGCTGAATATATTCAATAATTTAAATACAATGTCAGTCTCTTTCATGAGCTTGTTTTTGCACATCGTATAATAAATTATTTGGGTTAATCTGACATGAAACAAGCTTTGATTATGGACTCAGAACAAATTAACTGACAATGTAGTTAAATACCAGTAAGTACGTTTAATTCCAACTCTCCATGAGATATATATTTATGATAGGTTCAGCAGAACCTTACACATGAATGTCACATTCTAATTGCTCATTCTATTATTTCCAATGTACCACGCTCACATTTCTGATGTTCACCGTTCGCATTGACGAACTCTTGGTATTACATTTGCAACATACCAACCGCAACTTTGTGTCTCGAATTAATGATGGAAGACGCCATTCTGGATAGACCTAGGGGGAATAACTCGTAGTTTGTTTTCTGTCGTCTGCTATTTTTCTATGAATGTGAAAAATGGACAAAGTGGATAAGTGTCTATCTGTGGTACTCTTACCCATTCGGACCAAAGCATGCATGCATAAGACAAACATAATTAGCTGTGTGGTTTGATATATTCGTTATCCTCCGGTTCCTCGGGTGACGTGGCTTGAAGTGCCCTCTGTGATAGTTCATGTAACTATGTTACCCTTCGAGACAACATGGACAAGTTATATTATTTATTTCAATGCCAGTGCAACAGATGCGTGTTCAATTGCACCTACCATGAATGTTTCAGTGTAATTCTAACGTTAACATATCAACTACTGCGATATCTGACATCATTCTTTGTACGCCAGGCCTTCTTGAACCCAGTACCCGACTGTCTGAGCAAGGAGGGGCGTCTCTCAACCATGCACATCTATCTTACAAGCCGCCCGGAGCTGGACACATGTTGATTGGTCAACAACGTATCACGTGGCCAAGGAAAACCTTTTTCTCAGGCACACATTGTACACGTTCAGCAATAAAGGTGTTTGGTATGGTATACAATAAATATAAGGTTGCCTTGATTTACAATGTGCTAAGGAAAATTAGAATCGTCTCTCGATAAATCAAAATACTTGAATTCCACTCAACACCCCCACCTGCATTCTGTTGCATAGGGGCGGTCGGGTAGCCTAGTAGTTAAAGCGTTCGCTCATCACACTGAAGCCCCGGGTTCGATTCCCGACATTGGTACAATCTGTGAAGCCAATTTCTGGTGTCCACCGCCGTGATATTGGTAGAATATTGCTAAAAGCAGCGTAAAACCAACCTCACTCACTCACTCACTCACTTCTATTGCATAATTATCCACCACTCTGTCCTGAAGTGAATCTGGGTTGGACTCAACTGTTTTATTCGACTCAACTCTCTCACGGCCAGCATTGAGAGGAATCCACATTGGACCTCGATTCACTAGTTTCACTTGTTCACGTAACTATCACGTTACACAACACAATCTGACAGCAGTCTTGACACTTGGACAAATGTTGCTCGATATCAGCGAGTGAGTGAGTGAGTGAGTGAGTGAGTGATTGAGTATGGCTTTACGCCGCTTTTATCAATATTCACGGCGGGGGATACCAGAAATGGGCTTCACACATTGTACCTATGGTGGGAATCGAAACCGTGTTTTCAGCGTGACGAGCGAACGCTTATACCACTGAGGCAACCCCACCGCCCTACTCGATATCAGATAACATACGTACTTTCTGCTAAATATAAAAAGGTTAAATCCCCCGTCATGGTTTACAAACTGTATGAGCATGATATTTTTTTAACGCCGTTCTCAGCAAATTCAACTATATGGAAGCGGCCTGTAAATCATCGCGCCAGACAGCCAAGTGATTGATATGACGGTCTTCGTCCCAAGCCGTTGACACTCAATGAACCAGACACAGATACTGACCATTAAGTCGCCTCTTACGACTAGAATTGGTTTCTGGAGACTTTTTATAATATCGTCAGTGCCAGAAAATTAATAGTCCCGATTATCCCCCGAAGCAGATTACATTGGGTGTAAAAGGCAAAGTTATAGATGTGAAAATTATATGAATGGATCACTGAAAGTGAGTGATAACACCAGATGTTCGCGAAACCGCTAGCATGTTTCATAATAGTTGTTGGGCTTGAGGTAGGAGTTCACACAGTGGTGGTTTGCTGTTTAAATTGTTATTAAGAAAACACATAACAGCTGAAGAGACCGCTAGAGACCAGCAGTAGTGTTAATGACGTTATCTCTATTATAACGTTACTAGTAGCGTGTTTTGGCAAACTGTTGCTTTTGTTGGGAGGATATCCAGAATCCAGTCCGGCTGAAAAGCAACCGCTCAACGAGACCGTCAAATCACCTTCCTTGGCGAAATCAAACTGTACTATCTATCTTAAATATCTCTCCAGTCTTGGACTGGGTAACACGCATCTTCAGACAGACGTCATCAGTCATATGCAAAGGTTCCGAGACTGGCTATGTGGCCACCCATGTCTGTGCTTCACCCTGCACATTTCTCTAGTTTTGTCAGTTGCAGTGGGTGTCTCATGCTAAAAAATAGAGTCCACGTAGGACCAATGAAATCGATGAGCGCATTTTCCTCTGTGTCTACCAGTGCAATGAACTTTTGGTATAATACATGTGCTCAAGTTGACCTGACCGTATTCGCACTAAATATTAGAGCTCACATAATAATAATGGCGGCATCAATTCTCGTTAAGGTATTGCTGACAGTTGAACATATTTATAGAAACATACAATGGAAAGGATCTTTGTTTATCTGTCTACCAGTCGAATTCCGTGTTATCTCATTCTGCTATGTCATCTTTCGATACTGCACGGTGGGAATGTCAAATGAATTAATTTCGAACCGATTTAAATCAACTGATCAAACCTAGGCCTCGGGTATATCTTCTATCAGTATATGTTTATCTATGCTTATCTAGATTTTGTTTTACACTACGACAAACTATGTTTCATTGACCGTTATGTGAGACAAAATATAGAGATGTGCCATGACCATTTCCTAGAAACTGTCAACACAAAGTTCCAAATACTTGAAACACTTTTAGAACCAGTTCTTGTATAAAAACGGATCTTTTTGTTGGATGTCATCAAGTAGATAGTGTGCCATTGTGTTCCCAAAAAAATGGAATGGTTAAGTCAGTGACATTGACTCAGAGTCTTTATGTCAGAATGTCTGAACAGCAGGCGAAGGTGGACATGAGCGCGCTCAAAGACACATTCCTAGAGTGCCCTGTGTGTGGAACATTTCAAAAAGACAGACCGATGTCTTCGTCTCCTCCATCCCTGCCTTCCTGCCTTTTGTACACAGTGTCTTCAACAGCTGCTTACGAAGGATGGAAATGCCCAGATCACATACCCTCTGTGTCGCCAGCTTCACAAAGCCCCAGCCTGGAAGGCTGACACATTGCCCATGGATCCTGTCTGAGCGAAGATTTTGTCCAGATCAAAAACGAAGGGAATGTTCCTTGCACAGACTGCCCCGAGGGAAGTACATCGGAGTCAAGGTGTCAGGAGTGTTCTGTATATCTCTGTAAGGATTGCACATACGTACACAAACGTCATCGACTGACACACGACCATCCAATCATTTCCCTGGTTGATATACTACAACAGCCCCTGAACACATTTGGCAAGGGTCATTTCTGCACTCATCACCCAAAACACCAGTTGGAGTTCTTTTGTGCTACTGATGAAACACTGTGTTGCATGTCTTGCACAGTTCTGGAACATAAAGGTCATGACTTCAAGAAATTAGAAGAAGCTGCTAAAAAACGACAAGAGGAATTGGAAACATCAATGCAGGCAGTCCATGCAAATGCCCAACAACTGCGTCAGAGGCGACTGTCTGAAGAAAAGCATCAAAATGCAATCGTGCAAGCTCAGGGAAAGGCCAAATCCGATGTGATATCCCTGATTGATGTACTACAACAGTCCCTGAATATGTTTGGCAAAGGGTCACTTTTGTAGGATGTAAAATTACTTTATTTGTTCATCATAAATTATAACACTTCCAGTTATGCCATGAAAACTGGCAACATTGATGATGTGGTTTTGAGGAACAATCACTCACCAACTCTCCTGTTCTTCCATATTTGATCATTGTTCAATAACAGTGAGAGGTTAATAAAATTTTAAAGTTAAGTGGTGGTTAACAGATCTTGTTGTTTAGATCTATGTTATAAAGAGAAACCAAATAAATGAAAATAATCTGACCTAATTTAACTACTATTACATTATGTAATCCAGTATAGGGCCATATTAACCACTTCTCTCAAAAAAACTTTCCGCCTATTTCCAATTTGTTTTATTATGACTCTTGAAACACATGAAACTTCTTGTTACGATTTTGAACATTCAGGGAAAAATATGTTTGGTAAGTTGAAATAAATCAATAAATGAATATACAGTAGAATGTCTCCAAACTTTCAATGGTGAAAATCATAGACATCATGGCCTCGATTTTAGGTTTTAGACTTTAGATTTTATGAGAGTTTCATTTTAACGTATCGTCAGACAAAAATGCGATAACTTCGTGGTGATATCTTTCTAAATCTTTGCATTATTTGCCACTGTATTCGTAAACGCGGAATTCAGCGTGTCGAAATTACTTTCCACACCTGACACAATGACATCTATGTCAGTCGAGGAGAAGTTTCTTTTTCTTTTCTTTAGTCCAGAAGCGTCCAGAAAATATATTTCCGTTTCGAAGGGGAACAACTCTAATATTGCAATCTTCCGTGTTTCCACACAAGAGAGTTTTTTGCTGATGCAGTTGGTTGCTGCTGGATTTACTATTCAAACCACCAGACTTGACAGGTAATGGTGGAATTTCGATGTGTTATTAAACTTCAACAGGTTTGTAGCCATATAACCCACCATATAAGCATTTGTTTTATTCATGTTAAGCATCTGGCTCGTCTTTGGTGAAAATTAAACAGGTGCGCTTCCATTTCCGGGTTTAGCGTTGCTATGCAAGTTAGGATGTTGTAATATCGTAATGTCACTCTTATCTTAGAGGGGTTTACGACGGGCTTACGATACTTTTGTGAAACGGTCGTAAAATATGTCGCTAGGACATCCAAAACTAGGTCGTAGCGGTATATTAGGAGGTCGTAGCGCTGAAAGGCTTTCGTGATTTGATAGTGATTCATAACCGCATGCTTATGATATAGTCAGAATCATTCAGTGGACGTAGCATAAATGTCTTATGATCATGGAAAGGATTTGTCCCTTTTTTCTATGAAAACAATGTCTATAAAGTTTCAGTCACACATATCAGAGACAACATATAGAATCAAGCAGGGCACGAAGGCGCCGCGATGGGCTGTGCAGAGTTGCGTCCCTTGGGCACGCCAGAAACCTATGATTGTGGGTTCGAATCCTGGTGCCCCGATTATGTTTCTAGGTTTGTCAGCACCATACCAGTGCTCGTGAGACCTGCATCACTTCGGCCTTTCCTCCCACATTAAGCTGACACGCTGCGATATAACTGGAATACTGTTAAAAGCAGCGTTAAACCCAACTCACTCACTCACTCTAGAATCAAATTAAACCAGAGTAAACAACTTGACCCCTAACCAACCATTTGACTGGTAATTGCTTTTATGCTTAAAGGATTACACACAGAGAATACCCAAAATTTGTATTTAGTACAGTTTGTAGTGACTGTTGTGATACATGCGTGAATTTGCGTTATAATAATTGTGGTATCATGGCGGTATCAATTGTCATTTTCATATCGCTGACAGCTGACATGTTTATATATAGAAACAATGGAAAATATCTTCTACTGATCTATCTGTCTACAAAAATTAAAATATTAAAAAATATAATTTGATACTCACGTACTCTGCATAGCGGAAATATCAATAACTTGATTTCTTATCCATGTTTAATCTACTGATGAAACCTATTCCTGAGATATATATTATATCTCTACATCTTTAACTGTGCTTATCTAGATTTTCTCATGTCGATGTCTTGTTCCACACAATGAATCACTGATTATTTGGTGAGACGAAATACCAAGACATGCTTTGACCATTTCCTGGAAACTGAGTGGCTGAGGGGCAGGGTGAAATAGGGGTAATTTGGTGTTATTGCATTAAAACGATTTCTTCTCTGGAACTAAGAGATAGATATCAACCATATTTGGTTAGAAGCATTCTCCAATGGTGGGGATTCAAATTGGAGAAATGGAGGAGCTGAAGGCCCCCAGATTTGCCATCCACCCCTTTTAAATGCTGACAGAGACAAAATTATGAAATATTTGCAGTATTATGTGCATGTACAATGCAAATGTATATTTTGTCATGATTGCGTAAATATCCAGGTGAGCGATACAGGCCCTATGGGCCCCTTGTTAATACTTGTGTAACGATAGATGATTGGAGTCACATTAGTGTCCACATTAATATGATATTATCATCTGACTATCATTGACGGGAACCAGTTGTATTTAATTGGATGTTCTGTGGTGATGTCATGAAATAGAAAGTGTTACATTGTGTGCCACATGGAAATGGTTAAGTGAGTAACATTGACTCAGTGCCTTGATGTCAGGTTACTTTGCGTGTTCACACGGTTCTCTATCATGTAATCAGTAGGAAGTTGGCCCAGGAGTAGTACATTATGCATAATGTTTTTGTTACAGAATGTCTGAACCTCAGGAGAAGGTGAACATGAGTGCCCTCAAAGACACATTCCTGGAGTGTCCTGTGTGTGTGGAACATTTCAACCAGACAGACCGTCGTCCTCGTCTCCTCCACTCCTGCCTCCATGCCTTCTGTACCCTGTGTCTTCAACAGCTGCTCACGAGGGAGGGAAACGGTCAGATCACTTGCCCTTTATGTCGCCAGGTCCACAAGGTCCCAGGGACGGCCGACACATTGCCTGTGGATCCTGTGAGAGCGAAACTTGTGGATTTTGTGCAGATCAAGAACGAAGGGAATGTTCCTTGCACAGACTGTCCCGAGGGAAGTACATCGGAGTCAAGGTGTCAGGAGTGTTCTGTATATCTCTGTAAGGATTGCACATACGTACACAAACGTCATCGACTGACACACGACCATCCAATCATTTCCCTGGTTGATGTACTACAACAGCCCCTGAACACATTTGGCAAGGGTCATTTCTGCACTCATCACCCAAAACACCAGTTGGAGTTCTTTTGTGCTACTGATGAAACACTGTGTTGCATGTCTTGCACAGTTCTGGAACATAAAGGTCATGACTTCAAGAAATTAGAAGAAGCAGCTAAGAAACGACAAGAGGAATTGGAAACATCAATGCAGGCAGTTCATGCAAATGCCCAACAACTGCGTCAGAGGCGACTGTCAGAAGAAAAGCATCAAAATGCAATCGTGCAAGCTCAGGGAAAGGCCAAATCCGATGTGAGTGCATACTTTACAAGTTTGACGAATATTATCAATAAAAGAAAAGCATATTTGGATGAAGCCATCGACCAAAGAAGTAGCACAATGCTGTCTCTGTCTGAAAAGGAAGTAGCAGCGATAGACCAGACTCTTGCTGTTATGGACTCAACTGAAACGTACTTCGCACAAGCCAGGGAGAAGGCCGATGTCGTGGAAATGCTGCAGATGTATCCTGCAATGAAGAGAAGTTTGGAAGCATCAGCTGATGGACAAAGACAAGGTCGACCAATGGCACCGGAAGTTGTGACATTTAATCCCACAAATGGAAACATTGTCAAAACATTAATGTCAGAAGTAGGATGCGTGAGAGAATGTTCTGAGACTCAGAAAGGTAGGTACACCATCTGTTGTGAGATTACCTATGCCGTCGTATTAGTTAATGGCAGTGTGGTTTCCATGGGTGTTTATCATTGTTACAAGTTGTCCGACAAAAGTTCCTGTGACGTTGAATAATATTTAATGCAAAGTTATTTTTTTTACCAAATCTGAAACAATTTTGGTTTGCAACAGATAAAAGACTCCTGTAAGTGTTCAAATGGTTTAATTTGCCATACTGACTTCAGAAAATGCGGGATTTCATAAAAAACATGAACATGCCAAAATGTCAATTTACAAATCAATAGCGTGTGTGTCCACCTCTGGTTGCAATGCAAGCAACACATCTTCGTCTCATGGAATGGACCAGGCGTCAAACAAAGTCCTGTTTGATATCTGTCCATATCTGCTGGAGCATGTTTCGAAGTTCCTGGAGTGTCTGGAACACGTGGTGGACATCGAAGGTGCATATCCATCTCATCCCACATGTGCTCGATTGGTGAGAGATCATGGGAGCGAGCCGGCCAGGGGATGACATTCACTTTGCTTTTTTGAAGAGAATCCTGAGCAAGTCAAGCAATATGAGGCTGGGCGTTGTCATGTTCAAAGGTAATGCCTGGGCCATGACGATGCAAAAACGGTAGAACAACAGGGCTGATGATCTCGTCGGGGTAGAGCTGTCCATTATCAAACGGGTCCTCTGTCTTGCTGTTATCCCGCCCCATACCATAACACTGCCGCCCCCGAACCTATCTTCTTCCATGACACAATGATTGATGTAACGTTCACCTCGACTTCGGTACACTCGAATCAGTCCATCACTGTGGCTGAGGTGAAAACGAGACTCGTCAGTGAATAGAACTTGTCCCAACTGCATGGCCGTCCAGCGTAGACACTGTCTGCACCACTGTAGACGTGCTTGACGGTGGTTTCCTGTCAAAATGGGACGTCATGCGGGTCTTCTGGCGACAATCCCTGCACATTTTAGGCGACGACGTATGGTTTGTGAAGATATTCGTCAAAGGCCAGGGATGCTTCCTGCAGTCACTGTTGCTGGCTGGAATCGATTACGTAGGTGTGTTGTTCGAATCCAGTTGTCATGTGGATTATTGGTTACGCGTGGCCTGCCACTCCGAGGATGGTCTGACTGCATTTGTCTGTTGGCAAAGTTTCCATAAACACCAAATGGTGTTTCTTTGGACGTTAAATTGTCTTGCAACATCACATTGACTCGATCCTACTTCAAGCATACCAATGGCTCGCAAACGCTCATTTTTCGGACAGGTGTGGCATTTCGTAATGTTGAATAATTGCGAAATTTGTGTGTTTTTCTGTGTGGTTGTTATCAGCTCGTTGCTAAACAATGCATATGAAATCCTGTTAACGCACATTTTTTTATATCCATTTTGGGTAGTGAAATGCATGGGGCTTACATAAAAGTAAACTTTTGCATGGAGCAGATGCCTGTAGCAGATGCGTTTTCGTGACTTGATTCCATACATGTACTACAATATTGAAAACCAAACTTTACTTGTTTGAAAAATACACTAAAATACTGGTGTCACAGGAAACAGTGTTTTGCAATGATATTACCATCTGTCTGGAGAGCGGAAGGTTGGGGTCTGATCCCCAGATTGCATCATACTGAAAGACTTCAAAAGGTGGTTGTTACCATGCTTGGCGGTAGGCAATAAGCAAATATATAACAAGCACTTCTTGGAGTTGGTAAAGTGCCTGTGTCGGGCACATCCTTGTTAAACAGCGGCATGGTATCTCATGATGATCAGCGGCTAAACACTATAAAACTGGCATGATTCAGGGCTAGTACAAGCAGCCACATACACACGGTCATGCACGTCGCCATATAAATTAGGGCTGGGACGAGTCCAAATTTACTACCCAACCCCCTATTGCCCGACCCTACCCGGGTACCCACTGCAAGTCTCAAAAGTAGGGAACAAAATGTCTGATTGGTAATTGTTTTATGGCAGCCCTGGCTAAAACTATTTACATACATGTATCAAACAATCAGATCTTGCGTTCACTGAAGTTGACTGAAGCTTTATCTTTACTCAAACATTTACAAGTCAAAAGGAATGTGTGCATCGTCAGAAAGAAATGCGAACATTAGCGACTTGTAGTGTAACCACTTAGCTACAATAAGTTTTTGTCATTAATCAATATATCACATGACTAACCACGGGTCCGGGTAGTCCTGTGGGTACCCGGGTCCTACTCACCCGACCCGAGTACCCGAGTTACCCTTCCCAGCCCAAATATTAATGCAATAATCTTGAATGCAATGTAAAACCCAATTTTAGCTTACCTCACCTTGTAATGATGTAAACTTTATAATACAATAATATTATACTTTATTCCCCTCTTTTCAGAAAAGAATCAACTTCTACAGTGTTTGGATGAAGTATATGATGCTGCTTTAAAATACAAAAGCAAGAATGAACTGATGAAACATTTCCAAGAGAAAACCTTCACCACCGAACGAGACACGTGTGCCATCTGCCTGAATCAGATCGTTGAAGCAAAGAAGATGAAGTGTGGACACTCTTTCTGTGAGAGCTGCCTTGACCAGGCATCCAGTGTGCCAGGCAGTTGTCCTGTGTGTAAAATATGTTGTAAAGTAATAACTGGACATACGCCTCCCGGGAAGATGGAGACATGTCTTATCCCTGACAGGCTACCTGGCTATGAGCAACACAACACCATACAGATAACATACAATTTTCCGAATGGAGTTCAGTCTGTAAGTACAGGAGTGTCTCACTGTCGTTCAGTGCGATGTTTATGAACCAGAAAACAAACAAAATGTTAAAGTTTTGCCAGTGATCACTTGGGTATTGATGTTCATTATGACTATGACTTTATATTCATTAGGTTTGTATGAAAGGTCGAGAGGGAGCATTGGTGTATGTGACGTTTGGTTTATTGTAAGTTGATCATGTGTGACATTGTTTACAGTTACACAGGCTTTGGATGTAAAGAAAGACTACGCGATATTGCGATGCGAAAGGCCGTTCGCAATATTGCATTATCGTTATATCACATAATAAGGTACGGCAAAATTTGTCACGCTCGAGAGGATTTGAATACTAGTGGGTGAATTTAATTATAACCTTGTAATGGTACTCATAGTGTATTAGTATTGGATGCATCCTGGTTCAGGGCGAAATACTTGAACATAAATTCGAACGGTTTCATATATTTATGTAGATAGAAAGATACAACAGAAAGAGCATGTGTGTTAATTTCAATTTCAGCCCAAGTATGTTTGATAGGGGTAGGAAATAGAAATACTAAGGAATAAATATTTCTCTACTCTTTACTTATAACAGACACACACACATGCATGATGCATTGCACATTCATACAAATTGAACACCCATCATACAAACCAGGCGTGACATTGTGTAACTGTCCATTCATTCATTGATTCGCACTTAATTTGTGACTTTTCGTTTGTGTTTGGTTTTAACAAATCTGTTTTGTTTCATTTTAATAGTCAGAAATAAGCAGTTACGATGACATGCATCAACCAAGTCAGCGAGTCTGACTAACCAATCCCGTTTGTCGCCTTTTACGGCATGATATTCTACCCTGATATTTCATGTAACAATGCTTATCTATAAGACATGTATTATGAACATAAGGTTGAGTGTGCATGACACTGTTTTCTATTTGTGTAATCCACCTGCCCTTCCAGCCCCATAAACGAGGTCAAAACGTCCTGTCTCTGAGTAAGAGGGTATACAAGGCTGTTTTGCGATAACGCCATTTAATGACAATGTGATAGAGCCAAAGTGTGATAGTGAGATAGGGGGATAAAGCGATAGAGTGACAGTGCAATAGTAAAATCAGTTAGTCGAAATAAATGATGTTACCGTATAAGATGTAGCACATACTCTGATGGGGAGTGTTTTCTTCTATTTAGGGACTGTCTCCGTGGTCTAGTGGATAGAGTGTCGATGGTTCGATTCCTGACCATGTTAAACGCAGGTGCTTGTTATCACGCCTGGCCCTCGGCATTAATGGGTAAGAAAAGGACTGGTCGTCTTGGATTCTGATTTTTTTGTGTCTGAGCTGATTGTATTATTGTCATACAACTCCAAGACCTATTTGAAAAAGCAAACAGCTGACATAATTTTCCATTCTTTATCATGTTTATATGTACTTTGAAATGTACATGGCATATGCGTAAATGTTTAATTCCAGTGTCTTAGAATCATATGTATGTGTTGTTGTATTGAACAAAGCCTGTATTGTCAATGCCGATGCTTGGTATTACTTGATATTTACATATTTAAATAATGTGTCATAGCGATGCTATGGGAGTATAGACGTTCTGTCGCACTGTCACATCATGGTATTGGTCTATCTCATAGCAAACTCGCTCTGTTGCCATGCCATATTCAGCTGTTTTAAAGCAGCACCGCTCTGTTTTATCGCATGATAGTCTATTTTAAACCGCCGTAAATCTTTGTTCTGTTGAACGTAGCCCCAGGAACCCGTCAAGGGAGATTTGAATCCATGGTATGTCGGCACCCTTCTGCCTGCTCTTGGGTTTCACCAAATAGACAAACACGTTAGACCTGTGTCAGGATGGGTTTCCTCCATTATCAAGCAGATACGCCGTGATTTCATCGAAATACCGTTCACAGCGTCACTGGACCATTTTCAATCAATCAATCATCTTTAGTTTTTAACATTCACAGTTGCCTTTCAAAAATATCGTTACTGGTTACTTTTGAAGACTCAGTAAATGATTGATGTATGAACATATTCCCTTTGATTGGTCAAGGAAGCCCTGTGTTATTGCATATGATTCAAATATCAATGTTTCTAATTCATTCCACGTTGCCTGAAAGAGGATGATCAGTTCTACATCATCCGAGAATGGTAATGGTAATGCTTGCCAAATAATCCAATAATCAAACATACATAAACAGATGTGTTTTCAATAAGAGATAAGAAATGATTATACTTCCAGGCACCACAGCCGCACAAGGTTGTGATATGCAAGATAGGAGATGTATAAGTTGCTGCGGGTTATCGTTTTGCTCTCGCTTGTCATAACACATACAGGTACTACATTCACTGAGATCTTGGTTGACAGGACGGGCATCCCAGGCCAGGAGTCAGGTATAGAGGGGGAGATTTCACCGCCTTCCTGCCCAACAGTCCAGAAGGTCAGAAGGTGCTGGGTCTGCTGAAGGTGGCCTGGGAGAGGAAGCTCACGTTCACAATCAAGATTAATCTCTTTTTTGTTTGGACTTTGATGTTTCGGATTCCTCACAAAGGGAAGAAGCATCGTTCAGCAGACATCAACCCAAGGTTTACGTTTACAATTTATCTCTCTAATGTTACATAAGACATCAAGATTAGTTAACATGCACTAGTATAGAAGATTAAGTGTTTTGATGAAATGTAATTTATTGTACAATCATTATTAAACCACATGTATTAACATTTGCTAAGAACTGATTTTTCTATGTAGGCATGACCTTTACTGGTTACATCAGCAGAGGATTCGGTCTGAGCAAGTAGTTTTATGTGACCGGGAGAGAAATAGGTGTTGGTAACAACTTCTTCAGTTACATTGTGAGATATTGTAGTATGTTCTGAAGAAACAGAGTTTCTGTCTGTCTGTCTGTCTGTCTGTCTGTCTTGTTTAGGATCACAGCACAGTGACATATATGCCAGAACGGAGCATGTGGAATATCAATACGTAGGAAGTGTTCTCTTTGGACGTTGATTATTTAATTGAAAAATCAAAGTAATTACGGGACTAAATGCCTCATTGACACAAACACATATCTTAAAATGTTTCAGTGTCTTTTACCCTGATCCAGACTACCTGAGAACAGTCCAAGAATCACTGAGGTCCCTTGGAGTGACAGAAGCAGATCTGCAATAACCGGACCAGAGAGGCCAACCTTTACTACAGGTGTGCAGTCAGACTCTCTGAATAAGGCACATCTTCAATAAAGACACGCATTCCTCATGGGACAGAGAGAGAGGGAGGAGAATAATGTTATTTGAAGTTAGGTGTTGGTGGCTTTTAAGTTGAAAATGATTAGTTTTGTCCCACAACCCATTAAGGGCACCAGGCCACAGAGATCCTCAAAGTTATTGTAATGTAAGGTTACATTTCTAAACAAGAAGTGTGTCATTACATTTCATTGGCTAATAGAACTAGTTTCATTTGTTTGGTAATGCACATGCTTTTCATGCTGTGAGCATGCTACATGCATGATCACTTGACTGGTGACATCAGGATTCGGAACACCTTTTTTCCTTGCTGGGAATGTGAAAACCATACTACAGGTTAGTTAAGTTTGTTTTAGAAAAATTGTTTTTTGAAAAGTATAAAATATGAATATGCTCGTCAGAACACATGGTTCAGCCCATAGTTGGTAATTATAAGTGTTGTATATATTTCTGTCATTTAATTCGTAATAATTATGGTAAAGTTACAGTACAAAAAGATTTTGCTAATATCTCAATTGTAATTAAGCAGGCACTTGAGTAGTATGGGTAATGGGGGTTCTGCCGCAACTCCACTGGAGCCAGATTTATATACCTATACTGCTACTACAGGGGGAATTTTTAATGTGTAAATGCTGATGCGATTCAACGATAGTCATGAGATTGCGGCAGAACCCCCATTACTTATACTACTCACTTGCCATTTACCTTTTGTTAATGTTCCTAATGTTGTTTTGATATTGAGTTATTTTTTATGTTCTGTACACGAGTAATGTGCCACCAACTACATGATAGTAGGTAACTGGCTATGTCAGTTACAGTTGGTATATGGATTATTATATTAGATGTAATACTGTTGATGGGACCATTGTACCCACAAGGTCAAATAAATAATAAAGAACTCAGCCCAACACATTGGATCATGTCGTCATTGATGCATCCGTTACATGTGTAAACGTGTGTGTGTGTCCATCACAATTATTCACCTGATAATATTCACAGTTCATTATTTTGTTTGAAATTTCTATTCAGATCATTGAAGAGCGGTGTAATTGTGTAGCTTTTGTTTGAAGTTTCTATTCAGATCATTGTAGAGCGGTGTAATTGTGTAGCTTTTGTTTGAAATTTCTATTCAGATTATTGAAGAGCGGTGTAATTGTGTAGCTTTTGATTGAAATTTCTATTCAGATCATTGTAGAGCGGTGTAATTGTGTAGCTTTTGTTTGAAATTTCTATTCAGATCATTGTAGAGCGGTGTAATTGTGTAGCTTTTGTTTGAAATTTCTATTCAGATCATTGTAGAGCGGTGTAATTGTGTACCTTTTGTTTGAAATTTCTATTCAGATCATTGAGAGGGGTGTAATTGTGTAGCTTTTGTTTGAAATTTCTATTCAGATCATTGTAGAGCAGTGTAATTGTGTAGCTTTTGTTTGAAATTTCTATTCAGATCATTGTAGAACGGTGTAATTGTGTAGCTTTTGTTTGAGATTTCTATTCAAATCATTGTAGAGGGGTGTAATTGAATGGCAAACTGAAAATTCTATTTTGCAATGACTATATGTTAACAGGGTGTGAACTTATCTGTTAAGCTTATATTCATAGTTGTTTCCTTTTGAGAAATATACACTTCTAAAGGAACCTTCAGGTCTGTTCATTGTAAACGTATCCATGTATGCTTCAACTCAAGCATTGTCAGCTTGCCTCCGCCAATGTTTCCCAATGGTTAACCACTGTGACCAACAGAGACTTCCCTGCATATCAGGTACAGGCGGATGACTATTACTTATAGGCACTAGTTTGCTAAGTGTGATTGTGCAGTGTCTCTTCATGCATATGATATTAAAATAAAACAACACATACATGTAATGATAAGAATCAATCGTTCTCGTGACACTTTTCTTCAGTCAATTTAAACAATGACATTAATGGCCTTGTGTATATAAACGCCCATGTAAGGATCATTATATGGGTTCGGCCGCCGGTTTTTTTGGCCTGTTTACAAATACTACACTGCGACTACTCTATTGAGGTTTTACGGCATGGGTACAATGTGTGAAGCCCATTTCTGTTGCCCCCCAGCCGAGATATTGCTGGAATATTGCTGAAAGCGTAAAACCATACTCACTCATCTATTGAGCCTTGAAGTATTGCTGAACTGATCAACATAAATCAACACACCAAGTGCTGTAGAAAACAACCTTTCCATAAATGCCTTTTGTCAGATGTTTATTTAAAATCGTATTTCTGTCACACACATCTTCATGGACGCGATCAAATAACATGACACAAATCCATTTCTACAGCTCAACACCTTTGGACCACATCCGTAATCTAGTGGATAGAGCGTGTGCCAGGAGACCGGAAGGTCAGTGGTTAGGATTACCAAAATGACGTTAAAAGATGTTACTTGTTGTTACCCTGCCTGGCGCAGGGGATAAAACAAGGACTGATCGACATGGAGCCAGTATACTGTGAGTGGAGTATCCATGTTATACTGCGGCTTGGTGTCTCAGTGGGCTAGCACTGTAAAAGTGACATTTTTTTCACTCACTGGCTCACTCACTCATACACACCAATGGGTTTAAACAAAATGTTTTTTACTTCGGCTTTCCTCTGGTCAAACGTCTAATAGTATTGTGGGATGTCATCACCTATCTGCACCAACCTGTCACTCAGTTCCTGCACTGTAGTTTGAGCACGTGGTAAACGTCGGAGACGGCAGTCCATTTCTCTCGACCCGTGATGATTCCTGGGTAGAATAGGTCTTCAGCAACCCATGCTTGCCGTAAAAGGTGACTATGCTTGGTTTAAAAGGCGACTAACGGGGATCGGGTGGTCAGGCTCGCTGACTTGGTTGATGCATGTCATCGTATCCAAATTGCGTTGATCGATGCTCATGATGTCAATCACTGGTTTGTCTGGTCCAGACTCGATTATTTACAGACCGCCGTCATAAAGCTGGAATATTGCTGAGTGTGGCGTAAAACAACAAACAAACAGAACATGAGGCCATTGTATCTTGATCGGAGCTGAGCAAGGTATAAGCGAGATTGACAGTGATTCATAAATGCTTGCTCATGATAAGTGCAATCGACTCTGCTCTTTCAGAGATTTCTTATAATATGCAAATGGTTTTGTCGCTTTTATTTATTCACTAATGAAAGACGCAATTTCAAGCTCTGTTTGTCCATTAAACTCTAAATATGTTCTCTCAGCCGACTTCTATGGTATACGTGCTTTTGTTATTCATAGGAATCAGAATTTCTGCTAGGATTAGCAAAGGGTAATTTGGCTAGGAAGTTTAACTTAAGCTTCCGGTATATCGATTATCTGATTTACTTCAATAACGGTCATACAGCCAACGCACTTCCACTGATTTACCTAACTGAACTAAAAATAAAAGAATACTATTAGTGGAACTGCCTCATTTGTTTCATATTTAGATCTAGGCATAAAGATTCAGAGTGACAAGAAACTCACCACATGACTATGACAAGACGGGTGACTTTACCTTTAAGTTGTTAACTCGAGCAATATTCAAGGAGCTCAGCCGTCGTTGTTTACATATCAAAGAACGCCATACGACTCTAGCTCAAATGTTGTTTGATTAAGGTTACACCTGTGCCGCCGGTGTGGTAGGATACGTTCACCTTTCCGCACCTGGTATCATCACTAGTTCGCTATTTCATATTTCATAGTGAACACATGCTCATGATATGGTCGGAATCGTACAATAAAAGGGTTTTAGCGCTTTTTTAAAACCAGCTTTGTTGTAACCAAAACTCTGTATTTTGTAACATACAAGTGAAAATGTCCTTTCAAAAAGCCCATGGACCAAAAATGCCTACGCGTAGATGCACTCGTCTAATCAACTCTTCCATAGTTGTTGTGATTTGAAAAAAAAAATCCAATTGGAATCTTGCATGTGCCAATTTTTCAAAGTCATGGTGCTATTTTGGTTTAAGGTTGCTTAAAAAACTATATCAGTTATATCGTTATATTTATTTATGAACTTAATAGTGGCTTCCAGTAACACAGATCGTTTACGTCTTCCTAGTTCTGTGAAACCCAGGCAGGAGATCAACGATTACGTATCTCTTGAAGCGTGTGTTGAAATGACCTGACCTCTGTTCAGCGACCTGGAAACTATAAACACACTCTGTGATGTAATCATGCACGTGCTTGTCGGTGCAGCTCGTGCTACATGTTAATTGGTTTGCGTAGAACCTCAACTTTAAAATCTACAACGAGTCTTTTAAAAAATAAACCATGTTTCGGTGAGGTATATGTAAGAACGCACGAAAACAATTCCATAGTAGACCGATGAAGGCACCCAATGTACTGTATAACTGTTTTTCCAAAACTTAACTTAACCATAGCCCATACCAAATGATACATGTTATGGAGAATTTACGTGATAAATTAGGATTAATTGTTTGATGGGCATTACTTAGAAGTAGAGGCAATTTTGCTTGACAAAGGTATAAGGACCTACCGAAATGTCGCCATTACAGTAAATAAAGTTGTTATCCATAAATTGTCTCTACTTTGTAGATTAGGATTATCTGATTATTTTAGAACCTTCTACATGCTCAACAATCTGGTTAGCCTCAAATGTCGAACAAATACTTAGAGATCGAGTTCCACAATAATGGAGGGCGGACGTATTATCAAGCCTTTAAACACTACATTATTAATACCTTGAAACCAAACCTTACCTAACATAAGTTTCTTTATCTTCCCAAAAGTATTTATTTACCTATCCTAAAATTCAGAACGTCTCACTATAATCTTCCGATAGAAACAAAATATAAATAGGGAATATAGACTTCGCCCACTATATAATTTTACAACCGTCGGAGACGAATTCCATTTTCTTTTTGGGTCTGTATTCCAATTAAATATAATAAATTGAAAATGTTTCAACTTTCTGGAGAACAATGACTCCACCAAAGGTATCAGGACGTAAACATCTGTCAAGATTTATTACTAACCTTAAAAATATATTTCACCAAAGTACTTAATGATAATACCTTTGTTAATAGACATTATTTTATGATAAATATATTTTATATAAAATACAGTTAATGTATAAGCCGTCTTGTATGTAATGTATATGAACTGTATTGTAATGTATGCTTATGTACCACCGATGTTGGCAGAATACAGAATCTTGACAAAAAACACCAAAGTAACGTTTAATGATTTATTAACACTAAACAATAAACAAAGCTAAAGCATTAAGGCTTTTAAGAAAGCGATCCACGCATTAGGGATCGATGACATGTCTCAACCAAGTCAGCGAGCCTGACTACCCGATCCCTTTAGTCGCCTCTTACGACAAGAATAGTGGTGCTTACGGCAAGCATGGGTTGCTGAAGACCTATTCTACCCCGGATCTTCAATGAGATAAACATACATTACACTCGAGTACAATGTCCACATATGTTTCGTATCTTTGTTTGTTGTTTAACGCCGCACTCAGCAATATTCCAGCTATATGACGTTGGTCCGCAAATAAGCATGCCTGGACCAGAAAATCCAGTGATTGACGTTATGAGCATCGGTATACGCAATTGGGATACGATGACATGCATCAACCAAGTCATCGAGTTTTACCACCTGATCCCGTTAGTCGCCTCTTACGACAAGCATAGCCGTAAGCAAGGCTATTAAGTGACACGCATAGCCGTAAGCAAGGCTATTAAGTGTATGTTTACTAACTTTTATCCGTTTTTACGGATTAGCATTTCAACTAACATGAACAATGATAATACCATCATGATGTGGTGCAGAATTTGCATTTTAAGAACATGTGTTATATACAATAAAGACCCAAGAGGTTATTTAGTTACTGCCCAAAAGGAAACCATAAACCCAAGGAATTTAAACATGTTACACACATAAGCCATACAAAACACATGGGGGCGGTCCCTCAGTTTGAACCTTGTCACATTACAAGTCGTCCAAGGCTCCACAATTTGCATTGCAGACTTGCGTCCCTAACGCACGAAGAACATAATCTATACAAAAACAAAGAGACGTTGAAGAAGATGATAAGAAAACTATTGGAAATATATTTTTCTTGGCGGACTCAACCTTGTGTGTGGTGGTGTGTCAGTTGGATTTAACGTGGCTTTGTGGTATGTCAGGTATATGCCGGCATGTAAAGTAAATGCGGGAGGAAAGCACAACGTTATGGCGTTATCATGATCAAACCCATATTTAAAGGAAGCTGCACCCCTGGTGGACGCAGCCTTAGACGACTGAGCAACCGGTTCCCCTTGCTGAACAGCAATAAAGAGGAGTTGGCAGTATGTGTTGAAATAATCTGCTTCAAGAACAAAATGCTCACATTTTTAATCACGACAATGCCAGCTGGTGTTTAGACAATAAGTTACCGGTGGCTCATCGTCCGTGCTTGAAACAGTAAATGATATTGTTGTGCCCCATAATGTCTGACAAATTTTATGTTTAAATAGTGTATTCATGACTCACTTGTATGGATATATATCAACTTGTTCCCGCTGTATGGCTGAAAAATTCTGATGCGACGGTAAATTTTAACTCGCTCACTTGAGACTGCAAGCACACTAACAACTACACATTCTCTTATCAACGTTTGATTAAACGGAATAAATAAAGCTTGTGTGGGTATTTTTCTCCATCCTTATTTGTATTGGTAGAAGGAAAATCAATGTATCCACCGTCAGTCTTCAAATGATCTCAAAGAACAGATCAATAGTCTCTACATATTGGCATATGTTTTATGATTGTATAACATTATGAGGTTATCACGCGAGTGTGTTTGGGGATAGTGAGTGAGTGAGTTGGGTTTAACGCCGCTTTTAACAGTATTCCAGTTATATCGCGGCTTGAGGATAGTAAATATCCTGCATTAGGACTTAATATTGTATTTAGCGAGCCTTTATCATAAAATGTCATTCTTTAATTCTGTGCTTGAAATCGCTTACCCTCTCTCACAAACATTACCGAAAAGTTTTCCTGGAATCCGCGCATTAATATTTATTACGTCACAGGGTAAGTGATGTGTCAGTCGGACAGCGACAGTAACCAATATAGTTCCAACTGAAATCTGTTTCTTAAGCAACATATACGCAAACCAACAACTGCTTTGCTTGCATTTCGCGGCAATCCATGGGTCTGTCCGCTTGAGTAACTGAACTTTGTCAAAGGGAAGCTACTCTAACCCTAGTCTATGAGACGTCACGACCACGTTCAGACGTTGTTGACAGTCGGCCTGTCCTGTCATAACGTTAAGAAGTGCAATCAGATGTACACACAGCGACAAAACGAAACAAGGTAACAATCCAAACATATTTCGGTCAAACCCAACTATTTTAATTTGTGGAAAGGGTTTCAAGCCGCAGAGGTCTACAAGCACAGATACAAGCTACTGATCCCGCTTGGCTAGGCCCAGTGCCATCGCAAAACTGTTTCGAAATTTATATCTCCAAAGTTGCCAAAACTTATAAAATGCCTTAGCTACGTCACAGTTAGATACGGATTTTCAGTATATTAGACAGTTCCTTTGGTAATGATAGCAATTATCCCTTTAGTTTATCCAGATTCCCGATGGTTAATTCTGACTCGATTGCCGAATGACAAGGGCGACGCCATGTTTGTTTATATACACTGAAAGTAGTCCCTACATGACCTTTGATATTTGCATCTCTATCCACATATGACCCCAACGGATATCGTTTTTATCCCTTGGCTTTATCCTGCCGAGAATCCTACCCATTATATGGTAAATATATAAACTAAGCGGCAAAAGAAAGTAAAGGTTGTCAATTTGTAATTTTCCTAAAAACAGCGATAACTAGTGGAAAGTGGGTATTGGGAATATGACTGCCCAGGAACAGGTACCAAAAAACACCTCACCCGAACGCGCCACCTTTGACGGCGCTCGTGCGGTGACCAAAAAATGGTGAAACAGGTTTCCCGCCTATGGCATAAACTGCACGTGCATGTTAGCTGTATGAATGCGTTCGTCTGCAGGGTATAACCAGACGTGATGGAAGCACACAAAAGAAATGCCACGACTGTCACAGGCGCAGAGAGAGAGCGAGCCATCGGTATGGCCGATTTACAGTAGCCAGGCTGATTCAACGGTCCAGGCAGACAGGGAGGACACAGGACAGGCCTAGAACCGGACGACCCCGAGTGACAACACCACTGGAAGACGGTCAGATACGGCTCATTCACCTGCGAAACAGAGTCGTAACGGCGACGGCGACGGCAGCAACAGCGTTGGGACACCCCATTAGCTAACCTACAGTACTACGACGACTTCGTGCTGCTGGAATCCGAGCGTATCGTCCTTTCCGAGGAATGGTACTGACTGCTCAACATCGACGCCTGAGACTGCGATGGGCGAGGCAGGTTCGACGCTGTGAAAGTCGGTTTGACTTGTTTCGAAGAGAACAAGTTATCGACGCAGAGGGGAACGTTTGGCTCCGGCGTGTATTCAAGAGGTCCATCCATTGGGCGGGGGAGGTGTCAGGGTGTGGGGCGGTATTTGTGGAGATCAGAAGACTGATTTGGTGATTATACAGGGAAACCTGAACGCTGTTCAGTACAGAGACCAAATGTTGCAGCCAGCTGTGCTTCCGTTCTTACAAAACCAACAGCAGGGGACATTGTTTTCAACACGACAATGCCAGGCCTCATACTGCAAGACTGACTCGGAACTTTCTAAACCAGCAGAACGTTGACGTTTACCCTGGCCTGCCCACTCACCCGATATGAATCCTATTAAACATCTGTGGGACCATCTTGACAGATTAGAGCACGCCATCAGCCTCCCGTCAACAGACAAGACTTGCAGCAGGCCCTGAGAGACGAGTGGCAACGGATTTCAGTCCACGTCATCAGAAGACTGACGTCATCGATGTTGCGGCGTATCACAGCACGCATTGAGGCAGCTGGAGGTCATACTTAAGGATTGACTGTGTATTTTTTTCGGTTCATTGAGGTATGAATCGAAAAACCGATGTGCAAACTGTATGAATCCGCGAATCAAAACAGACAAAAATGACGACATTGATAAACATTCCAGGTGTAGGAATACATACAGTGTCGTGACATGAATCAGGTGATCGTTTAATTTATGCACATAACTTGACACGCCTACACAGTCAGTAGCCAATCGACGGAGAGTGGGATTAAAACAATGTTTATTGACCTGTCAATTAAGTCAAGAGGCGAAAAGAACTGCAACAGTCAGACTGTAATGAACCGTATGTCCGAGAGAAGGCGGCTGTTTCAAATAACATGGTCATTTACTGCGTGATTCAAACATTACTTCCCTGATTACGGTAAAACACAGTTGGAGAAATGGTAGTTAGAAATGAAACCCGAAGACATGAAAGTTGAACCGAGGCGAGCGGGAAAAAACAGGCGAGCGAGCCTGCACGTTTGCTGTTTCATTCATTCTCGGCCTTCGGTTTCAAAGGGTAGTTTGGACAATGAATATGCATGTAAGTCGCTAAATGCCCTGTGCATGACGATACACGTGAGCAGAAAGGGAATTCCCTTGACTGTAATATTGGGATTCCCCGACATTCCGCAGTAATAAAAGTAGTGCGCCGCGGTGGGCGTTGCTTAATTTTTTACATTCATTGGGAAATGAATGCAATAACACGTGACCAATTCAGCTAATCAGAATGCAGGAATTTCCATGAACACAACGAAAACTTAATTATTCGCTATTGAAAGCAACTGTGTCGACAATGAACTTGTAGTGTGTCTAACAATTTTTTTGTGACATTTCAGACAACTTTTGAAAATGAAATTTCTTACCCCACCGTTGTTTACAAGAGCAAGGAATAGCTATTGATTAAATGTCATAAAGAGGTGCACTAAAGGCACTCATCTCATTAGAATTATCATTATATATTTATAGCTTCAAAGACCTATTTGTTGTTTCCGTAACAATAAGCACGATGAAAAGGCCTGAAGTCGTGTAGTGTAGAATAATCATCGGTCATAAATTGAAATATGTTGCTCCACTGAATGTGCTTTTGGACTAATTGAAACATGTTCACCTGAAACGCATGCATAACAAGACATATCAATGAACATTGTCAGATCCAGGACTAGTACAAGGGTAGCTGTGTGACATCTAGCAACATAATTAGGTACCTACATGAACATGCGGTAATCCGTGTATCATATTAGAAACAGCTCTCTGAATACTCACAGAATGTCGTCACCGGGAATAGTATAATAGTATTTGTATTTATCTATATCCAAGATAATATGTGGCGGGATTATGGATCGGACATTTGATATTATGAAGAAGGAGGGGGAGGTTTATGACCCCCTTCCCTCTGTCCGGCCCCCCCCCCCCCCCCCCCCCCCAAAAAAAAATAAATAAAAATAAATAAATAAATAAATAAATAATAATAATAAAATAAAATATAATGACGAAAGAAATTCAAATTTGTTAATGCATAAAAAATGAAATAATTGTAAACTAGACATTCTGGATGTGCTGAAATATTATGTCGAAGTATTCCCTGAAATACTTTTTCATACGTCTTGAATCGACAGAAATGGAAACACTCCAACAAACATCCTAGCCCTTACAGACTATCAAAGAGCCGGTTACTTAGCAACAGAATGCTTTGTAACAAAGGATCAATACGTGAAAGTATCAACACTGCTTAACGCCTGACTGGTTGAACACTGCAACTACTTGCGTCAGCATATCCCCCTTGATGTTTAACTCAATATATGTTAAACATTTTTTTAAAGCTTTTGGCAATTTCTTTTCTATTGTTAAACTGAATTGTAAGAGGTTTTATCACAAAGCAAAAATTGCACACGAATCGGCCTAACTATGTAATTGTGCCTTTAACTATTTCCCAGGTATTGTTTAAACTTACCATGTTGAAGGTTTCTAGATCATGGATGTGTAATGGATGACTATTCTTTGTAATTTCATGACTTTCTTATTACAATAGGGCTCGAATATAGGTTCGCCCCGATTTTGTTTCTAGGTTCTAGGCACCATTCCCGTGTTCGTGGGTTTCACCACAGGGGTAGACGTCTGAGACCTTGGCACAATACAATTCTAACCTCTTAAGAAACACTTCAACTTACAGACATTAAATAGTGGTCGAAAATATAGATAATACTCCCGATGCCCAGTGCACAGCAATCTGTTTTCACAGTCTAACATAGATCATCTCCTAAGTAGAGCCAGTGTGGGTCCGAGGAAAGTGTGTCTGCTGGTCCAGGTCTGGTGATGATTTCACACTCCCAAGATACGTCCTTGTAGTTTACCCCAACACAGCTCTCAGTCACGGTACATCGTTGAACACATGCTGTCTTCGACTCGGCAGAAACCAAGGCCATGCCAGCTGAATTCAGACGTTTGCCGGGTGTGATTTTGTAATATGCTTTACTGCATAGCTGCGTGAACTGCTCTGAAATATTCAGGTAAAAATATTCAGATTTATTGTGTTGACAGGGATTTATTAGGACAGCACCGATAACGATGTAAATGTAAATGTCTGTATAGCGTCCGAAGATACAAAAAAGTAGTCCCAGAATGGACTGTTATATCTACACAAGACGTGATGAGCTTCTTCTTGGCGCAAATGTCGGTATACGTAAACGGTTACAGATATTTTTTCTCTCAGTGACATTTTGTATTATTAGATTCTTCAAACAAAACAAATGGTGCTTGACTTTACCTGGGCGTATTCCGTACACTTCCACTTCACAGACAGTCAGAATGTCGTCATATTGTAAAGTCGCAGGCTTCCAAATCCGAACAAACCTCCCCGAGACTGCTGCCTCACATTCCACGGTTTCAATGGAACCAAACACACCAGGATAGGTTTTGCAAATATTGGCAACTGCTTTTGAACAACGTGATGGATTTTCTTTGTAGACCTGTATGACAAAGTCATGAAGACGCTCACCTGAAATACAAACGAAAAGACTCTTCTATAATGTACCGAACAGGATCAATTCGAGTTATTGGAACTGGAAGAACATTGGCCGGTTTATGTGGTCACCAGGAGCAGTAACTTTAACTATAAGAGGTCAACGCCGGAGAATAATCAGTCTCGATTATCTGCGGAAACATATTCAGTTGTGCGAAAGGCAAAATTGTGGTGAAAATTATATGAATGGATCAATTATAAGATTATAAAATTATGAGGAAATGCCAGCTGTGAAAGACAAAATGAAATATATTTTCTGGATTTGTAACATGAACCAGGCACATGCTAGCTTTAAATTGGAAGAAACAATCTTCCATATATAAAAGGACACATACTCAACGGCAATAGAAACACAAATTTCCTAAATGTTTAATATACCGTCAGTGTTACGGCAATGTGTTGTGCTGCTGGAGATAAGATTGAGTGGACAACATGTGTCAAAACAGATTCCGAGCTATAGATGAGGCAGCTCGACGGACTATCATCAGTGATGATATAGTCGGGCGACACCTTGCATCTATGGTCTACACCAGAGGAAAACCATCATTTATCACAAAGGCAAAGACGCTTCAACTAAGTGCGCCCTTGACCGACAATCGTACGGACATGGCAGCAATCGCCTGGTGCATTTCACGTACTGCAGGTGTGTTGCGGTTGTTGACTGGTTTTAAGCCCATTGTTGGTGTACAATGTTGTGATTGTGACTTGATGGTGAATGGAATACCACTGAAACAATAAACAACTCGTCTTTCACCCATCATGCATTCAAACTTACCATAAGCCTTTTTGTTTGTTTGTTGTTTAACGCAGCACTCAGCAATATTCCAGCTATATGACGGTCGTCTGTAAATAATCGAGTCTGGACCAGACAATCCAGTGATTGAAATCATGAGCATCGATCCACGCAGTTGGGATACGATGACATGCATCAACCAAGTCAGTGAGTCCCTTAGTCGCCTCTTACGACAAGCATAGTCACCTTTTACGGCAAGTTTGGGTTGCTGAAGACCTATTTTACCCGGATCTTCACGGGTCTTACCATAAGAGTTCCTGTTGTAAATGGTAACGTTATGAACTTCATATTGTCCAAGAAGATCCACAACGAACCATGGAGATATGTCATTGTGTTCAGTACCAGTACAGACGCCGTCCCCCCAGACTCTTCCAAGGTTACCATCTACAGCATTGTCGACGGAAGTTGATACACTTTTGCTAATGACGGTGCTCATCCAAGCAGGTTTGTTCAAAGCAAGGTTAGGAGTACAGGATACATATACTGAAACAGAATAATTAACGAATATGTACCGGATATTAAATTATATTCATTCCCATATTCACTCTTAATACTCTTATCTCCCCTTCAACCTTAACACAAATTAACAGCTGTACCCCTCAGTTTTCATGCCCACCCCAATACCAAACTTCAAATCATTCAATTAAGAATTGACTTTCACTTTGTGTGAGTCCATTAGAGTGTGAGCCTTCAGTGAGTGAGGGCCAAACTGCATGAACGTCAGAGGTGAGGTGAGGCGAAATGGGGTTTAACGTCGCGTCCAAGATTATTGCACTTATAGCGACGTGCATGCACTCGTATGTATGTGTGTGGCTGCCTCTACTAGGCCGGACTGATGCCGATTTATAGTGCTAGCTCACTGAGATACCATACCGCAGTTTAACATGAATACCCCACTCAGACACAGTATACTGACTCCGAGCCGACCAGTCCTTGTGTTAGCCCCATTAATGCCGAGCGCCAGACAGGGTAACAACAAGTACCATATTTTAACGTCTTTTGGTATGACGCGATCGGGGATCGAGCCCCGGACCTTCCGCTCTCCGGTCGGACGCTCTACCATTAGACCACGGAGGCGGTCACATGAACGTCAGAGCTTGTGACGACGGTTGAGACAAACCCCTTTCCATATTCATTAAAAACATCTCTGCTAAACCCGGCAGTCACACGTCACATTTTCATTTCCGTTTAAGCATATCTTTGTATATGTGTAATGAAAATAGCCGGTCATTTAATCTCCAATTTTTAAATGAGTAAATGGCAAGGCGGAATTCAAAATGATTTAAGAAAGAAGAACACCAGTATACTTCAGATCTTCAAAGAGTATCAAATGAGATGTGAAAGCAAAGATAATGTAATAGTTACATAAATGTTAAGTATGCGTATTTAATAATATGATACCTGATTTAGAGAAGTAGGTAATTTCTTACCAACTAGATCCAGAAACCACAACACCAGACACTGGACTTGGGTTTTCATCTTATAGACATTACTTATATGAACATCACTCCTTTCCCGCAGGTCTTTAATAGCAATTATACTTGTTTTCCCTCGTGGAATACTTTGTATTTCTCGTCGCCCATGGATACATCTCACGAGTGTTCCAGATAATGGCTCCTTTGAATTCATGCGTTAGATGTCTTCAATGAGCAAACACAACTTTTTTGTGATAGTCATGTGAAGAAGTCGCGTAACCATGGATGTTCACACAGAAAAAAAGCTATTCAATGATCGATTTTCTGTGGAGATGAACTTGAAATTCGCCCCGATTAAGATCCTTGGTATATCAGCACCATACTCATCCTCGTAAACGCCCGCGGCCTAAGTTAGATTGGCCAGGACACGCTTACCCTTTTCTGAACACCCTGTTACACCAATGACCCCATTCCTATAATTTTGACCATTGATTTCCCTATTATGTCCAGTGGAATCTGTTTCGGCGGAAAATCGAGACTAGTTGTTCTCTGGCGTTGACGTTTTCTATTTACATCTATGAAAACTCCTACTCACTCCCTTGGTATATTAAAGAAACTGTCAACATACCCCCTGCAGTTATTTTGTAGCTGTCATACCCTTGTTGACAGGTTTAACATTATGGCGTATCTCGTTTAAAACATACTTATATATGATAACATATCTGTAAATATCCCCTAAAAGTGAGGTACAGGACAATCATGTCGTGTGTGGTGTCATTAGTTTACATGTCCGGTTTATAATTCATAAGAATTCTAGTTTTGTCCCATTAATCACTATATGTTTAATTATAAGTTTGAAGGTAAATCGGCCCATCAACTATTATTAACTAGACCTACCACCTTCAGCTAGACCAAATACAATTTCTTACTTTAATCATCTGTATAGAAACATATGCATCAAAACCTTTCATTGTCAGCATGATACGGTGGCAAAGGTCCAGACGTTGTCAGCCTTAAGGAAGACAAGGGACACTCGTTTCATCATAATGGGAATAGATAACGTCAACGCGAAAATAGCCAGTCTCGATTATTCACCCAAACATATATCATTTGGAGTAGGAGGCAAAAATAGATGTTGAAATTATATGAATGGATGACTGAAAATCAGTGAATGAAACAAGAATAGCATTTATTCTTACTTATTATATATATGTTCCAGGAGTGTTTATTTGATGGTACCTTATTATTTTAAACAATAGAGCTATCATAAAATCATTTATAGCGAGAATACACATCATTGTTTTTCAATTGTGATAAACAATTATCACGTTATAGTTCACAATGCAGGATATCATTCTATAGTAGGTATGTCCAGGCTCCAATAACAGCATAGTTAACGTACGTGTGTGCCAGGATATATTTAGGACTATAGGAATGTGGGCGTATTTTGCAAGTTTGATTGCAATAGGTTCACGTTTGCTGACAGGTAAAACCTACGTACATTTGATTCTTCACTTAAGGTTCTCGGGGTGCTGTGAGCTATTACGTTGACATATTAGTCTAAGATTATATTTTTAGTATACATAGAAACATAGACAATAACGTGCATTACTCTGTGGCAATGACGTTGTTTCCCATTAAGGCATTCATAACTCCGCAAACCTAGATAACCACTGATTGAAACAAAGTATTCAAGAGCTTCATGTCTTATGTTTAATGCTTACAATGCTTTCCCAAAAGTATTCCAACAATCGCGTACAGTATTACTATTTCATGAAGACTCAATAATTGCTTTGTATTATGGAAATGTATAACCGTGACAAACATGCAATCGACAATGACACGACACCATACATGTTGCCAATGAGAGATTACCCCAGGGAGTAAACTGAATATCACACGCTCTCGCTCTTTGAATGTATTTACTTGGCGTAAGTGAATTAGGACCGTTGCTGCTCAGCTAATGAAATGCCTATCACCAGATTAAACAGAAACGTGTAAGAGGGCAAGGACAGCGTTGCCCACACAGGTGTCCGAGTGGTCGTGCTTTCTAGGGTGCACTCGAATCACAGCTTCTCACTAATTATCCTGAGTTTGTCAGCATAAAATTGTGTTTGTTGGTTTCAACTGAATAGCTGAAGTCTTCGACATAAATCACTTTCCTCCCGAATAGCTCTAATAAAATGCGGTGTATGTTTAGGATGGCGTTAAACCCAACTAAGTCAAACACCTTTAAACTTGCAGTATTATTAACGTTGTATGTATGTTCGGGATGTTCATTATTAAAGAAACAATGTATGTTTTAGGCCATCTAAATGATAGCTCATGATTGTTATAATTCGCCGTTGATTTTCAAATAGAACAAGTAAAATCCATGCAGATTTTCTTCGTAACTGAGGATGCAGCAATAAATTACGATGTTCACTATGACCTCCGTTTTGCCAAGTGTTAATTATGGGTCATACATAGAAACTATCAATGTATTCAATCTGAATTCCACCAGCTTTAAACCTGGCAGCTAATTTCCAGTTATATTACGTCGTGTATGACAGAGCCTTGAACAGGACACTGGTGGCCGATATGATCAGGCTTAATTGTTCACATGTTCACATATGACATTGTCTGCGGCTGTACCATGACAAACTAATCAGTTTCTCAATATCCAAGAAAAAAAGCTTTTCACATTTCACAATTTGTAGGTGCAATCAAGCAGGCTCTTTCTGCGAGGAAATCAAAGAGCTTCATACGACTCTGGGCCAAAAATTGTTTGACCAGGATTACAACATTCAAGGTCTTAAAGTTCAGCTCTTAAAATGTTTTAAGATAGACATGTGTTCCCGTGTTTTTTCAGGTGAACGATTGACTTTCCTTAGCATGTGTTTTTGACGGAGGTGTCTAGCCGGGAGAGCCACATTTCAGAAATGGCTATTGCCGGTAGAGCCACATTTTCAGCTGAGTGCATTTCACCTAGCGGGTAATTAATTAATCCGATTACCGATACCTTTATATGAGTGTCCCACATTTAAATTACTAAGCGTGGTGTTCTTTAGAGATATCTGGAGGAGGGTGCAAAAAGAAGGTCCGGTGATGGACTATAAGGAGGATGAGGAGGTGAAGAAGCTGGTGAGAAGAGCTGCTGCCCTCCCTCTAGTACCTAGACAAAGTGGATGATGTGTGGCTTGATGCTATTGCCGACTCTCCTGCTGGCCCTAAAGTGACTGCCTTCATGGACTACGTGACAACCAGTTGGGTTCAAGGAGGGGCCTTCATGCCAGAGATTTGGAACCATTTCGAAAACCAAGACCACCGTATCAACTTGCCAAGAAGTGCCACCCGAACATCTACGAGGTAGTGAAGCTATTTCAGCGAGAGCAGTCACTCAAAGAGGTTGCGGTCCTGAGACTCTCTCACCAGTGGACAGAACCTTCACGAAGAAAGAAGTACAAGGCAATCGATACACGTATTGCGTCCCTCAAGATCTAGCTCCTGAACCAACACCTGAGTGAGATGGAATATGCTCAACACGTGGGCGACCTCCTTCATCTGCAGTAATGACATTAAATCCATTATGATATTCATATGCTATTCATATTTATCAATGTAAAGTTTTGATGAATATGTTATCCTTGTTGAATAAAAAATGAGAAAACAAGACTTGTTTTGTTATATACGGTAACCTGTTAGAATCACAAAGCATGTTTTGACAGCATAGCCGCGAGAGCCACATTATACAATCACGCAACCATAACCATTGCCGCGAGAGCCACATCTATTGGGCTATCTATTTTCGAAATGTGGCTTTGCCGGCCTGTAACCGTGACGGATGCACGCTGTGGGGCAGGATACGCTCACCTGTTGGCGAACATCTGAGCCATTTGTTTGTGAGTCATAAACAGTGCTTATGATCGAGTTGGAATTTTTCAGTCGACTCTTATCGATCATAATTCTTGTGGAAACTGTTGTATGTCTTTTATGAATGATTTATCAGGTATTTACCCATTTCGTGCGATTTTATGGTGTATGATTCCTGATTTTTCATAGATAAATGTAGCTTTTGAGACATATTTAGCATGTCTGTGACAACTTGAAAATGCAAGGGATTCACATTTCCAAACACTCAATGTAAGATATCAATTTTCCCCCGTGAGCAACAACTTGAAAGAAAATCATAAAAATGTATCTGAATAAATAATTGCTTGTTTTCAAATTTGGTGTGATGCAGAGATGTAAGAAGGATCTGCCCGAGGATAAGTTACCGTTAATAATTGTCTCCCTGTGTGACCCGTTATTTCCTATCATAACCGATGTAACTGTCTGATGTGACTGAGCATGTTTTAATTTTGGCTAGTATTGTGCACACCCACCAATAGTTTGAGTGATGACGTAAATATGAGGCACCATAATTTCTCATAATCCTCAGCGAGATGGTCTAGACAGTTGCAAATAGTATTGTTATGCAAACATATGTTTGACAGATCCCTTTTAGATGTAACTTTGGTGTATTTTTATGACGTTCTTGTACATATTATAACTTGTTCTGGTCACTATAATTATGTCTGAAATAATGCTGACGAGACGTTAACTTTTAACTCTCTCTCACTCAGCCCAATTGTGTGTTCTGGTTGTTAGTGGCAAATGTTTTATGTTCGTTTGAATTTATGAATCAGAACATAACTGATGTTGTTAATAGTATGTGCACCAATTATGAGAGATGTGAAATTGAGGATGAATTCTTATTTAATTTTAACAAGTATTCCAGTTTAAGACCTACACATCTTTCTTTCTTGAATAATGACTACTTACCTGAAATGTTACTGAATATTGTCAACTCACAAAATGAAAATGTTACCCTTTCAGTTGCCATTTATCTAAACAGGTTTTATATCAGATTTAAGAACAGATAATTTCTCTATATTCATGTAAAATATATTCTGTTTCAGTACTAATTGTACTTCAGGCCATACGGCCCATAATACTGAATAAACCTGTCAGTCAGGTCACACATTGTGGACACTCCACGATGATCCCCAACTCTGCCCTTATGACAAGAACTGGCTGCTTTTCTACCCCTACGCCACCACGAGTGAGTGCTAGAAG